AAAACGTATGCAGGGCAAAGATTCAAAGAAAAGTAGATAGCAAAGCAAGGCAAGAAAACACAAAGATAGCTCTCGACGTCAACACTATGATTAGCCTTATTCTCAGGAAGAAAACAAATTCGGGTTCGACGTGACGAAATGCGCCTCGAACCAAGAAAAAGCGGAAGCCGGAGGAGGGAGACGTGATGCTGGGAGACAAGACAGAGGCAGTGGCGCTGACGAGGTGAAGAGGGAAAAAGGTGGAGGCAAGACAGGATGCTGTCTAGACTGCCTTGTCCAGTTGAAATGCAATGCCTGATATCAACATCAGGTCGGCAAACCAAAGCAGCGAGGAGAGCATGCCTGGCTTCAATGGAGGAAGCTTGGGTAGACATAAACGTTTGGTGGTGCGAGGCTTCAAGAAGCATCGGCTGAACCTTGTCCACCTCGAACGAACCTCGAGGAAGCAAGGAAGGCGTGCACAGGTAGAGAGGTAAGTAATACCTGCCAGTCTACATGAACGGGTGGGCACATGAGCTTCTGACAGAGGAAGGAAGTGGCTGGCCGGACATGGTAGCTGGTACCCAGGTGCTTGTGCTACGCTGTGCAACGAGGCAGGTACAGGTACTTGGGAGTTCCGACCCCTGTTCTGCGGCACCCAGGTTGGCCAATAGGGAAGGCGGCCTTCGCCTCTTGTGGCGAACGACAAGGGAGTAACGTGGAAGGAGCGAAATGCCATCTTCAAGAGATGGCAACGGCGATCGACGATCGACTTCAAGCACTGAAGCCACCGAAGATGACTAGCCCGCTTGAGCATCATGCAGTCCGTGGGAATTTGAAGTGGACACCGCCTAGACGCCGGTGGCCGCCAGGCATCATGGGGACCTGACGTGCGCCCGAGCGAGACATGGAAATCGTAGGCGTCCGAGACCTTTGATTTACGCATAAGTATACCCAAGTCAATCAAAAGCAAGCATGGATGGCAAGGGAGGAACGGGCCAGGAACAAGAGTACTCGCATGTCCCGCCGAACGAACAGCGCTTTTCTTCCAGGTTGAACTCCTCGATGGTCTGAGTGGGCACCTATCGAACTGGAAGATTCACAGCTCAGACTGGCTCGGGCGGATAGATCGAGCTGAGATAGGGCAACACTATGCCTCGTCTGACCGCGCCAGGCGGGCCAATGTCCTCCAGGCAAACGACAAGACTTGCGATGTTCCCCCTCTGAGCAAACCCAAAGACTACAAGACAGATATATCAGATAAGGGAGGGAACTGCCTTAACACCAAAAGCCGATGTGTCCGCAATTATGATGGCAACTAACATTAGCGGGAGCAACAGGCGGATGTTGACATGACCAGCTGGGGTTTCCCCATAGCCTTTGCCTGACTTCCGCTGTCCCGGGGCCCATTGACCCGCACCAGTGCTTCTATCGCATGCCCAGTGCGGCTGAAGGTCCCGTCCCGGAGACTTTAACACAGCAAACCAAGGCATGATGTAGTGCACGACGCTCTTCAAACATTCTGCCTTTGTGCATAACGTTTGTTTTCCCTACTATGTACATTTTGTCCGCACATGCCTGCGCTCTCATTCCTCTTGGACCTCGCTCTCGTCGTCCAATCTCTGCTCCGTCGATCCCGCTGCCTAGAATCTCCCGTCAACATCATGGAAGACACCAAAGGATTGTGGCATACCTGAACACAGTACCGCGAGGGCCGCATAACGCTCGTGCCGGAGAAGAATCCCCTCAGCAGTGACGCCGCATCTACCATCCTCGACAAAATGACACTTCGCTACAGGCCAGTCCACAACAACTAAGTAACCAACACCACCAAGCCGGTCAGTACATCTGTCAGTTTTCAATTTCACGATATGGGGTTCGCAAAGATTGAGGTGTCAGTTCCGGAGCAGCATGGCATACAGAGCAAGGGGGGACCAAGGCAACCTCTGCCCAAAGGCCTTGTTGCCACCCGCTTTCACAACTATCCTGCTCCCTACCATCCTCATCAATCCCAACACACTGCTTCAGCCACCAACTCGTCCAAATTGGCCGAAGGCGACCTCATCGATCTCGAGGCTGACGTTTCCCCGCCCCCAAAAGAAACCTTCAACAGTTTCCCTGCCTTCCGAGCCAGCGGCGGAGGACACGGAATCGACAGTAGGCATGAGCTGGCTCTGCAAAAGGAGATTGAGAAACTGCGACGTCAACTCGAATCGGCGACGGCACGGGCCGAGATCGCCGAGGATAAAGCAGAGCGTGCGGAACAACGGATTGGTGAGATCAAGGCCGACATGCGCTCCACTGTTGACGAATTGGAAACGGACGAAGATTCGTCGGCCCCCAAGCTCAAACAGCTCCGAACAGAGAATTCGACGTTGAAGGAGCAGCTGAGAGATGCGCAATCTCACATCTTCAGTCTACAGCCCTACCGTAAGGAGATCACACCCGAAGAAGTTGGACGCGTAAGTGCAGTTTCTTGCGCTCTGCTGTCGATCATCTCTAAAAGGAGTGCAGGAATATGACGATCTCGTCGAAGGCATCACCGACTGGGTGTCCAAATTCATGGACACTATCCTCGATGACTACAACCAAGGTGTCGAGGACGTCCTCACGAATGCCCGGCGGAAGCCTACAGATGCCCTTCGTCTGAAGCGAACCATACACATGTACCCGGACTTGGTCAGAGGTTCCACCTTTCCAGAGACTGACGAGGATATCGTTGTTGCCATCATCATGAGATTCCTCAACGACAACATCTTTCAAAAAGCTCTCTACGGCTCGATTGCGGACTACGTGGAAGTACTCAGCTTCGTGGAGACGGCCCTACAGTACCAGGTGGAGCCCAAGCGAGGTAGGAAGCACCTCTTGCACCTGGGGATTGGGATTAACGCACAACGCAGATCTTTTCGCGATTCGAACCTGGACTGCCGAGGCATACAATGCCATCCTGAGCTCACGAGACTTTAAGAGCTGCAGGGACAAGAAAGCACGGGAACTGACCGAGGAGCTCGCGACCATTTTCAGAATACTTTGCAGGAGGGAGAAGACGGAGTGGTTTTCGAATAGCTTTGGAAACCACTGCATCAAGCCGGCGATGCAGCTGTACGAGAAGATGCAAGTGTCAACAAACCACTTCTACTTCGACATCAACCCGTACATCATATGCGGCCCCGATGGGGAAATTGAGACGTCCCCCGACTTCTTTGAAAATCTAGCAGACCTCGATTGCAAGAACGTGCTTCAGAATCGCAAGGCAGTCAACTTCGCTAAGATGGACCCGCCACCTTCGAAGATGGAACTTTACCACCACCTGTTCAACGTCTGCACACTTGCTCCGGCGCTTTATATGCGACAGATTGGCCGAAACGACTCAATCAAGGAGCCGCAGACAGTAAGACGACAGCAGATGCTGGTGGCGTGGGGTCCGCAGGAGAAGCGGATCAAGTTCCATGAGAGCGGTGACCGCACGCTGCTGTACCATCTCTATTGTGCTAGAAGCGATCGCGAAAGGCAAGAGGCAGGCGGGTGGGCAACTTTCCGCTGGGGGGGCTAGGCTCCTACGCAGGCTGGTTCATTTTCCCAGTAACTATCCAGGAGGTTAGAATTTCGGTATGAGTCTTTGCGCATGCGGTTAGGAGATGGCACGTATGTCATGCAAAATAGCTAGTAGCATACTCGTCGCGGGATGACGAGGCTCCAATGGCAGTGACACGAATATGGACCAAATATCACTTATACAAGCTTTCTCACTGCATCTCAAAACTCTTTTCCATGTTTTTTCTATGTTGTTTCCATGTGTTGGTAAGCTATAAGATGAACATTCAGACGAGAGAGTCTTGAGGAACCGAGTAACTTGAGCAGACCGGTACTTCATCGCCCCAAGCCCCAGACCCAAGGCGGTCTCGTTTCATGGACAAGGCCCTCAAAGTGCCAAGCGCGGGTCTCTCTGAAGAAGTGTGAGTTCACGAGGTCCGAAGTCGAAACGAGAAGTCGCATGGGTGTGGGTGAATAGCGTTAACGATGAATGGCTGCGGTGGTTCGGTGCCTGCAAAATATGGCCTGGGTTGCTGCCCGTGTAAGTCGAAGCCCCTGACGGTGCTAATGAAGGCAGCATTCTTTCCAGTGGAGATGCCGCTAACCGAACGGCGGGCGACAGCGATAAGCTTTAGTGAGGGGAGGCACCTGAACCTGAGCAGGTACATGAGAAGGTACCTGCCGAGACACGTGCCTCCGCTAAAAGCTCCTTCCTTCTCCTTTTCCCTTGCATTTGCAGGTCTGTTCCTTCCGTTGCATGAACGACTCGGACGTAGACCTGGAGCCATTTTTTGCTTCCATGGCTCAAAGCTGATCTGCCCAGCCTCGCCCCATGATCCTCCAGTTCGTTGACTCTAATGCCTTGGCCGCCATCGTCCCAAAAGAGAGCACGGCATCACGTAGCAAAGCACGTCAAGCTGCACTACAACATTCCCGCCTCACAGAGTCCGTGTTACTCCTTGCATGACGGAGCCGGCATCTCAGTCTAGAATCACTTCGAAGCATGCGTCGGGCGCCAGCACCTCGCTTTCTCTCAGACCAACAACACTGCCATTCTTGTCCGGCACACACTGCGGAACGTCCCAAGATGAGACCAACCCATCCTTCAGCCATCAGGTCATCCCTCTTCGTTGGCACAACACCTACTATGCTGCTTCATCCACTCAGTGTACGCGACACTTCTTTGGCCTGTGGCTTGGATGCATCAGTCGTATGCTCGAACGGTCGATACAAGGTTAAGGTTCCGAGTAACCACTCCAAGCATAAGGCCTGGGATACCCTGGCGAGCGTGTCGAATCTCGCCATGTTTGACGCACGTAATCACGAACTCCCTGGCGACTTCCAGCACGATCAAGGAAGAAACTGCTTGACAGAGTCTGGACCCCGACTATCTGTGTCTCCTCTTCGCTGGTCCCTGTCCGCATGCGGGAGCGGTCATCTACAGGCGCTGATGAGGATCAATCTACCTCGTCCCGCAACCTTGACACTCTCGAATTGGATGTCTCTGGCCGGACTTATACCACGCCACATGACAAACCCTTCGACGTCCTCCCTGCATACTGACGACTTGCCTGTCAACGGTATTTTTAGCCCATAATCAGCTGGCCCGACAATAACATCAACGTCTTGAACAGGATCAGTAACCGAAGACCAACTACAACGGCTAAAAAACGACGCAGTCTTATCCCGGGCCCGAGATATGCTCCTTCCGTCGATTCTGTCTCTTTGACCAGAATGTTCGCTCCTCCCAACGCCGGGCTGCCGCCTAGCTATCATTCCATTGCCAACTCCTCTCTGATGGGGAGTTTCAGCGACGAAGGGTTCGATACTGCACCCCCGGAGTATGACTGGGAAATGGCCATCGATGTAGAGAATATGATAGAGGAGGAACAGCCTCCGACGCAGGTGACACGCACTCCCCAGGATCAACTCTCCGGACCCTCCCGGGAGCCCCCGCGACGCGATCATTATTACCGTGGTATTAGCGCCGAGATCATGGCCGACTTTGACTTTCCCATGCCGGCACCTAGGGCGACTCCGTCAGAGCCAGAGACGGCGGCTTCGTTTGCCTTGTCTCAGACGCGGCAAAGAGGCTATCTCCTCCCCACGCCGGCGTCGATTCTTGCTGACATTGACATCGCGCCCTTCTCGCCGCAGAACACGGGTGGCAGTGCCAGCACCGCCGCGAGCACACCACCCATTCAATCGCCTGCTTCAAGGCCTAGGTCCGACTCGAGACTGGCCTCGTTGACCTCAAACAACCCGTATATGGCTCTCCTTGAGCAGAAGGAACAGGCCATGACAGTCGCCTTTTTGCGCAGCCAGGACTCAGGTTCCGGGTCGCGTTCTGCTGATCTCGGAGCTGATGACTTCAGGTGGGCGAGTCCCCTCTGGTCTAGGACGAAATCAGATCCGCTTCCCTCTTACAGAATGCTTACTATAGGTCCTGTGACTATCACATGCTTCCATTGTCAGAGTTGTTGCGTTTCTGTGGTGGCTAATAAGTAGTAGCTTCGGCCAGAGATATCACAAGGCAACAGACACCACAGATGTCGTAGTTACTCGACAGAGACTTCCCTTCAATGACCTTGGAGGTTCGAGAGAATGTCCCATTTGTGCCGAGACAAGGGGCCCATCATCCTTCCCAGTCCTAAGTATTACGCCCACGTGTACGCACCCACCCGAGGCGTGCTTAGAGTGTCTGCAGATGTCTATCAAATCAGACTTCAACAGCAAGCTGTGGACAGACATTCGGTGTCCAGAGTGTCGCGAGCTTCTGGAATACGTCGACATTCAAAAGTACGCAGATGAGGAGACCTTTGCCCGGTACGTCTGCCAGAGTTACACTTCTCAAAAGCGAGCATCGTCTTCTGACGGGTCATCAGGTACGAGGCTCTGGCCCTCCGAGCGGCCATGGCCGAGGCCGATAGATTTATCTGGTGCACAGCAAACTGCGGCTCCGGTCAGCTCCACGACGTGGACGAAGGTCAGCCCAAGGTGACTTGCTTACACTGCGGCCAGCGCTCTTGCTTCAATCACAACGTCGTGTGGCACGAAAACCTGTCATGCGAGGAATACGATGCGCTGCTACGAGATCCCGAGAACTTCCGCTCCCGCATAGAGATGGAGTACGATGAGCTTGACTCGGCAAGACAGGCGCTTGAGGATGCCGACCGCGCCATGGCCCAGGGTCTCATGGCGGAGCAGCAGGCAGAGGTACACGAACGTGAGAGCAGGGAACGCGACGAAAGGGAAAGGGCACGCAGAGCGACAGCCCTGGCCAGGAAAGTTGCTGCCCGGCGCAAAGCGGAAGAAGAACAGAGTCGGATAACTGTGGACCAAACGACAAAACCGTGTCCTGGATGTGGTTGGGCCATTGAGAAGAACTCTGGTTGGTGAGTCTCTTTTCGAGAGCTTTTTCTTGAGCAAACTCGTGTATGCTAACGCCCATTAAACAGCTCGCACATGACATGTATGTAAACACTTCACTCCTTTTGTGTAGTTGCCTCGCTCCTGTCCCTGGAATCGTGCTACACTGTAACCTACCGCAAACCGAAGCTCACATTATCATAGGCATCAAGTGCCGCTACGAGTTCTGCTGGGGGTGTTACACTACCTGGGAACAGACGCACAGCGTCCGGTGTCGAGGCATTGCGCCTCTAGTGTAGTCCGCAGCCAGCCAGAGCGAGACCTTTTCCCGTTGCTAGCGGAGGCAAGGGACCAGAAAGTGTCTTACTTGGAGGGACAAGCCCAAGGTTCGAGACGTCAACAAGAGGTCTGCTGCGAATTCTAGGCAGATCTCGAGGGTATCTTGCTGCTTGAGGACGGCATACACAGCGGAGACTGCTGCTCCCATCCCAAACAACCTCTATGGCTGAACACCAGGGCTGCGAGGGGCTTTCGATCTTGTAGCAGGACGTGGCGAGAAGAGATTAAGGTCGTCTGATGGGGTATGATTGTTGAAATAAGGCGAGCGAAAGGACAGGTTTGATTGATACCTCGGATCTGCACAGCGTGGGGTGAGCAACCAGAAGCAGTTTGAACGTTGTGTTGGCGGACAGGAAATGATACCGAGCAGACTAAGTTGTGGTGACCCTGTGCGAGGCCGGGTAGAATTGTGATATTTGGTTTTCTTTATGCGAGGGGCGTTGAGAGCTTGGACGCAGCCATATTGTGCGTGTACAGGCGCGGGTTGCTTGCTCAGAGGCCTAACCAGGAATGAAAAAGGAAAGTGTAATATTAAAGTCTTTCGATTACCGGGCCAGTTCTACGCCAGGTCCAGTGTGCGTGTCGTCGTGCGTTCTACACTATGTACAGATTGCAGCTTTCCATAAATCCATGAAATCATGCTGATGATACCCCTTTCCCCCATTTCCCCTCGCCCACTCGAGCCTCTTATGGGGACCCTGTGAATACTACGCAGGTTCGTGTCCCCCCCTTTGGCCCCGTGCCTTCGTCAGCAACACACCCTCTTCTACCCCTTGCCCAGCAGCCGCCGCGACTGTTTCCTTTGCGCTCGCTTACGCGGCCGTCAGCTCGGCGATGCGCCTCTCGATCTCGGGCACCTGGCGCAGGAGGACCTCGAGGTCCTCCTTCTCGTCCTCGAGCTTGAGGCGGCGGTCGGCATCGAGCTTGGTGAAGACGTAGTTGCCCTGGCCGTCGAACTGGAGGATGCGGCTGTGGTACTTCCACAGGCTGCGGCGATGGCTGACGGTCATGAGGGTGATGCCGAGGGCCTTTGCGTTGTCGTACATGACCTTCTCCGTCTCGAGGGTGACGCTCGAGGTGCACTCGTCGAGGATGGCGTACCGCGGGCGGTGGTAGAAGAGGCGGGCCATGGCGACGCGCTGCTGCAGGCCGCCCGAAAGGACGTCGCGCCACTCGGCCTCGGCGTCCCAGCCGGCGTCGTAGAGACCCGGAAGGTGCTCGAGGCCGAGGAGGGTCAGGATGGAGAGGAGGTCAGCGTCGGTGACGCCCTTGGCGCGCATCTGGCGGAGGGAGTCTGGGTAGGTGATTTGCGTGCGGAGGGAGCCGCGGGAGAGGTAGGGCCGCTGCGGGATGTAGAAGATGTCGGAGAAGGGGGGCTTGTAGACGATGCCGCCGTAGACGGGCCAGAGGCCGCCCAGGATGCGGAAGAGGGACGACTTGCCGCAGCCGTTGGGGCCGACGACGAGGAGGTGATCACCCTGCTTTAGGGAGAAGGAGAGGGCCTTGATCAGGACGTCGCCGTTGGGGGAGATGATGGGGCTTGCTCGGGTCAGCTTCTTCCACGAGGGGTTATCGGGTTGCGGGCACTTACACGTTGATAAACTCAATGTCCTTGCTCTCGACGACGGTACCGCGACCCTTGAGGACGGCTTCATTGTTCTCGGTTCCCGAGCTGGAGACGAGCTTCTTCTCGAAGCGGCCGGCGCGGATGTCGTTCATGACCTCGAGGAGGGAGTCGACGCGCGACGTGTAGCCCGCCAGCTCCATGATCTCGCGGTACGAGAACATGATGCGGCCGAAGGCGTCGGACGCGGAAAGCAGCATGCGGCGGTTCGTGACGAAGCTCTCTGTGCGGTCGCCCATGTTCATGGAGATGTGCCCGGGCATCTTGACGAAGACGGGCACGGAGCAGAGGAGCAGGCCGAGGGCGCCCCAGAAGTACTTGATGACAAAGTCCTCCATGAAGCCGTGGTAGAAGCGGCGCCGGAGGATGTAGTTGACGTGCTTGATGAGGGTGAAGTAGCCCTTGTCGAGGGTGTCCTTCTCGGCCTCATGGCCGTGGTAGAGCGCGACCTCTTCCGAATGGTCAATCAGGCGCGAGTGTTGGAAGCGGAACTCGCCCTCGAGACGGGCCTCGTCGGCGACGTATTTGCCGAAAGGCGGCGTGAGTGCGCGCATGACGTTGGCGGAGAGCTGGACGAGGAGGGCCATGGTGACGACTCCCTCGCCACCGACGCTGCGGGACAGCGAATGGGTGTAGATGGTCTGAGTGATGGTTAGGGATTGGACATGAGAAAGGGAAGGGGTGGAAAGGGGGAGTTGGTTACCATGTCCAGGATCGGCTTCGCCAGGTTGCTGTAGAGCTCGGCTAAGCTGTTGGAGAACTTGGCAACGTCGACGGCGATCAATTGGTCGGGGTTGTTTATCCGGTCGTCGAGGGCGGAGATGCCGTAGAAAGTTAATTTAGAGAGGTACTTGTCATGGATGTGCTGCGTCAACCGTGTCCGGTACTTGAGCGACAGCTCTGCTTGGTGGTAGGAAAGCTGCGTCGCCGTGTTAGCATCGTCGGTATCTTGGGGGCCCGCGAAGCATCGTGAACAGACCATTGAATTCGTAAACGTCGCGGGGATGGCGATGAGCATCCACCACACGATCTGCGTCAGAAACTCTCTCCCGTTACCCTTGACCAGACTCTTGACGATGGCGCCGTCCATCGCGGCAACCTTGAGACTGATCAACGTCCTCACCACCAGGAAGAAGGAGTGGCTGATGAGCAGGCGCGCCTCCTTGGTCCTCCATCCGGGTATGACGATCTTGAGCAGGCGCATGAGCGAGCGGAAGAACTCGCGGTTCAGCTCGACCTTCTTGCGCTTCTTGGTGACGTCCTCGTCCGACACGGCGACGGTGGCGCGGGTCTCGCGGGCGGCGGCCTCGCGCGCCGACGCGGCCTTCTGTTCCGAGATGGCATGGCGGATGCGGTTGGCGAGAGCGACGAAGAGGGTGATCCAGACGGCGCGGGAGATGCGCGAGCGGTTGGCGAGGTAGAGCTGGGTCAGCTGGAGGACGAGGTTGGTGATGGTGCGGTTCGAGGGGATCCCGATGAGGGACACTTTGGATTGAACGGCCATCGCGGGCGATGCGTTGCGCCCCGCCAAGGATACTTCTTGGGAATAGGGATACCGGGGTTCGGTGGGTGAGGATTGGCGAGGATTGGCGATGTTGTCGCGGGATGGTTCGTCGTCGCCAAGACACGGCGCGCCTCGTTACCAGTAGCTTAGGACTGAGGGTATGATCGTCCGCGTCGGGGATCGAGCCGTCAGCGCATTCGTCCCGGATTGAGTCGTTCGTCGGTTGGGTATCGCGGAGACGGGGAGGTGGGGTTATTGGGATTACTCGGCGTCGGTGAGAAGGAAGAGGATGTCGCCAACGGCCATGGCTGGGGGTCACACGTTCCTTCGGACGATGCTTTCGGTCTTTGTTGGTTCCTTCAACAGGCTAGACGGGTACGTATGCGAGTCGGGGCTCGGGTCTTTGTTTAGGACTCCCTGCGGACTGGAACCCTTTCCCCGGTGCTGCCCTCGCTGTCCCTCGGCTCCCCAGAGTATACACTGGAGAAAACATGGCCCCACAGAAGGAAGAGGCGTGATTGGCGAACCCCGGAAACGGGCGTCTGGGTCCGCCGTTCCCATGTGAATCGGATGCCGATGGCATGTGATTTGCTCCCATGTGTGGCTGCCTGAGGCGCGTTCCATAGTGTGGCTTGACTCTGGGGGAAGTCCGCCACTACCAGCCACACCGCGGGGCAAACCTGAAGAGACCTTTTTTATTTTTATTTCTTTTACCAATTTTCTGCATCCCCATCTGCAGTGAACTTTGCGCCTACGGTGACTCCATCGCCACATCCCAGTGAGCCAGTCGAACACATACTCGCCCGGTCAGTACAAGTCACCACAGTCGCGACGAAGACACCGCCGCAATGTCCGACGACAATGTTTCCATCTACGACGAGATCGAGATCGAGGACATGACCTACGACGAGGACATGCAGATCTACCACTACCCCTGCCCCTGCGGCGACAAGTTCCAGATTGCACTGGCCGACCTGCGCGACGACGAGGACATTGCCGTATGTCCCAGCTGCAGCCTCATGATCCGCGTCATCTTTGACAAGGTATGTTTTTCTTCTTCTTCATCTCGCGCTTTTCCACAAAGAAAGCACTTCGGACCAGGATGGTACGGTTGACAGAAGAACGCGCGCAGGACGATCTCCCCAAGGACCCCGAAGACGACCCTGAGCTTGTCGACGAGGCGACGTCCCAGGTTCCCATCACCGCTTGAGAAGCCAGGCTGTGGACAATAGTATGCCAATCCAGGTTTCAACGGGAATGCCGCGCCGAAACGGGCGGTTGCAGACGCCGTCCCCATCAGCAGGGACACCCACTCTCACCTCGGTCGCCTGCCGCGGAGCGGCAGTTAACGAGGCTGTGTGAGCTCGAAGTAAGGCCAGGCATCCTCTCGAGCCTAGGGTTAACAGGCGACTTGTGCGCACCGCGATACGAGGCTTCAGTCTTACGGCGCACCTGAGTCACGCCCCGTCCTCTGAGCCCTCCCTGTTTTGGATGGCGAGAGAGGGGAGATTGAGTTGTACCGCAAGGGACGATGAGCTCTGCAAACCAGTCTGAACGAGGGCGCGGTTCGGGATATGGTTGTTAAAATCAAAGGGACCTCGCACCAAGCATAAATGCTGCGCGCTCCTAGCTCCAGCGTATATAGCATCAAACGTTACCGGAACACATATCAGGCGCAAGGGATTGTTGAACTGGCCAGTAAGGAATGGAGAAGTTGGATATCCGGTCTTCGTCAGACATGTAGAATTCCCAAGTCTATTTTCCATTTGTTCCTAGGCAGGCTTCAACCAGATATCACGTCACACGTTCCAGCCGTCGACCCTACGAGACTGGGGTCTTCGAAAAGTAGCAGTTTAGAAATATTTGTATTCGAAATTAGGTAGCAGTTTGAATGCTACGTCGTGATTAAAGTCATTAATCATCGTATGCAAGTTTGTCCAACGCCGTTGCTCCAAGCCGTGACTCGTCATACATGTAAGAGAGAAAAAAGAAGAGGACCGTAAACTTAGAGCCCCTCCCCTCTTACATTTTATTTTCCCATCGAAATTGTTAACGTTCATTAATAAGAAGCAGGCCGTTCCCGCCTCGCCCTCGTTAAGCGTAAAGAAAATTCCATCGAGACCTTTGGCTCTTTAGATGAGGAAAAAGCTGGCGATGCCGGCGGCGACGAGGCCGACGACGGAGCCTTGGAGCTTGTCGGCCGCAGCGGTGGGCACGACGACGGGGCCGGAGCTGGTGGCGTTGGGGGTCGAGGTGAAGTAGGTCTGGGTAAGAGTGGCGAGCGTGGCTGGGACCGTGTTAGTTGTCTGCTATTCCTGCTATATAAGAAATGCCGTGTTGAGAGAAAATACTCACTGTTGGCGGAGGGGAGGGCGGCGGTGATGGTACTAGCCGGCCCGGTGACGGAGGGGAGGACGGGGGTGATGGTGCTGGCGGACTCGGTGAAGGAGGGGAGGGGAACGGCGGAGTCGGACTCGGGGTAGGTGGGGATGACGATGGGGATGGTGGTGGTAACGGGGGGTCATCGACTACGACGGCAGTGGTGGTGGTGAAGCCGGCCGGGACGGTCGTGGTGCCCTCGGTGATGACCACGGTGGTGGACGGCGTGGGCTCCGGGGTGACGGTCACGGTGGTCTCGGGCACGATGGAGGTGACGGTGACCAGCGAGGTGGACTCGGTGAAGGCGGGCAGGGTAAGAGTCGTGGTGATACCGTCGGTGATGATGATGGTGGTGACCTGTGCGGCGGCGAGGCCGGCGGCGGAGAGGATGGCGAAAGAACGCATTTTTGATGTGTAGCTTGGGGCGTTTAAGAGCCTGGGAGCTTTTTGATTTGAGGTGGTTGTAGTAAGGAGGAGTCAGTCCGGTTGTTACCGAGAAGGAAGCGACCGATTGGGCTTGAAAACTGAGGCTCCCTGGTTGATTGCTTGAGAGCGAGAGTTGGCGAACTGGCTGCGGGTAGTGAGACACGGGAATCGAAAGGACTCGGTGTGAGCGAGGAAACGGACGGGGGATATATAATGAGAGACCGGAAGTGAGGGTTTGCGTGACAAGCAACACCAAGCCGGTACCACTACGTACGCCGCACGCTGTGCGAGTCGGTGACAGCAGCAATGCCAAGTATGGCGATTTTACACGACATCATCACGACCAGGGGGTGGGCTGTGACGGCACTTGGGTTGGAAAACGAAGGGTTGGTCGAGGTATGCTGTGTGCTACCTTCATGCTGTGGGTTTCTGCATATGTTTACAGGGCCTGGCTGAAGCAGGGAAGCGCGGCCTTAGGAGAGAGGCCAAGAGGTCCATTACGGAATCCGTTGCCGGAACGACAACATCATGTCTCTGGCCCTTTATTTCCTTGCTTGCTTATCCCTGTGGCTACTGGATCTGGACTGGTCGCGCAGACAGGGGGGGGACGGGGTGTAAGCTGGTGGAAGCTGCCGAACGAGGCGGGACAGGGTTGTCGTTCGCTGAGCAGGGATGGGCATGGGGAGCCGGGTGGGTTTGTTTCTTCCGAGAGACACGGCTCGGTGGAGCGATGGCTTCAGAGAAAGAGAGGGCTGGGATGGGCCTTCGTGGTGAGCTCTGATGGGTTCAACGTCGAATTTGTGCATAGAGAGATGGCTGGGGATGGCCTCACTTGCAGGCAACCCTCTCATTGTCTCTGCACCGAAACCCGTCAATGGCAGCAACAAGGGTGGAAGAAAAAAAAAAAAAAAAAAAAAAAAAAAAAAGGCAACACCTCTGGTGAGTCGCAGCAGGCCTACCACCTCGATTTTTTATTTCATGTTGCAACCATCCCATCTCGTTTAGCAGGTCCGGGGCGAAGAGAAAACACATCAGCACAACCCCCCGCCCCCATGACGAGTTCTGACGAAGGCGATTATTATCCCACGGGTTCGCGCCGGGAAAACATCAGGCAGTCCCAGGCGGAGCCGGGATCCAAGCTCTTGGGCGCGACGATCAGAGTTCACCCAACGCAGGCACGCAGGCAGAAGTCTGCCCTGGGGGCATTTATCCGATCTGTACCGTACCTGGCTTAGGGGAGGGGGCATTTCTACCCACGGCAACCGAAGCCGACAATGGGAAGAATGAGTGACGCTTGTCAACGGTGCTAAGCTGCCGTGTTCCCGCAAACCTGCAACACACGGGAGTGGATATCGTCATTTCGGTCCAGGGTGGAAATGGTTTGGCTTGTTTGCTTTTGTTTTCGTCACCCCAACCACCACCACCACCACCACCGAGGAAGGGCGGGAGGGGAGCTGAGCTGAGCTGCCTCGTCTGCCGTCCGACCAGAATCTTTGCCCAGTAGCATGGACGGTTGTACCAATTCCAGCCATGGTCACGACCAACAAAGGGACCAGTCGTCGCGCAAGAACAGGGGTGGGGTGAAGCAAGTTGGCGATACCCGACGCCGTGCTCAATTGCGTCATACCTGACGAGAGGGGGCTTAGCCAACACTTCGCATCAAGGGACAAAGTGCAGGGGTGTGACAACCGGAGCATTGGCCCGTAAGCGGGGAGCTTAAAGAACTGATCCTAGGTTGTCGGTGTAACCGGTTGTCGGTGGGCGAGGAGAGGAATCGACTCATCCAAAGGTGCGGGGAAAAGAAGCAGAAAGGCGGCTGCATCGGTTGTCCGTTCGTCCCCCTTGTGCCTGGATATTGGCCGGCCTTTCCTCGAGCTCTCGAGGGAGGGGGGGAAGAGATCTTGCGTCTTTGTGCATCATAACATATCATGTTGCTCCAGACCAAGCCAAGCCACGCAGCCCCTGGGAGTCCACACACACACACACACAATGGCTGTATTTTCCAGCCGAGTGCTCTGAAAAGCTGAAGAGAGGTGTGAGTGACTGGTTGGTGGTGGTGGTGGTGGTGCGCGGAACATGGCGATAGAACGGAAAAGAGGGGGGCAGGGACCAGGGTTCCATAAAGTGTGTGTGGAAAGACGTCTGTCCCAGCCAGGTTTTTTTGTTTCCCTGTCGACTCCGCCTGCCCCAGCCACCTCATCCCCATAGCCACCTTACCCAATCAGACCTCGGAAGTGTCACACCAGCCACTGTTCCCCAGACATTCCTCCCTTAAGCCACACTGCCACTTTCCAAGCAACATGTCTCTTTCAGGCCTCAGTGCGACAGCTGTCTCCAAGGAAGTCCCCAAGTCTACACAGAAGCACACCTACCGGTATTTGTTCCGTACCATTCCTCTCTCGTTTCCCCTTCGCTGGAGAACGAACCTCTGCCGTTCCAGCTCGCAAGGAACCGAACCACTCGGCCACGCGTCTCCGCGCCAAGCCCGGCACTAAGAATGCATCTCCCGGTCTTACTGCTTTCTTACCAAGAGAGGCATATCCAGAACGCCACTGCAACGATTGTGTGCTCTTGAACAGAACTTTTAATCATTGATATCTAACTCTCATCTTGATCTTATTTCTTCTTCTCTGACCCGGTTAAACAAAATGAGACAAAGATGCCGCCGTCGTCCAGGGGAGTACAAGTCTTGATTTTGACCCATCGTCTCCGTTGCACCTCATGACGACTCCACGTTGGCAAACAAAAAGTTGGGGGCACCGGGCACAGCGCCTTCGGCGTTAGGCGGCAAGTTGTCCTCCACAGCACCCGTAACGAGGTCCGTACCCTTTTTGCTGCCCTCCTCCACTGCAATGATCTTCACCTCCACGAGGTTGGCACTGCGCTTGAGACCGTCAATCATGTCCACGAGCACGGCCTTCTCATCAAACGCCAGCTTGCGCTCCAGGACTGCGCTAGCCGGCTCGCCCAGCTGCAGACGTCTCTTGAGGCCCTGGACAAACGGCATGGCCTTCTTCATCTCGCCCATCTTGGCGATCTTTCCGTTGAGCGCCTTATCATCCACTGACTTGGTCTCGGGGTCCCACATCTCCTTGAGGAGGTCGATGTAGGCCTGCTGCCACTGCGGGAACTTCTCGCTCATCAAGATGGTGAGCTTCTTGGGCTTCTTGGGGTCGAACGACGTCTCCTTGCCCTTGGCCTTCTTCTTGAGTTGAAGAGACTCGGCAGAGTTGACGTTGGACGCCGTGACCGATATGTACTTTCTCGCTGCTGTAAGCGCCGCGTCAGTTTCGGGGATCTCCGGGAATGTCGCCTGCTGGATCGACGTCGGCTTGCCCAGGATCTCGGTCCACACCGACTCGGCCCAGTGAGGGGCAATGACAGCAATGAGCAGACACTGGAGTTCGATGTAGCGCAGGACCAGGTCGTGGTGCATCTTGACCGAGGCGCAGCTCTCGCGGTAGAAAGAGAGGGCGTTGTTGAAGCTGTCGTCTCACGTTAGTGGGGTGTTGACCAATATTTGCCGTATAGACTTACTCGTAGAAAGCCGCCTTCAAAGCCAGCTTGTAGGACGTATCGGCTAGAGAACATCAGTCAGCTGTGCCGCAGCGTAAAATCCATACATAGCATGCTTACAGTATTGCTGGATGGCTTCCTTGGCAATGACGTTCATCTCGTTGTTGAAGACCTTGTCAAAAAAGTTCAACTCGCCCGTCCGAAGCTCGCTCTTGTTCTTGACGACATCCTCGCACCATTCTAACTTTTGTTAGCACAAACTTGACCTGACCAGCGTGTGGCAGACAGAAATATACCTCTGAGAGTGTGCAGACGCAGGATAGCCTGGTTGGCAACATCTTCCTCGAAGTTGCTGTCGCCGTTGGTATCACCAGCATCGGCCAGACCAATACGGGCAGCATCGGCGCCGAACTTGCGGGCAACATCCTGCAGCGTCATAAAGTTGCCAGTCGACTTGCTCATCTTCTCTCCGTTAAGCATCAGGTGGCCGTTGGTACGGATACCTCTGGGCCAGTACTCCGGGGTAAACATGGCAAGATGGATGTAGAGGAAGAATGTCAAGTGGTTGCCGATGAGATCCTTGCCGGAGCTGCGAAGGTCGAGGGGATAGAAATACTCGAACGAGCGGCGCATGCTCTCCAGAGTCTCCTTAGAGATCTTCGACTCCGAGAGGATTTTGTCGTCAAGCTCGCGGCGGCAGAAGACGTAGTCCCAGACCTCGTCAATCATCTGCTCGGGGCCGATGCCACCAGTGCCCTTCTCTTTACCAAAGATATCCTTGTGAAGGTAGGGGGCAATGGTGTAGTACGCCATGTAGATGGTACTGTCACTCAGCGACTCGACGAGGAACTGCGGGTCCCAAGGCAGCTTGGAACCGAGACCGTACGATCTTGCGCAAGCCCATTGGTTGAGCCAGTTGAGAACACCTTGGAAAGCGTTCTTGGTCTCGTGGCTGAAGGTGTTCAGGCCCTTGCCGTCCGCGTTCTCAACCCAGTCGAGAGCAGTCTTCTTCCAGGACTCTTCTCCGTAGTCGAGGTACCACTGGTCCATCAGGGCAACGATGCAGTCGTCTGCTGACCGACTGACAACCTTGCGCTCAGGCTCAGAGTAGACGAACGCCAAACCCTGGTCGATCAGGGACTGGCGAACCTTGGGCTTGGCAGTCTCGACGGCCTCGCCCTTGAACTCGCCAATGTTCATGGTGCCCTTGTAGTAGCCCTCAGAATACGCAGTCTCCTTAGCCTTGTCAAGCTGAACGGTGTCCTTGGGAGAAGCAATCTTGAGCTGCTCGCACAGAGTCTTGGCAATCATGTCTCCAGAAGGGGTGTTGATGATGGACACAATCTCAAGCTCGGCCCACTCCTGCTCGATACCGTAATAGGCGGCCTTTTTGCGAAGGTCCATGGTCATGACCCAATCGGCGGGACTGTCCGAGGGGACAGAGGTGACGACGCCAGTACCTTTCTTGGGGGTGTTAGTCATGCTAGATAGCAGCAAATGGTTAAACGTACCGTAGGCAGGATGGATTCCATAGGAAGGACACGGACGCCATCCTTGTGGACGGAAAAGGGGGCATGGACGCGAGTACCAATGAGGGCGGAACCGTCAATCTCAGCAGTCTGGTCGACAACACCGTCCTGGACGAAAAGGCCTTGGTAGGCCATGTTACGAGCAGCACTTTTGAGATATCAGTTCCCATCTTGCAAAGGTAAGAAATACAACACGCGCTTACCGCTGGGTCATGATGTAGTAGTCTTTTTCGGAAGCCTTGAAGACACCGTAGGTAATCTTGGGGGACACGAAGACGGCATTCTGGCCGTACATGGTTTCGGGGCGCAGGGTGGCTGGGATGAGGAAGACGTTGGCATCCGCGGGCAGCTTAGACTTGAGGGCCTCTCCAGCCTTGGGCGCCCACTCGAGAACCTTCATCTTGAGCCCGGTGTACTCTTGAGGACCAACACCTTTGACAGGGTCAGATCATTGAGCAGCATGAAAGGAGTTGTGAGGAACTTACCTTCACCCTCGGCTCGGTCGTGATCCATACAAGGCTGTCCTACGAGGTGTCAGCAAACAGTAATGAATTCGAGACACGGGCAAGTACATACCGTCCTTAATGGAGTAGATAGTGTACCTCTTGCCGAACTTAATCTTGTTCAGTTCTTTGAGGCGGATCATCTGCCAGCGAACAAATGCATCAAAGTAGGGGTTGGCCTCGGTGGTGATGAAAGATCTGCGCCAATCTTTGCCGGTCAGTCAATCATACTTTGATGGGGGTGGAATCCCACGAACCAATTCTGAAGCCGAGACTTGTCAGGTCCTCCTGGGCCAAAGGGGGGAAGAATTCAAGCCAGTAGGAAGCGTCAGCGAAGAGGTGAATATCCTTTCTAGGGATGCCCATGGCCTCCATGATTTGGAACTAAGAAGCAATCAGGCACTATTCTCACAGGATCTTAGCAGCCGCTGCATACCTGATACTTGGCCTTGATCGTCTTGGCATTCGCCTTGCTCTTCTTGGTGGAGAACTTGGTGATATCGTCACGGGCCGCCTTGGCCTCGACGGGCTTGTCGTCGACGAGGACCTCCTCCTCCTGGTATCCCTCAAAGTCACGGCCGAACATGGCGACCTCATTCTTGAGCTTATCGGCCACAGCCTTGATGGGCATACCGGTCGCGTGCCATCCCATGGGGAAAAGGGCGCGCTTTCCCTGCATACGGGCGACCTGGATCACGCCGTCAGCTTTTCCCTTGCAATTCTTGTTATGTGGCTTCTCTTACACCGGCAGCGAACTCGACCTTGCTCACAGAGAACAAGTGACCGGCGTGGAGACGACCGTTCATGTAAGGGAAGGCCATGCAGCCCATCCTATCCTCTTGTCAACATTCGTTACATTCGCCCTACGCGATTGTATCATACCATTTGGGCTGCTGCTGGCGCAGCTCCTCGGCAGTGATGGAGTGCAGAGGGACTTCCTTCGTGGACGGGGCGTCGACCTCGAAGATCTTCTCCTCGGCCCATCTCTGCTGGTACTTCTTCTCGAGGGAAATGAGAAAATCACGCTTCTCGGTTCCCTTGAGCTCTTTGGTCTTGGAGACCTGGAGGGCCTCGAGGGCCTTGGCGGCTTCGTTAGCCATGATTGTGGGTTTCTCGTTCGATATCGTGGAGGTGGAATCAGCGGGGGCCAATTCCAGCCACTCGATGCGTAGTTATGTGCTTCGACGATCACTCTTGCGCCGGGCGTAACGAGTCACTGCCGGGTATCACGTGCTCGTTTCTGCTCCTTCGGGATGTCGTGGTCGAAATAGTCCTGAGTCACAGTCTAACGTGGGGGAGATTTCGTCGCAGCTCCGATGTTTTTTTCGAGGCTGAGTGTGCCCCGCGATGACTTGGGTGGTTATGGCGGGGTACTGTTAGTGGTCACTGGCCGCTGTTCAGAGCGCCACGCTCGCAGTGTCGCAGGCGGATAGCCTGAGAGGCCCTTGATCGGTACGTATCCCGTATCAGCACCCGCCGTTTGCTAGCTTAGATTTTAATGTGGCTAAGGGATGTGTGTGGCTGCGACACAAAGTGTGGCTTAGCATGCTAACAATGGTCGAAGGCCTGACGCCGCATCGTTTAGATCATGCCTTTTCAGTTCGTCCGTTGCACCACCACCAGCCATTGTGATCACGAACGAGCTCCGATCGCTTGGAATATGTTTCCCACATTCGTACGAAGAGCGGCGCAAGAAGCGGGCTCCAAGCTCTCAGTCTTCAACAATCCGTACCGCACGAAGAAAGTCTGGCCTCCCGACTTTACGAATCTCTCGCCTCAATCCCAGCTTCGATTCGAAAAGAAGTACAAGCGACGTCTAGCATTGGTGTATGCGCGGCCGCGATGGAATAAAGCCGTTAAGCTTGCTCAGCTTGCGACCGTCCTTGGTTCGTGCAGGACACTGCGGTGCCGATCAGGAGCTGTTCTAACGGGCAGCAGGTTTCCTTGGCTATACATTATTCTTCTCCGAGCTTGAATTCTTTGGCAGGGAGTATAGGCCTTCCGAAGAGGTATTTAGCCTTGCAACTCCAGAGCACGAACTGTACTAACTCATCGCGCCAGATCCGCAAGCGCTTCCGCGGCGTATTTGGCGTTCTCGACTCCGACAAGCGATACGAGAGACGTAGAGACGCGCCCGAAGCGCCCGCTCCTACCGAGACAACAAAATAAGCTCGCGGTCGACGTAGAAGTATCAGCATTAGAAGGAGTTTGTGGCATTTTTAATACCCGGCGAAAACAGGCCCTATGTAACACCACATTGTTCGAACAGTAAATATATTCCTCGCAGAAATGGCCTAAGCTACCGCCCGTGCCAGACGAAGTTGCTTCCCATGCCCAGTCCACCGCCGATTCCACCGCTCCGGCCTTCGTTGACCGGTCGCTTGGCCACGGTGCCTTGCGCTCTTACCCCAGACACGATGCGATCCAAATTTGTCTCTATCACCACTCCTCCCACAATCATCTCGCCTAACGTTGCGTGCAATGTCTCAAAGTTAAAGATGAGGTCTAGTTCGCATACGTTCTCGAAGAGCTTGTCGAGTGCCTCAACGTAGACTTGGATTAGATCGATCAGGGCAAGGGGCGACTCGGTCGATGTCGAGATGACGATGAAATACAAGGTCGCGTAGTTACGGTAGGTAACAAGAGACGGCACATCGTTTTCCTCTTCCGACGACGAGTGTGAAGTACCCGAGGCAGCGAGTAAAGGAGGAAGCGGAAGGAAGTTACAGGAGCCGGCCGGGCGGTTGGAAACAAGAGTGAAGATCTCGGAGATCAAGCGCTGTTGCATGCTAGTTTCCTGCGGCGATGGGTCAATCGACTTCCATGAGCGTGTGCCTTGCGACTGGTTATGCATACCAGCTGCGTGTAGAATTTGGTCAGCCGAGGCTGGCCCTGGCCGTTGAAGACCAGGAAGGCGTTGATCATTGTATTCTCTGTCGTCTGAGCATCCCGACTTTCCTGGTGTGCTTGATGCTGGCGAGTAATCGATCCCGCGGGCGATGCGCTACGCTTTGGTGGGGTCCAGCTGGCTCAGCACCAGTTCGAAATCGAAAGGTGCACTGGCCGTACCAGGCACATGACTTTCTGACGTAATCACCCTGCCGGACCCAGAAATGGTCCAAGCTTTTGCTCTCTCCATCAACCGCTGATCGAAGCTGCACCTGCAGCTCCCGTCACACCCTGCAGTGACGTGGGGAAGGAGCTGAAGCTACCTTTTGCCTGCCGTTCTTCTAACAAGCTAATTTATTGATCTACCACGATTCTCTTCTCTCTCCTTCATTCAATTGATCGACGACTCAATAGTCCGACACCATAACCGAAACGGTCAATCCGGTTTAAATCCAATCACCTACAGTTACCATGGCCCGCAGCAACATCACCAAGCTCACCGGCGGGGCCGCTCGCGCCCTCCGCATCGCATCGCAAGCCCGTTTGGCAGTCCCGCGCCGCTCTGCTCTCCTCTTGTCCGCCTCCAAACCTGCTGCCTCTGTTATCCCGGCCCGCAAGCTTTTCACGACGTCGTCCGCTTCTGCACGGGGTATCATGCCCGATACCGACGACCCCAAAGTCAAGGAGACGCCCAAGGAAGAAGTCAATATGAATGTCGTTGAACTCACGGATGCCGAATATCACGAACTATCCGATGCTCACCTCGAGACCATTCTTACGCAGCTCGAGGAGATAGCCGATACCCGTGAGGGTGTTGACGTTGAGTATGCTGTAAGCGAACGACCCTCTGACGAAGCCCAATTGAACTTTGTCTCATAGCCACTATTTACCATCTCTATTTGGTATTGGATGTAGAATCTGACATAAACGATACAGGCTGGTGTTCTCACTGTTACGTTTCCGGAGGTCGGCACCTATGTGATCAACAAACAGCCCCCCAACAAGCAGATCTGGCTCTCGTCACCCGTTTCAGGCCCCAAGCGCTACGACTGGGTCGTTGTTGGCGACTCGCAGAACGACAAGGAAGGAACTGCTTCCGGCGCCTGGGTCTACACTCGTGATGGCAGCACTCTTGACGACCTTTTCCTGAAGGAACTTGACATCGACCTTAGTATAGCCCCGTCAACCTACGGTGAGAGTCAGTCGTAGGCAGTCAAGAGTTCCGCCTGAGGATGGCAACAAGGGGTAGGCCTTTGGATTGGGCTGTCGCACGCCGTTTATGCGATCCTGCTGGAAAACAAGCAAGAAACTGGGGTGTAATCAACATGGCAATAGGGAGTTTCGAGGTGGTTATCAAGGATTGGAAGCAAGTTCTCCCCTCTCGAACTTCAGAAACAAACAGAACGGCTTTCATGGGGCTGTGTACTCAATGTCTGTAAATCAAGCGCTGGATCGCGCTATTTTGAACGGGTATCCTGGCAGGGCTGCCGGGTCCCCTTCTCGATGGGGGTAGCACTGTGAAATGGTTCACTGACAACAAGGCTGGAACTTATTGTGTTGATTTGTGTTCAATTTAATTACAATACAGATGTTTCTACGCTCATGGAACCACATGCGTGGGTCGTACATATCGGTCGCCGACTGCTGACTCATTTCATTCTCTCCTTTACACAGGACATTGACCTTGACCATCCATACTCTCCGGAAGTGTTACTTTTTGATGAAAGAGAGTCTTTCTCACAGAGTTCGACTCGTGCCGTATTAATGCTGCAATTGAGGGCAATGCGTAGCGAGGGTATCGTAAGTCTCATTCCATTTTCGTTCATCGGATCCCGTTCAAAACGTCAAGTCTACACCTTGCTGATCTTCGCTGCCATAGTTGGATGTTGTTAGGCTGGCATCTCGTGCCTCTCGACAGGGGCCGGTAGTTCAACAGCCGGCCCTTCTCGTGTCTCGGGCATCTCGTGTATCGCTCTCGGAGCCGGCAGTTCCGTTGTCTCTCCGTTGTTAGCGCCCATCAGCGTGGCATCGTCGGGCTTTTCCGGGTCGTCCATGACAGTGTCGAGGGCCTCATCACGGGCGGCTTGAGCCCTGGCCCTCCTCCGGTTCCAGAACCAGACTAAGGCTACGACGAAGAGGACGAGACTCGAGGTGGCGCCCAAGGTGATGCCGATGATCTGCCCCGGTGCGAGACCGGACTGTTGCAGGATGTTGTCGGGGAATGGTGAGCCTTCGGATGTCTGCTCCGGTCCTGCCGTGGGTGTGAGTGTGATGGTTCGTCCTCCCTCCGTCACTGTCACGGCCGAAGGGGCCGTGAAGCCAGGGCCGAACCTGTCGGTTGGGAATGGTGGGTTGAGCGACATGGTCGGCCGCTCGAATGGTCTGGATGAGAATGGCTGCGCCAGCTTGAAGAAGCCGGTGGTGGTGCTTGTTTAAAGGGCGGGAGCGCGAGGGAGGAATCATCGGGGCAGGCCACGCAATTCGCCCCCTGTTGGAGGTCACGGTTGAAAAAGAGGAAGGGAGGCGCAGGCCCTTTTTGATAAACCCTCCGTGTCAAGTCCGACGGCCATGGCGGGAGGTGCGCTTGACGGGCTCGAGACATATGCAGGAGGAGCAATGGCGCGGATCGATGGGGGAGCAGGGAGCAGGAAAAAAGATGGCTGAGCGCTGCCGCACCGACTCGCGGATGTTTTGCTTGGCGTACTGCGACTTGAAGCCAACACGTCAGGTCGCGCGCGCAAAGGGCCGTGTGTTTCGTTTCTTTCGTTTCCTTACTAAGTTTACCACCAAAACCGGGAAATCCGGTGATGGGCGCCACCGAGTCAACGCGCTATTTTCCCCAAGACATTTAAGAATCTGCGAGAGCCCGCACCCCATCACCCTTCCAAGACCCGAATGCCCGAATCAAGCCGACACTCCCGGGGCGCCTCTCGCAGTGGTGCGGTTTGGCAGAGGCGGCCAGGTGCTTCTGCCACTCGCGAGCGGTGAGGTTAGCTGCTCTCAAGTGAACGTTGCCCTGTTTCGGACTTTGGTATGTCGTTTTAGCCCGGCGGCGGCGGCGCAAAACCCGAAGTTGAGACGAGAACCGCACCCTGTCCGTTCAGTTGAATCAATCGTCTCTTGGCGTCTTGGCTCGTGGGCGTCACCGAGTCGGCTGGGTGTTTTGGCGGATAAACTGTGCGCGATCTCTCGCTCTCCCTCTCCTTGCATCCCAACAACTCGGGCCCAGTTTGCCGGGTTCTTTTATGACGTGCAATACTCAAAACAGGACAGGCCCCCCCGCGTGTGCCTTGGGCGCAGGAGGTTGCAGGTGGTGAACTTCGGGGATTTCACTCCAGTTCACCTGATCTTTTCCCCCCTAGTTGTCCGAAGCACGCACGTGTGCGCGCGCGCGCCCCTGTCACCGTACTTTACCCGACGATCACAGAGATACGGAAGGTCAGCCACTCGGACCAGTAGTCACCCAGGTGGGCGGCGGTGAACCGGAATATAAAGTGTCCCGCGTCGGCAAAGATCCAAAGGCGACACCATCAGTGGAGGAGAAACGGCGTAGAAGGCGAGGGTGACGAGGGCCTCGGTAGGGCGGGCGCAGCTTGAGGACGTTGATGAAGCCGGCGACGACGCGGACGCCAAAGGACGCAGCGGAGGGGGCGGACCGGGAGGCGGCCTCAAGGAAGTCGATGTTGCTCTTTGCGCCGGAGCGGCCTGATGACGCGCCACGAGTGCCCTGTGACGACGCTGACGCCGCGCTGGAAGCCGATTTCCTAGGTGAACTGGTCGAGGAGGGCGTTGAAGTCGCGGCGGTGGGCGAGGGGGGTGTCGCAGAGCAGGTGATCGTCGAGCACGGAGGCCAAGAGAAACATGGGGATGCACTTGTTGTCCGAGATGTCCTCGCGGGCGTCGTTGAAGAGTACGAGGGCGCGGGTCCGCAGCTGGGGGCCTGAAGGGCGGGGAAGGCGGCGCAGTCGGGGTGCAGCCCGGCCATGTGGCGGGTGGCCAGGCCGAACAGAGCGTCTATGAGGTAGGGGGCGCCGAGCCCGTTTTTGAGGCACATGGCGGGTAGGGGGTGCTCGTGGGGTCGTCATCGGCGCACACGAAGGTGCCCATGCTAGTCTCGAGGTGGTGCAGGAGGCGTATGTGCTCGAGGGTGAAGATCTGGGTCGTTGGCGGCGGCGTCGCCAGCGACGATATTGGCGTCGGGATTTGCGACAAAGTCGTTCACCATGAGCGGTGCTGGTGGGCGAAGTTCATGGTCCGGCAGCGGCCGGGATGCTGTTGCCGCCGCCGCTGCCAGAGCCGGCCGGGCAGTGGCCGTCGACGGCGGCGGTGGACGGGGCAGAGGTGGAGGCGGAGGCGAGCAGGAACTCGAGAAAGGAGCAGTGGTGGTCGGCGGTCTCGTTGTTAGCTCTCGTCGCCCTTGACGTGACGACGCTTGCACTCCTTGCGCCCGTTGCGAGATTTGCTGTGGATGTGGCGGGTTTTTGACGTAGACATCCGTCGATCCGCTGCCCTGAGTCGACGTACGGCAGTTGTACGTCTGGAAAGCCATCCTTTTGAGGGAGGGGGAAGTGATCCAGGTGCCCATCGGATGGAAGTGAGTGTCTTGGCCAAGGAGAGAATCAAGGCTAGAGGCGAGCCATTGGGTGCGCCTGAGGGATCGCCGGCAAGAAAAAGGGGGGTGATGACGTGGCTTGTCGACGAGGTCGTTCATTTTTAGGTAGGGACAGTCGAGTGAGTGAGTGGGGAGTGAATGGTGAGTGAATGGTGAGTGAGTGGTGAGTGAGTGGTGAGTGAGTGGTGATTGAGTGAGCGACCGAATGAGTGACGAGGTTGAGGTCGAAGTGATTTTTTTTTTATTTCCGAAAAGATGAGAACCCGACTTCAGCTCTGCTTTGGTGGGCGGGCGGGTAGCTCCTGTAGTAGAGGAGTCTACACGGTATGCTTATCGTCTTGTGTCCCTATTTCAGCGTCGTCGTGAAACGTAGCTTTCTGGATGCATGTCCAATATTCGGGCACAGGTCTGGCATAGGGTACATACTTTTCATGACTACACAGACGAAGAACCCTCCCTCGGGGCAATGATGCGCCTCCTGCGCATGGCCACGCGGCCCAGACCACGATGTCCGATCCAAGTTCATCCCCACTGAACCCTTCAGTCCCTTGGCAATCTCATCACGCCGTGATTCTCTAGGAGATGGGACAATTCCCCCTAGGCCCCTGCTCTTCCCTCTTCCATCCTAAAGGGACTCCGTGATGAGAGGGACCGGCGTGAGGTACGGGCCGAGCCTTGTCCGTCTTCTTACGGGTTGACAGCCCGGCCTACGTAGATAGAACCATGTGTGATTGGCTCCGTGGCCGCAAATCCCCCGCCAGCCCTGCAGGTGGATCGTCCGCGAATCACGTCTTGGCCCGTCATACCTCATACGCGTATTTGCGATTCCATGATTTAAACCACTCAATCAATCGGAATCCGAGAGAGAATGAAGCCTGACTCTCCGTCTCCCTCCCTGACGACACCCCCGACGGGCGTGCGTATGCTTCCTAGGCTAAACTTGCGTGTATTTGCTCTTACCGGCATTCTCTACTATGATAGGGGGAGACCGGGTCAGAAATGAGCATGCCACGCAACGCGATCGCGAGATGACGGGAAGGGCACTAATCCCTGGCATATCTAAAACAAAAATTACCCAGAACGCTACATATTCCCAAGAAGGCATATCATCGTTTCTGTGTAGAATTAACCAGGTAGGCCTTTACCCGTGGTTTCATATGCAGTAGAGACGCTAAAGTTTGTTCCGCTATACGGCTGCCATGTGATTCCCCGTTTCTATGCACTAAACCGAGCTTGCACGTCACCGTGCCTTGGAGCAGATCATCCCGCCACAGTGGCCTGCAGGGGGGTGTGGCAAGAATAAAGAATGACCCGAGTGATGTCAACGCCCTGCCAACTTTTCTAGATATCGAATATCCCAAAACGTTCAAACCTTTGCGGATAGTCACTGTAAACCCTCTCAACTTTTCCCTGCTGAGGAATCTGACCAAGAACGGGCGTCCGCACTGCATCTTTCCCTTTTCGAAAATCCCCGAGCATCCCCGACCCCACTTGCATCCCACCTACTCTATTTCACAACCTCGTCGAAAGGGATAGGCCCTCCATCGTCTCGCCTTTCTTGCCCTCCTTATGCCTTCTCCATCCCCAGAGGAAAAGCAGACGCAGAGGGACAAGCTCCTCGCGCAAGCGACCGCCAAGCTCCAGGAGGCGCAGCAGGAGGCCGAGGAGGCGCAGCGAGCCCGCCAGCGCGCCGAGGGGGTCGAGGACCCTGAGGAGAAGAAGAAGATCCTCGCCGAGGCGGCCGAGCACGAGAAAAAGTCAAAGTCGCTGGAGAAGCAGTCGCAGCGGCTGCAGAGCGGCGTCTGGCAGGGCGGCATCGGCGGCGCGGGCATCGGCGCGGGAATCGGCACAGGGCTGGGCGCCGGCGTGGGGACCCTCGTGGGCGCCGTCGTCGGCGGCGTCACGGCGATTCCGACGACCGGGCTCGGCCTCCTGGTCGGCGCCGGGACCGGCGCGATCCACGGGCCGTGGTACAAGCTGGACCAGGAGAAGGAAGAGGCGGGGGAAGGGTCCCACGATGGGCACGAGGAGGACGTGGGGGACGGAAAGGATGCCAAGTGAAGGCCGCCAACTGTCTTGATTTTCATTATGTACTTGTAGGATTCGGACGAAAATAACGGGGCAGTGGCGGGGGTCTGTCGGGACGGAGATGTCTGTGTTACGGCCGAAGGAGGACTTTTGCATTTTTGATCTGGGCTACGTTTTGCATAGTGAGGAAACATGGGATACATCGTACACGTTGGTTCGCAGTGGAATAGGAAGAGATCACAACAGTCATCACCCGATCCGTTAACCTCGAATTTTACTAGCAACGGGTGCAATTCCAAGGCCTGCTGCCCCTGTCATCAAGGAAGCCCCAAAGGCGAATGTACGATTAAAGCGCCATGCAAAGGCCCGTGTGAGTATACGGAGTACTGTCAATACGTTGCACAGCGCAAGCATTTGCCAACGCAAACGCCCGAGATTCCGTGGTGTTCGATGTCTAGCCAATTTCTGACTCGAGTCCGCTGCCGGCACCGGATAACAGAGCGCATTCCCGTGACGTGTTCGTGGTCAAGACAGCTGCCTGGAGAGCTTGTGGCCGTAGCTCCCGAGACCGCAGTTCCCAAGGCTGATGCATGTAACTAATTTACCATGTGCCACGTTGTCTAGTGACCCGTTAGCCCATGATCGGTAATAGCGTCCGAAATTAGACATGGGCGGAAAAATGTTCATCGCAACATTGGGGCGGAGTTTCCAATACTCGGCTCCGCCACGTGCGCCAGCACCATCCATCCACCGTGCTTTTTCTTCTTCTTTCCCTCTTCTTGTTTTGTCACGCTAGACAAGCCCAGGTCAGCCGCTAGCCGCGCCGGAAGCACTGGTTTCCGCAGCTGCGCGGCAAGGGGCCAGTCAACTTCTGGCACAGATTCCCAGAGTAAGAAATTAGCGCTAGTTAGGATTTGTTCCATGTTGATTTCCGTCGATGATATTGGCGTAGCGGCAATCTGGAGAAAGCTCAGCTTCGTTTGGGGAATGTTTCTTCTTGAGCGGTCTCGTGCTCACGATGCCGTGGCTGTATGAGAAACGCCAACCGGGAACGTGATGCTGTGTCGCGGAAGAGGATCGTTCCGTAAGGCTGTACAACGACGCCGTGAGCTAGGCGACGACGAGTCGATGACCGAAATGTCGAAATCATCTTGTGGAAATGTATATAATGCAACGAGATGTTCGTCCATCCAGTGTTGTTTCTATCATCACTACACAGTAAACCAAGCAATCAAACTAATATCCCAACTTTTCCTATCTAGTCTTTCCTATTTTCCCTTGTTTCCTAGAGTCTTTGTCTCTCACTCAATTCTTAGAAATAATTCACGTAACTACCCAAATCAAACCCTCCAAAACAATCGCCAGAATGTTCTCCATCAAGAACCTCACCGCCGTCCTCCTGGCCGCCGCTGCCACCGTCTCCGCTGCCCCCACCAGCACCTCCGGCAGCAAGACCCCGTCCCGCACGACCCACCTCACGGGCGTCACCCACTCCGTGGTTGCTGGTCTCGGCGGCCTCCGCTTCGATCCGGACAACGTCGTCGCCGAGATTGGCGATATCGTCGAGTGGCACTTCCTGCCCCGCAACCACTCGGTTGCCCAGTCCAACTTCGCCGACCCCTGCACCCCTCTCGCCGACGGCACCTCCTTCTTCTCTGGCTTCAACTTCTTCACCCCCGAGGGCCAGGCCCCTGACGTCTTCCAAGTCGTCGTCGAGGACAAGAAGCCCATCGTGAGTCTACCCCGCTCCGGTCGCACTCAACAGAAGGAACAAGGTAAACTGACAACTGCATTTCTTTTCAGTGGTACTACTGCGCTCAGAACGTAGGCCAGCACTGCCACTCCGGCATGGTTGGCGTGATCAACCAGAACTTCGACAGCCCCGACTTCACCCTCGCCAAGCACAAGGAGCTGGCCGCTAAGAAGGGGGACGCTATCGTTCCCCCTGTCCAGCAGGGTGGATACGTCGTTCCCAACCCCAACCCCCTCGGAGGCTTCAAGCTTTAAGTGTTGAGTAACGAACGATTGAAAGTGACAGGAGGCTTAAGGTGGATATGGATTGCATATTGATGGCGGGTGTTTGCATTTGGCGGCGTTATCTTGATACCGGGTTATCTGATTTTTGATTTGGAATCATCTTATCACTCTCTTACATAGGTACCATAATGTTCTATTCATATTGCCATAAAAGTAGCATCGTCCTGAACATAATGTTGTGACTGCTTCTACTGGTCCTGCACCACGAACCAACCTAGACCCTAAACACTGCTGCTTTGCGTGTGTTTCCGCACACTATGAGCTTCGCAAGAAGCCCGGTGGCATCCAAGAGCGCGTGCTTTTCGGTCCCACCACTAAGTCATCTGAAAGAAGAAAAAGAGGGAGAAAGGGAAGCCGAATTATCGGAATTACCGACACCAGCACAGCATATTGACCTCCTGTAGTTAACTTTCAGCGCTATGGCACAATCGTCACCTTGAGATTCAGGTAGCAAGCTGAGGCTCCATAAAACCTGGATAAAATGCATCAGTGATAAGAAATTCACATTCAAGTACGATGAGCTGTAAATGACGAATGCTGCCAGTCCGAACGATACATCCGGAGTTGTAGAGTCCCGGAGCCGTAGAGCGGCAAACACGGGTTTGAAGTGGGCCCCCGAACTAAGGCCGACCTCCGTCAACGGGCCGCTTCCCCACCTTTTGGAAAGTCACAAAATCACAGTCACGTCATTGGAGGGGTCACGTCATTAATCACCCACTCCAGCGACTTGAACACTGCGGGCTTTCACCATTTTCGGAACTTTGCTTCGCGACATCTGTTCCAAGAAATAAACCACGGAGCCAACCGAGATGACGAACGTCGACACTTCTATTGGGGCTCGGGCCACCGGTGCCGCTGCCCGGTTCGTGGCCGAGCACTTGGAAGAGCACCCGCTGAAGCTCTACGGAGGCTGGTTCTGCCCCTTTGTGCAGCGATCATGGATCGTGCTACACGAGAAGCAGATCCCGCACCAGTACATCGAGATCAACCCTTACAAGAAGGACCCCGAGTTCCTCAAGATGAACCCCCGTGGCCTGGTCCCGACCCTGGCCGTCCCTGTGGACGTCAAGGGCAACGAGCAACGACCATTGTACGACAGCACGGTGCTCTGCGAGTATCTTAACGAGGCGTATGCTGGCAATAACTACGGACCGCATCTCCTTCCGGAGACACCTTATGACCGCGCGAGGTGCAGGCTGTGGATAGACCACATCAACTCGCGCATCGTGCCGGGCTTCTACAAATTCATCCAGCACACCCCGGAAAAGGAGTACAGCATCGAACAGGCCCGAGAAGAGTTCTTGAGTAACATCAAGACCTTCACCAAGGAGATGGATCCCGAGGGACCCTGGTTTCTAGGCCAAACTTTCAGTCTTGTCGACGTCATGCTTGCCCCCTGGGCGATGCGGTTATTTCTCTTAGACCACTATAAGCCGGGGGGTCTTGGGATTCCTACCAAAGGAGAAGACGAGAACGAAAACAGGATCTGGAAGAGATGGGGTCAATGGTACAGTGCTATAGAAGAAAGACAAAGTGTGAAAGACACACTCAGCGACAAAGACGCCTACATCGAGGTGTACAAGCGGTACGCCGAAGACAAGACGAACTCCGGGGTAGGGCAGGCGACTAGAGGTGGAAAGAGTCTGCCTTGAGTAGTGAATTCAAAGAGGGGTTCTTCAGAGTGTGATGCCCCTGGCTCTGGGTAAAACGGACTGAATCTGTATCTCTTATCCGTTCATCAAAACACACCATGCCAGGGACCAGACTGACTAATTTAACCCTCGTGAATCCTTCGCCTTGTGATTCCGTCTGACTTTCATCGGCCACTTCCCCGACTCAATCCTGCGGATTTGGGACCGGCCACGCTACAACACTTATCAAGCATGCCTGAAGAGCACCACGGATATACAAGACAGACAGCCCAAGGCGCCGAACCGAGAAGTCTCCACTCATGACCTCAAATTAGTCAGAGGCGCATGCCTGAGCTCCAACAAAAGGTCGTTGATTCACGATACCGATCAAGACACTGAAGGTGTGAGAATCGGCCTGTTTCATCACCTGCTTGACCTTCATCAAATATTCGTATCTAATCCCGTCTATCACTTGTAAACTGGTATTCTCCCTGCTCATAGGCCTGGAAACACTCTTCCCCCCAAATCTTCAACGCTATCCAACCAGTCATCGTCTCGGTGACGATGTCTCTCACAACGACAATGTGCGGTGGCCAAGAAGAACTCGATAACCTTGTCTGGGACAAAACCGACGAGGGGTCTCGTGAGGCGCAGAACTAAATGCGACTTAGAAGCATTTGTCACAAAGTGGAAGAACTTGTCGAGGAAAAATTCGGGAAACCAGCAGCCTTAATATCACCCTTGATCTTCGGTGGCTCCGATATCCTATACAGAATGCGCCTCGAAAGAACGTCCCCAGATGTTATGATTCCATTGCATTGCCCAAGCTTTGTCCAGTTTCCGGACAGGATAACTATTTATGAGGCAGCCACGGCAGCCTTAATCGCGAGAAAGACGCAGCTACTAATCCCTCAATAACTTTCCTATGGCCGAGCTTCAGTAGTTGGCCCTTTTGTTATTATGGAGCGGATTGAGAATTGAGGGAGCGTGTCAGCGAGGCTAAGCAGACTCAGCGACGACTGTTCAGCGCAGCATTTTCTGGATTCCAACGTTTTTAAGACCACTTTGGGGCTATCTGGGGCAAGGTAGCACGTTGTCTGCTGAGGCCCTCTCAGATAACCTTTCCCCGGATTGGGTCTTTGGCTGAGGCCAATGGCTTACAGTTATATGTCAAAAGTCTAGAACCCTAGGTGCTTAGGATCAATAGAATTATATCTATAGACTTAGGATACAATAAGTATATTGAAGTATATCAAGAGTGATTTAACTTACTTATCTTATCTATATAATGAGTATTCTCTTAATTATTATTTTATTATAAGGTCTAAGTAGTAAAACTCCCTTGAAAATACCAAGATGTATATTTTATTTCATGCTCTTTTTCAATCTAATTCAGAAGAAATAAGGAGAATAAATTTTTAAAAAGTAGAGTTTAATAATTAATAATTCTAAAGCATATAGTTATATATACTTGAATACCTAAGTTAGTAAGACACTTAGTTAGAGTAAAAGATAGTAAGTTTTAGTGGATTTAAGGTTAATGTTCTAGGCTTTTGAGAAGTCACTGTATGAGACTGCAGACGAATTGTATACTGTATTAGCAGATATACACAATGCATAGCTTATCTTCCAACACAACGACCTGGCCACTTCGGAGGATAATTGCCGAAACAAGTATGTGGCGCGCCGGTAGGCGGTGTATGATAACGGCGATTATGGCGATTACTATCGATGATCCGTAATTCATAGGTCTTTAAGGAGGAGTGATCAGACAAGCTGATATTGTCCCCCCCTGTCAACCCGAGAGTACCGTGCACAATAACAGCAATAAAGCTCAGCAGACAGTGGATTCAGGTGATAACACAACTATCTTAGAGGCCAAAGGGATGGTCTTGGCCCATCCCGACCTGGAGCGCAGCGTAGGAAGCAGGGTGGGTTAGTACTATTCTAACCCTCCCTGGCGGAGCCGTTTAAGAATTAAAAAAAAAATCTAAGAAAACTGGATTTAAACTGGATTTGAACCTGCAGCCTTTAGGATATGAGGTTTATCGCTGTTATCGTGCACGGTACTCTCAGGTTGACAGGGGGGGACAATATCAGCTTGTCTGTACGGAGTAGACTCGTCTTTAAGGGGGAATCTCAACTCTGCGGTGATAGGTGTCTGTCCGTTTGTGGATACTCTCCATTCTTTTTAACGGCGAGTGGATATTACCGGTGCAACTGTTTGCTGTCATATTTTATGCCCACCCAACCATTAATTCGCGCGGAGGAACCGTCCAACGATCTAATTCGGTGCAACAGTGGGTATTGGGATGGACAATTTGTCGCTAAAATGCATATTTCGCCGCGTCCGAGAACCCCGAACTTTGGCTCGGTAGGTTCATAGGGGGAACCCAAGCAGCCTCGATATTCATTTGGCAAAGAGTTGACGCAGTCGGCATCTCATATAGCCATGCCCTCTCTCCCCACGGGGAAGCGGAGGTCAGTCAAACGTTTCGAGGCTCAATCCCCATCATCGGCATTAGGCAATCCTGCGCAAGTGACTAAGAGAAACTCAGTATGAATCTTGTTAGTGTGCCATGCCCCTGCTCGAGGTCGTGTACCTGGTGCTGTGGTCGGTAGCGATGAACAGGGCCTCGATTTTCGCGCAGTCGGAAGGCCATCCCGACGGTACAAAATTGGGACGGAAGGGTGACCGGGGTGGGCACCCGATGATTTAATTTCGAAACGGAGGCTCCGTCCACCCGGGATGTCTTCGGCGATACATCCATGCTCCAAGGGAAGTTATCCGCGAGTCGCGCCCACGGCGCCTCCGCTTGCTCGGCTATCATAGCGGGGAAGTCTCCACGATGATGCACTTGTCAGGGCGGTGCAGTTTGCTTTACAATGGAAACTGGCTGTTGTTGATATCGCAGTTGCGATGTTGCTCTGTGGTGTTTTCTGAAAATACACAAATAGTCCTGCAAGGGATCAGCTACTCTTATCCAACTGTTCCGCGATATCTCCAACCGCTCAGGTGTTGAGAAGCTTTCGAAGCTGAGAACTACGGATGCATGCATGCGCCAAGACAAACCTCTCCATTCCGAGGAATGTATCGGGACAGGATCTGGCGAACCAGTGTAGTTGATCATCGACCAAAAGAGAGATGATTTACGAATACCTATGCGTTGGAAAAGACGGCGAGTCATTTGCCCCTTGAACCCTTGAAAAGCATACCGCCGTGACGTAGAGCCCGTAGTCCGGGGAAAATATGGGGTCGTTATACTAGATAGATACGTAATCTAAATCGAGCCATAGCAAGCCATCTTCGGTTCTTGCGGGAGCAGGCCTGTAAGGATAATAGAGAAGAAAATCTTGGCATCCAATGCCCGCCGATTCTCCATAGTTCCAAGGTCGGTGAGGCAGCTCTCGGGCAAGTATTTTACAAAGCCGCACCATTCCCAGTCCCATTTGGGCGCGTTGCTCTCGTGCCTCCCGACTTCCATTTCTAATAGGCAACGGTTCATGTCAAAGTCAATGCTTGCCCGCTTGGCTCCTCTTTTCTTTCTACGAGATTTCAATTCCGTCAACCATTAGTCTTGGTCTTTTGCTATCCTGCAAATTCAATCCATCCCAAAGCCCTCGTCAGCTTTCAATAGTGCTGCAGACTGAGAGTGGCTTGTGCCTCTTGTGAACCCCGACGACGGTCGATACCTACATATTTACGAAATAACGACAAGTGGAAGGCGTCCAACTGCTACCAATATGGGCTACACGAAGGAGGACGTTGAAGAGTTGGGACCTGTCCCAACACACTCGCAAACTGGTCATGTCCTAGAGGACATGGACGCATCTTACGATGCTGTTTTCGGCAAAATCAAAGAAGGCGGACCCAACTACCGTAATGTAGGAAATCCCAATACCCCATTTCTGATCAGATGCTAACTCCCCAGTTAGGTTGGCTGGAAGGGAACTGTAGCTCTCATGATGAAGACTCAGATCGGACTGGGTGTCTTGTCCATTCCCAATGTTTTTGATGTGCTGGGCATTGTCCCGGGCGTCATTGCTCTAATCTGCATTGCCGCCGTCACGACATGGTCCGACTACATCGTGGGCGTTTTCAAGCTCCGTCACCCCGAGGTCTACGGCATCGATGACGTTGGACGCCTACTTTTCGGCCGCGTTGGACGCGAGTTCTTCGGCATCGTGTTCTGTCTCTGTATGTGTATTTCCCTTCCAGGCTCAAAAACTTGCGACTGACTTTGGGTCTTCCAACAGACTGGATCTTCGTTGCTGGCTCCGGCATGCTTGGCGCCTCGATCGCGCTCAATTCGATGACCCTGCACGGTGCATGCACCGCTGGCTTTGTTGCTATTGCTGCTGTGATCGGCTTTGGCTTCGGAAGTATTCAGACACTGGGAAAGATCACTTGGTTCGCATGGATCGGCCTTATCTGTATCATGTCTTCAAGTAAGTGCTGCACCTTGCTGCTTGAAAAGGATATATTGTTGGACATGAACAACCAGCTAATTGGAGGCAGTTTTTACCGTCACCGTGGCGGTAGGAGTTCAAGACCGACCGGCTGCCGCTCCGCAAGAGGGCCATTGGGTCTCTGACTACAAGCTCGTTGGCAGCCCAACCTTCGCACAGGCTTCGTCGGCGCTGTCTTCGTTGGTTTTTGCCTTTGCTGGCACGCCGGCATTCTTCTCTATTGTCTCTGAAATGCGAGACCCTCGCCACTACACTCGCGCTCTCATTATCTGCCAGAGTGGCGTGACCGTCACCTACATCGCCATCGGATGCGTTGTTTACTACTTCTGCGGCTCTTATGTTGCGTCCCCTGCTCTGGGCTCGGCTGGCGCGACCATGAAGAGAGTATGCTATGGCCTCGCTTTCCCCGGCTTGATCGTGACGACAACTCTTGTCATCCATGTAAGTTGCGCCCATTCTGGAATCTGCAGTAGCACTGAGGAGCGTCGGTTAACGAGTGCATAGCTTCCTGCCAAATACATTTTCATCCGTATGCTGCGTGGATCCCGACACCTGACTGAGAACACGATGAAGCACTGGGGTATCTGGCTTGGATGCACTTTCAGCATTACTGTGATTGCGTATATCATTGCCAGCTCTATCCCTGTTTTTGATGGTCTTGTTTCTCTTGTGGGTGCCCTCTTCGGAACCCTGCTTTCCTTCCAGCCAATGGGCTGCATGTGGCTCTATGACCATTGGACGGAAGGTAAGCTTGAGAAGCGACCGAGATGGATTGCCATGGTCTGCTTCAGTGTCTTCGTCATCGTCAGCGGTTCCTTCCTGATGATCGCAGGTGCCTATGGTTCAATCGTTGGGATTTTGGATAGCTACAAGGTGTCCGGGGGTTCGGCGGCATTCTCTTGTGCGGACAACTCCAACTCTGTCTAGTTAACCCGACATTGCTCCACAAGAGCACGGGAGTCTCTTTGCTTATTGTTCAATATACCCAATCCATCCATTCTGGTTCAAACACTTGTAGTACGCTGCTGAGTTTCATAGCCTCCTTGGTCACTGGACGCCACGTTTACAGGCTACTCTGCATGGCAGCCTTGTAGCGAACTGCACTGGTTGTACTTAGGCTGACGCGGATCTCGTGGTGATACGCCGAGGGAGAGGTCGGAATGCCCTATGGCCAAACAAGACCCAAGCGCAATGAAGAGTGTTGTCAGTTGACACGGCATCAGTCGAATGCGGAATCACCCGCGACTTGAATCGACATGGCTGGCTATGGGGAAGGAACGGAGTGGCCATGACGATACATGCGTATCTTTGCATCCTCATGTTCTTCGATCTCTCTGTCCCTGGTCTCTCCAAGTACGGGCGGTGTTGGCTATACCATGAGATTGTATTGGCGCCGTGATTGTCTTAGCCGCTGTCTGCCGTGCCGTTTACAAACCGCACTGCCCCTCGGCCGTCCTTTTAGGTGACTCAACTGACTCTCGCCACGGCAGGGCGTTGGGCCGTTGCTGGTGACCAAGCCACATTACTTGATATAATTTATTTCATCTTTTGTTTTTACTCTTTTACACTCTACATGCCGTTTTGAGATATGTTGGCGAGACTTAGACGTACGGTCTGCTAGCTGCAACACATATCGCCTATCATTGGCTGAAATTGTTTTCGAAGCCGTGGTTTTACCCTCCATATAGGATGTCAAAATCGCAATTAGAAACTTCCGTTCTCTACAACTAACCTTAAATACTGCCTCTAAGCTTCTTCCAAATTCAGTAGTCTCACAGCTCACAAACCATTCTCTTCACTATAGAACCATCAACAAGGCCTGCTGTCAGCCCTAAATTAACTAAAAATCAGGTCAAGTCTACAGGCAGCACCGGAGTTACCGTCTAGCAGGTTGCTACTAGAAACAATAGATCGACTAGCAGTTCAGCCGAGGTTTATGCCCATAGGAACAGGTTCATCAAAACAAACCTGAACATGAGCAAAGTAGATTTGACCAGATTCCTCCTGAAGCCACTGCGACAAGGCTGGCTAGAAGCATTCGGTATAGTCCTCCTTTACGTGCAACACCGTCTCGCTACTGAAGAACCTTTCACAGCCCCAGTCGAGGATTTCTTTCCAGTTTTGAAACAGGCTACCAAGGAAACTATTGCAAGTGAGCTAGGACTCCATAAGCGCAGAATTGACCTTATTGGAGTCAGCGCAGATGCTACGCTGGCGCTCACCGCGACATTCGGGGCTGGGGACGAAGGACTAGTTCCGTCGGCTTGGAGACTTATTATAGTGATACTGTGATCTACCCGATGTTGGACCCAGATACGGATTGGCAAGATCGCACAGCTGCAGTTGATAAGACGACCGTAGAGATAGGAAAAGAAAAGAAATTCTAAGGAACGGTTGGAAGGCATATCTTCGAGGTTGGACAAACCTTCCAGATGAGCAAATGAGATACGCAAAGCCGAGGCTTCTATGTCATTGAGTGAAAATTGTCTTGTCAGACATCGGTACGGACCACTCCTCAAATGGAAGGCTGGACTGCTGCTGTTTGAACACCTCAAAAGTCTGTAGCTTCGCCACAACAAAAGGAGTACTACACGAGAAACCCAACCTGCGAAACGCCAGTTCTCGTCTGTTCCAACCGGCGAGAAGATTTTCGGCCCGTTGGAGGTTATCCTTCTTGCTCATGTCGTACATATCTTGGCGGTAATGATAGAGTCGGTCGATGGCAGTCCATGCTCTCTCCACCAATGTCCCGACCGGCTGCCACTGGAGCAGCTCAATCATGGCAGAGAAGGCATCTGTCTCGAAATGAAGTTTGTAGTACCATACGAACTTGTCGTCTGCCGCATCGTACCAGTTGATGTCGCTTTCAAAGGCAATGACCCAGGCCCTGAATAATGACCGATGTCCACCTTCACCGTCGAATTCCTCGTCCCAAGGTTCTCGCGCGTGGAGTATCATGTCGCGTAACCTTTGTGTTATGAGCGAACGGACCTTGCTCGCCATCAGATGTATGCCGCCAGCGCTTGCATCAGTGTATTTTGCTTCAGCAGTGCCCAGTTCCTTGTCGTATTTCTCAACGATTTGTTGGTATTTGCCAAGTGATTGTGTGGCCAATTGTTTGTAACTCTCCGTGCTCACGTTGCCTCCGCCGATGATAGCTGCCTCAAACTCGGGAATCGGGTTATTGTAGAAAAACAAACGAGATTCGTAAATCATCAGACAGAAGGCCATCTCAGTAGCCCCTTCGCGCGACTTTATGGGTTCCAAGGACCCTGGCACGAGATCGGCGTCGTTGACGTTAGAAGGCAGCGTGGTATCCCAGTTAGGCGGCAAGATAGCATCGCAGAAGCCCGCCAGACTGGCGTACTTCGACTCCAGCAAAATTATCTGCCACCATATTCGCCGTCTGATTTCTGTCTCGAAAGGTGACAAGCCCAGAAGCTGTCCATCGCGGTGAAGGCCCATTCTTTGCGCTATTCTGACAAGTCCTCCGGTCAGAACCCATGCTGCATGCTGGTCAAGTTGTCCTTGTACAGAAACCTGCACCCTGTTAGCCCCAAGACCTGAGAAGTCCTCTTGGAAAAGCTTTACCAAGTACAGAACTAGACACTGTAGGATCATCATGTTATATCTTCTGAGAAAGTCGGTTTCAGCCAGTGCCTTCTTCATTGCCAATGTTGAACGACGCAACGCGCTGCTCTTTTCGGCGCCGAGCATCTGGATAGCCTCAGACTCTGACAAAGCCATAATCGCAACGACGTTGATGCAACACATAAGAGCTTTGAAGTCGGTGCTGAGATCGATACCACCTGTTACGGCTTTAAAGACCAGGGGCTCTAGAGTTGGAACGTGTACAACTTTGGTCATGGGATTCACCCGTTCCAAGAACACCTGCCACAGTCTGAGCATCTCAACGGGACCCAATGTGAAGATATCAAAATGCATGAACTCCAAATGAACCGGTTCAGCATGCTCAGAGACGCTGGTAGATGTGGAGGGATTAGTCGATTGCCCAGTGTCATTGCCATCAGCATTCAATGTTAAGGATTGCAGCTGAATTGTTGTTAGGCTTCTGCAGGATGCGAAGGAGGAACTACAAGAGGGCACGTACATGGTCGACAATGTCTCCTCTAAATGGGTTTTCCATAAATGTCGCGCGGCCCTCGTTGTAAACAATTCTGCCGTGAGGTCTCGAGGTGAGCTGCTTACGAACCTCCTCATAGCTCACCAAGGATGCCGCCGGGCTGGATACCTCCGTTGTTGGCCCTATTGTATCGGTACCAATAGGATAGCCCTCTTTCCCACGCAATGCTACTTCACTCAGCAGACTCTCGCACTGTTGCAACCTCTGGAGCAAATCTTTTGCGAAGCGACGTCTCCCGGAGCCCGAAGGTGCTCGTTTTGATGGAATGCATGGCTGATCAGCCTACGCGCCCCCAGTGTTAGTGGACAGTTTGTCGCCGGCCGCGTGTAACTTGACGACAAACCTTTACACAGTTGGCGCAGGGGGACTTGCGGTCACACTTAATCTTCCGCTGGTGACAAAACACGCAGGCCAGAACGGCCCGCGGCGTGTCAGCAGCCGGGGTACTCGGTTGCGATCCTGAAGTCTCAGATGCCATTTGAACAAAGCGGGATCGGCTTGGTACGAGGAGTTGGCCGTCCAAAGATGATGGGCTTTCCGGCAAGTACTGTTTTTATGTTTCCTTTACAACAGAGAAAAGGGAAAGACATAGGCTGCAACATGTCAGGAGATCCCCTATGCGGAGCTTGTGGAGACGCTAGGTCTCTTTGGACCGCCCGTGACCCGGCCAATCCTTGAAGCGGACCCAAGTAAACCCCGGGATCCCGGAACCCACTGTGACCGAAGACCTTGCAACACCCATCTCGATTTTCGACGTAGAGACCTGCTAAGGCCGCGCCTACGAACTTTAGCTGCGGAGACGCCATCACATGCCAAACCCGTCGGGTTCTGAACTAAAAACTACACCACGCCATCGTGTCAAGGGGACAATAGGTGCTGCAGTTGAATATCCCAACAATCCTGGGAGCTGATACTGATGGCTAACGGTAGAGCTTGATATCATGGTAGTGTGCTAGTACTATGACCACGAATCCTTTCGCCGTCCAATACTACCTGAGGGTCAGTAGCAACCCCTTCATTAAACAACAACTGTTGGTTTCACCAGGGTATTGGTGAGACAGTTAATCGTACGTATCAGTGGCCGTTGACGGATATCAGGGGTTACTGTTGATCTCTATTATGCGTAAAGAAGAAAAGGGGCAACTGTCGTGGGCTGGCTGGCTGGTTGGTTAAGTACCTAGCCAGATCGCTGTGGGGCTGCCTCGGGAGCCGGGCACGAATTATCCGGCAATAGGGATAACAGGCCACATCGCAACAGTAACTCTTTCTGCACCAGTACACCTAGAACATGGGGTTCAGATTGGGCAAGAGGTAGCTGAAAATAACCATCACATCGATTCCCATAAGAGTACTTGGAGACACCTGGTCCACTTCATTATCAAAGGAGAAGTATAGACCAGAGGATAAAGTTCGGCTTGCCAACGCCCCCAGAATGCTAGCTTGAAGTTTGTTAACCAGCAGGTCATGAGAACTTACACCCGAGAAATCCTTGGTCACGGCCCTTGCCTCTATGACTTGCTAGCTATCTTGAAGCTTGGAACTCACTGCGCGAGGTACTATAGTAAATGCCGCTGCTGATGCTGCGGAGCTACTAAAATTTCCGATTTGGAGTTTCGAATCTCGTTCACATGATGCCGCGCAATTCGGGCACACCCGGCGATAAGCGATCCCGGCAGCAGGTCGCCACTAGAATATTCTAGGCTTATAACGTAGCTTCCAACGATGTCAAGTGGTAACAAGTGGGAGGACATGTTTAGCTATTGCAGGTCATGAATGATAACGTCAAAGAGCACGCACAAGACGGTAATGTGCATTTTAACGAGGAGCCTATAGCTAAAGAGAAAAGTGATGATCCTAGCCAGAAGGAGATATATGTACCTCAATGTAAGATGAAACCATGCGAGGCTCTACCGCAATCATCGTAGTCAGCTCCAGAATACACTGAGAAGTGGCCAAGATTGTTTTCATCTTAGCGGGCTTCCTCTTTGCCACATCGATGTCTTTCGAGTTCGGAAGATAGGCCCGCGTGCGTCGTGAAAGAGTAAAGAGGAGTTTATAATATATATTATGTATCATGCGCAAGCAGCGTAACGGTTCGGGCCAAAGATCCCGAAATAGGTTGAGGACTAACGGATCCTGCTGGCTTGAAGCCATTGTCTGGCAATGACGCTTGCCAAGCTCTCAGCTCGGCATCCAACTGGCTGAGTATATCCAAGTAGTATGACTTTGAGTTTCTAGAATCCTCGACTGAGAAGAGAGATGTGTCAGAGCGGGCGAGCAGCATTGCGAACCGCTCAAAATGCAGAAACGAGTTGAACCTCCTCCATTGTCGAATCTGAGACGGATGGAATGGGTCAATCGATGTCGCTGTCAACAGAAGTCTATCGCATAGTTAGCATGGGGGGCTCTAGTTCGTTTAGTAGGCTTGTTCATATGAATACCAAGGGGCTTCTTCCAAAATGGAAGCTGATGATTTTTTCCGACAGCGTACATGGCTCAGATTGATTTCTTAAACTCATGGACTGATGGACCAGTGAAGTTGTGGATAGCCATCATCGGCATTCGTCTGGCTGCTTTCCACATGATTACAGGCTTCGTTATGAGCCCACAGGTCCCTAGTATAGAAGCTGACATAGCAGTCAACACCTACAGGATAACGATGGAAACTGGCTAGTGTCAACGGGTCCGTAGAGAAGCCCTCAGTCTGACGGGAACCAAGCGCCAGGACTCGCAATTTTCGGGCCCAACTTATCTGCCGTTTGTTTCTGGGACCCAGGAGTAAGCACCGCGTGATAGAAGCAGATTCATAGCTAGTTTCTTTGTAAAATAGTTGGAAAAGCCGGGTCCGAAACGTTAACTTCGAACGATGGCCTGTCAAGAAGCCGAAGCATCGAGTGAAAACAGTCAAAATAGAATATCGACTCTCAACCAAGGCTACTTAGATATTGATGGGACATTCGTGAGCTACGATTGATATTAATTACAGGCCTATGCGATTGCGGTCCGTTATCGATCCAGGCGGTTCTGCCTTTCGCGCGGTCATTGTCATGGGGTCGTCGACACGGTGTATTCGGCTTTTGACTGAACCCCCTCAACGAGACTATTTACTTTGGGTCTCGAAGATGCGTTGATGTTGATAACAGGTTGATCTCTGGGAAGAACGCAAAGCTGTTGCGGCCACCTAGGCCTGTCGGTTGACAGTAGTTGTGATCCGCCCAGAACCTGTAGAGCCACAGCTCACACAAACCATTGCGCTTATGCGTGAGCCTTTTGACAAGGAAGTGGTGCACTTCCATCAATTTCCGGTTCAAAAATAAGCCAGCGAAATGCGGCATGTTGAGAGTGCGTAAATGAAAAGAGTGTGCTATACAATACAGTGAGTGCAAGGTCCGTGTGGTCCGCCATCTGCTAGCAAAGTTAGCCGATGCATTTCTCAACTCCTCTGGTGGCCATCCTGGGACAGCACTCTGTGAGTCTTGAAGGCATCATAGGGTTTATGAGCCCGAGATCCAATGTATAAGTTATATCCTAATGCCGCAAGAGGATGGGTGACGACCATTACTTTGAATGATGTGAGACGAGAGACTTGGGTAGTCAGGAGGCGAAGATAGACGATGACATGAAGACCTCAACTGTGAAATCAAAATAGAGCTTTGATGTGCTTGAGTTCCAGATAGTGGATCCTCTTAGAGCCTCGGGTGCCTGGACTTCGGCACCGAGATGCCAAATTGGGAAACGAGTCCTAAAGCCTTCCTTGTTTGAGTAGTTGAAACAATCAAGGGATTAGGAATTTGTATTGTCTGCGCATTATCTCGATAGACGACCAAACGTCTTTATACATCACCACCCTTTCGAGTCATTTTCACGTATTATCCCTTCTCGATCAGAGCTGTAAGATTCTAACCCATAGGAGGCAAAGGCCTTGTTACCCCGGAATCTGCAGCTTCCTCAATAATCACATCTTGTGGCCAAACGCCAGAGTATACTCAAAAGGTTCTCCAATGACTCAGTCCTTCGGCAAATCAACCCTATAAAGCTATATGCTTCTTCACCATAAGACAAACCCACTAGCTAGCCTGGCCCTACCCGAAAGCAAGTTCGCGGGTAGCGGGGCGATAAGTACAAAGACAACCTGTGATATTAAGAGTCAACACGAAATCTCTCGATTGGTTGCTGGTCATTCACTCTTACCCTGAAAAGTACTGTTTTTGAATATATGCTTAGTTCAATGCGGGATTTTCGTCGCGGCCGATACTGCGTTCAAAGGCAGATATTAAGCCATGTGGTACCAAATCACAAATCACGACATATGACGCTCATCTTGCGATAATTTGATTTGTAAGTCATAGCACGATAAGAGCCGGGCTCAAACGATCAATCAGCCAATGTCTAGCACCCCGGGACAGCTGTTTATGCGGATGTGGCGACTTGAACCCAAGAGGTGGATATGTGGGACACACCTTGAGGATTGCGTCTTGCGTTGTAGCGGGGTAATCTCATGCTGATTGATACTCTCATAAACTTGGAGACCCCCTATCCCATCATGGTGGTGCGTTGCTGTCACTAAGGAGGGTGGGCATGAACTGCACAATTACTTGTGCTCAAGCTTTGTCGGAGTTGTCCCGGTTTGTGCGGCTAAGGAGTCTGCGCGCATGCAGCAACAACCCGAACGACCGTTTCCCCTCCAGATTGGCGATTCTTTAAAGGGCGTCGGAAAAGACAACTGCAAAGACACTGCTGCTTAATTGCCAGATTGATTGAGACCACTCGGATAAGATGGGGTTATGGCGACATCTTATGGGGAACCCCTTACCGAAACCGGCTCGGGGTGTAAGGCGTGATTATCTTGCAGTTGTCGTCATATCCTACAACGCATGTATATAGGCTGTGGCATCATTCGCCCACAAAGAGGTCTTCGAGCATACCATCAATGCCCAGACCAAAAGAAAAAACACAAAAAATGCCGACCGAATTCATCAGTGTAACTTTCCCTAACGCCTCAACGGAGATCGCTCCGATCCCTGGTGCTGGCATCGACCCGGAATTCTTGGTCCGCTACGCCAAGAACCTGGACGACTATGGCTTTAACTACACACTCGTTCCGTATGGCTCCGACTCATTTGATCCCTTTACCATCGGCGCGACGATTCTTGCCGTGACCAAGAACGTCAGCGTCATTATTGCCCTGCGGCCGAACACCCTCTATCCTACAGTTGCTGCCAAGGCGTTGGCAACACTAGACCAGCTCAGCAAGGGTCGTGTTGTTGTGCACTTCATCGCCGGTGGTAGTGATGCCGAACAAGCCAAGGAGGGAGACTTCCTGTCCAAGGACGAGCGTTACGGTCGCCTGGAAGATTACATTAAGATTCTCCGCCGTGCGTGGGAGTCGGATGCGCCCTTCGACTGGGACAGCAAGTACTATACCTTCAAGGGCTTCACCAACAAGGTCCGCCCTACTAAAGGCACCATCCCCGTCTCCGTCGGCGGCTCCTCAGCGGAGGCGTACCGTATCGGCGGCTCCCTCGCTGATATCTTCGGACTCTGGGGTGAGCCTCTGAAGGAAACAAAGGAGCAGGTCGACCGCATCTACGCCGAGTCCGAAAAGGCTGGCCGCAAGGACCGGCCCCGCATCTGGGTCACCTTCCGTCCCATCATCGCCGAGACGGACGAGCTCGCATGGGCCAAGGCGCACCGCACGCTTGACGCGCTGAAGGGCAATATCGCCGCCGGACAGGGTAAGCCTGGCCAGGCGGGCCCGGAACCTCAAAACGTGGGCTCTCAGCGTCTCCTTGATATCGCGAAGAAGGGCGAGGTCCAAGATCGTGCTCTGTGGTACCCCACTGTCACCGCAACCAACGCCCGGGGAGCTTCCACGGCTCTGGTCGGGTCTCCCAAGACCATCAACGACTCCATTCTCGACTACATTGACCTCGGCGCCGAGCTCATTTCCATTCGCGGCTATGACAACCTCAACGACGCTATCGACTATGGCCGCTACGTCTTGCCCGGAGTCCGTGAGGAGTTGAAGAAGCGTGAACACGGAGCGAACGGCGTGGACGGCGCCAACGGTACCCACTGATTTAGCGAAAGGACTGCGACCAAGGACTGTTGGCGGATGAGTGCGTGGGATTTTTTTTACGAAGCCATGTCGATAGTCATTCCAGTTGTTGGCAGAAATACCATGATGCAAAGCGCGTTCCGACAATAAAACTCTTTACCAACACACGGATTCGGCCCAGATGTGTTTGAGTGAAGGATACACGTCCTAATACACTCAAAAAAAGTATTCGTGATTCATTAGTTGGTCATTATGCTCATGCTCCACAGACCCCTCATCGTTGGCCTCCTCTTATGAGAGATACACAGGTAATCGACTGCCAAAAACCTCGCTCTTCTCAACCTGGATGTCCTTGCCGTGGAAGTCGTGCAACAGTAGCCAGCACATCATTCTAAACACGAGCATGCACCATATGTCGTTGACCTGTTGCCCCTGGTCGTGATTCTGCGGTTCCCCAGACGCAGTGGAAATGAATGACCTGGCTCGCTCTCGTCGGGATTTAACAATGAGCAGCTGCCTGCAGACGACCTCGATGACACGCTTGCGAACCGAGAACAAATAAATCTCAGCAAGCACGCCGTGCCTCTCACTAGACGAGGCCAAGTCGAGTTTCTGCAGCAGGGATATCTCCTTCTGTACCTCCTCACTTTCCTCCTTCGTCCTACCAACAGAAGACACCCCGGGGAAGACTGACTCTTGGAGGTGATCCTTATTTTCGCGGCCCTTGTCTGCAGCCTTGTACTCACCCTCCGTGTCATTGAGAATCCGAAGGACCTCTTGCAAGTGAACGCGCAAAACGTTTTGAACGAGGCTGATCCGACTAGGGTTTATGAGGAATTCATCGCACCGCGATATCGCTGAATGCAGAACCATGACGAGATCGTTGGAGTAGATCTTTTCTTCCGTGTTGCTGGTGGGCCTCAAGATTGCCTCTGGACCATCTCGAGACTCCAACTCTAGGAATTTGTCCTCAATCTTGCCTGCCTCCTTCATGATTGTAGCGATACGAGCGTTCTCCGTGTGGCTGAGACGGGGATCATTGGCCGATGCCTCGCTCAAAGCGTGCACATAGTCACCGAGCAAGGTGCGCAGCGAGAACGATTTTCGGTCCCAGTGCCAGATAGTCGGGTTTGGAAGCATACGAAAAGCAGTACCAGGGATCTGGAGCACTACTCCAACCATGCCCAGCAGCTCGAATGCAACTGTATAAACGTTAATGTCAGAGGCCCTCCTACTAGAAATTCCGAACATTTACTTACTTGGAAATAAGTGTACGTGACGTGTATCTGCCAGTGGCTTCCGGAAATACTGAACGGCGTTCGTATTGCAGCCAATCACCACCAGCGTCTCCGCAATTGCAGACATACTTCCAAGCTGGAGTGTTCCGATGTCCTTGGGTTCATCGGCGTACTTGTGATTGCTACTGTCCACCTGACGAAAGATGGTGGGACAGTATCCAAAGAAAAGTTCCTTGACGTTATTATGGGGCACGATGCGGTTCTCATGAAACCAAGTCGGTCCGGTCTTCTCGAACGTGAAGACGATGCCAAGATCGTCAACATCATAGCCGGTGATGCTGAAGCCGTTGCCCTGCGCACGGTAGCGGTCCTCGTTTCTGTTGAACTCTTTCCAGTGGACCCCGAGCATGCCCGCAATCTCGACCAGATGGGAAATGGTAGTGGTGGCATAGGGTTTCTTCATGTTTTCTGGCATGCTGTCCCATGATTTCTTCTTTCGTTGCATGCCCACAGTGAGCGTGTGAGTAAAAGCCGCGGCCGGTGCGTGCGGGTGGCATGGGGTCTGATCCTCCCACTGGGGGTTATTGTGGCCGAAATATTCGTTGTCCTGCCAGATTCGCGACTCCTTCTCCATACGCTGGATGGCCATCAGTAGACCCAGCCAATGAGCAAGCTCGTTGTCTGCTGTGTGGATGGCCTGGCGGCTGTTTCCAGACCGTAGACTCCTGTCGATCTTATCGTATTGCTGTTGGTTCCAGGTGAACGTCTTCTTGTAACTCTCAGAGGTTCCAGTCATGTAGGTGATCTCTTTATCCTTGTGCAATCCGAGGGGCCCGCTGGTGTTCGTTGGAGGCGCGACGAAGATGATGGGAACTTCGAATTCTACTTCAAAGCGAAACTCGTACCACCGGAACCGGCGGTGGGTGAATTGGGCCCAATCACCCATGACCTTGGGGGTACATGAAGAGTAGCCCTTAGCTGACGAATAATACTGCTGAAGAGCTTGGAGCATGGCTATGATGAAGGCAAGAATAGAGATAACTAGAGCGACGGCCGCCACAATCAACTCCGTTCTGTTATCGCCATCGTCGCTGCCGCCGCTGTCGCTTGTGTTGTTTGAAGACATTGTCTAAAGACGACGACGCAGCTGGCGGACGCCTTTGTGAACCCTAGCACTCAGGGCTCTCGATGGGGGTTGCAACGCGTGTGTCTGGTGCGTGCTCCTGCATCGCTGGGTAGAGGCTTGCAAAGAGTCTGGAAATACGGCTACGAGCTGTGTTAAGAGAGCGAAGGTATGTGGAGGCCACTTGACTCCTTGACGCCGGGCGGGTTGCACAGAAATGATCACACACTTCTAGGCTGCCGTAAAACCGAGATCGCTTATGAGTCACGTGTGACCTCTGTGTCTTTGCAACGCACGATTCAGTAGGTTGCAACTCACTGGATCTGACAAGGCTTGATCCGGGTTTAGGTCTTATGCTCCCTAGTGTGTAATAGCGCTGCAAAAGTTGTGGTTCCATTCCATCGGTCTCTAATCAGATGTTCAACTTGTCCCGGTAGTGACTGCGCTGAGACACATCCGACGCAGCCCCATTACTACGTACATTGCCGTACAGTACAGAGTACAGGGGTTTCGGTGTCAGTGTCAGCACTTATGTATAATGGCGGCTGACTCAAAGCATTGGGGAAGTGTGGTTGGATGAGCGCATTAGCGAGCAGCCAAAGAAAGTCCCTTGCTGTTAAGTTCCACAAAAGGATCTCATTAGTCCGAGAAACCAATACATGCAGCGCCATGCTGACATGCAGCCTGTGGAGCCGGCTGTCTTGCTCCAGCCTTGACTTGACTGATACTTGAACCCTAAAATCCATGCTAAGAGTCGAAAAGACTCGCATTTGAATCGGGAGAACAGTTGGTAGGGGGGTATTCCAGCTTCGGGGGGGGGGTATCCGTTGTGGGGCCGAAAAGTTCGGGGGGGGTAAAGTAGCTAGGGTTAGGGTTATCAGGCTTATTTAGGCTTAGCTTAGAGTGTGAGAAGTGCGAGAGCTTAAGCATATGCTGAGCATATGCTAAGTATATACCAATGGATATAGTGTCTACCTTCTATAAATATAGAGGACTTAGTTAGAAGACTTAGGTCTAAGTCTACTATAGTTATAGAGGCTAGTTACTATATTTAATAGGATATGCTAAGCATATGCTGAGTATATACTTTAAAATATAGTACTTACCTTCTATAACTATAGAGGACTTAGACCTAAGTCTTCTTACTAAGTCCTCTATATTTATAGAAGGTAGACACTATATTTATTAGTATATACTTAGTATATGCTTAGTATATGCTAAGTATCCTTTAGTTAGTTTTTTTTAATCCACACGGTGCTTAGGGCTTTACCCCCCCCTGAACTTCTGCCCCACTGGCCGGACACCCCCCCCGAAGCTGCAATACCCCCCTACCAACTGTCTACCCATTTGAATCAACATGAGCAACAATTGGTCAACTTGGGGTTTAGACGGATGGGTGCTGGCCCGTGTGACGGTGCCGGATAATGCATAACCAACAGTGGCCTACAGAGCGAACCGTAGGCGTAAAGCTGCACTATAATATTTACAGATCCGTAACATACACAGGCTTCGGTTATGTGTTGCAGAACTTAGTGAGGAACACTGGTAGCATCTTGACTCGGGCACAGTCTGCCTTACATGCTACCATAATTATCTACATGCTTTGGCGTCTATCGCCTTTGACTAGCTATTGGAGGGGAAAAAACTTTATTACTTGCCCTTCAAATTCCGGCCAACCTTAGTCCACTGACTGTGCCCGCGGCCCGGTCCGCATGCCTGTGCGCCGCCGTGCTGGCGTCATTGCTGGAAGCGGTTGGCAAACGATTCGAGGAAGGCTGTGCTGGGATTGATGTCGCTGTCAGGATGACTTGCCTCTAACGGGCGCAATCTGCATGTGGCATATGAGGTACTTCACAATGAAGGCCTACACATTGGTATTATCGATTTGATACCTGCAGCGAGCCTTTCGCTCGCCCCGCCGAACTTAAGTGGGTTGCATGCGATACATCGTCGATGGAATCCCAGATTCCCAGTAGGCGCGGGCTGCAGAGCATAGTACGTCGATGTAACTGTTATCCAAGATGCGATGCAAAATGCCTCGGTCGTTCTCATTTGGACTTAGGACAGCATCCGTAGATAAAAACCGGCTCTGATGAGTATTCCTTGTATTTACGGCGTGAGATCTGACCAGGATGCGCAACAGTAGATACTTAAGGGCCAAAGTTGTGTCGGCCTTCTAGCTGGACGGCCAGGCGTCGGCGTTGGCGTTGTATGATGGCACAATGTGAATCTAGAACATTACTTGCATATCGATAATGTACATAGCCTTCGGTGATGTTTTCCAGAATCCAGTGAGAAACACTGGTAGTCTCGGTCATATCACTGTTTCCCCAGTATGTTATCCGCTGCCTGAGTTTCGTACCAGAACTCAGCAAACAAATATGTGTCGTTTCGATAGAGAAGGACGCATGTGGAGATTTACCTTCTCGGCAATGGCATGGACTGTAGCCTGCGTATGTGCCGATGGCACAGGAGGCATGATGCTAGCATCCACGACCCTCAAACTTGGGGTAATGTCATAATACATAGCTTAAATCTGGCTAGATCCTGATTTTCTAGGTGGAGGGCGGTCAGCCATGGCTGCCTTGCTGAATGGTATGTTCCGTCGCTTAAGGAGTCGCTTAGGTATTGAGAGGCAAGCATTAGCGACTTGTAGACATATATAAATATTGGCATCCTCACAGTCTCAAGAGACAAAGAAAAAGACATAAGCAGAGGAAGCATTTATCTAAACATCTTACTGTATTACCTTACTCTTATTCTCTGTTCTCCAACTCGCTTATTAAATCATTTTATCTAAGACGGAGTTCTCTATTATCCTTCTCTAAGCCACCGCTTTCTTCACGGCCATGGCACTGCCAATGCCAAACGATCCGGCTGACCAGGGTCACCTCCTCGTTGGCCGCCCCCGTCGTCCGGCTCCTAGCAAATGGACCTCCGTGACCGGACCCTGCCACGGCTGTCATTAAATCGGCTAAAACAAAAATCTCGTCCATCGTTAAACGAGCAAATCCTACAACAATGATATTGGCTACATCCTGTGCTGCACAATGGAGGCAGATTGGTACGAGAATCGGCTTGATAAGTGGAGTAGCAACTACTAACGTCAAGCGAAGAACTAGGAAAGATACTGTCACGTAACAAAACGATACCGTTAGTTACGTGGGCAGTAATAGTATCTTATATATCGTGACACACCCCCCAGATTTGACATAGAAAGTCAGATCTGAACACACTTTTGAAAACCTAGTTGGGTACATCTCGGCAATCATAGGTGGTGAAGATCCATATAGACTTTGGTAGGGTTTTTGACCAGGGCACCCTAATGGGAATTGAACCCACAGTGCTTAAGATCTATAGCTAGTTACTGCACTTAAAATTGACACATATACCATTGTGGCATACTAGCAGGTAGGAGCTGGGCTCATAACTGTCACGTAACAAAACGATACCGTTAGTTACGTGGGCAGTAATAGTAGCTTATATATTGTGACAGATACCAACCGTACGTTCATGCCGGGTGGCAGTATCCCGCCTACACAATGGGTCACAGCAGTACAATTCATAGCCAAACACATATGCGTTCTTCTTCACATACTTTTCTGCTAGCTACTCCGGGCTAATACAATACATATTCTTTGCATACCTACTTAAGCCTCTTATTCTGTCCTATGCCGGTGTAAAAATTAGCCAGGATTTTCCCCATATAGAAAAGGGCATATCTCAGGGGTTTCCTATGAATTTCCGTGATCGAATAAGTGCATCGTGACAACGTGATAAATGAAGGTGTTTGTATAACAGCTGTAAGAGTGGTGATAGTTATAAATGTGGGGGTTGGAGGTGATTGGGGTGGGGTTACATGATCACAATGTGGGGTTGGAGGGAAACTGGGTTAGCTGACTTGTGATGATTAAGACTTCACCGCGTCAGTTTAGGAGTCAATCATCTACAGTAGCCTCAAAGCCGACGGTAATTGACATGAGATGCTACATGCATAAAGCCTATTGCGGTTCAGAATATCCCTTATCACCTTTTCAACTTTGCCGAACTACTCGTCGCCCCAAAGTACATTGTAGCTGTCAATAAGTTTGGTACTCATAGCAGGGGCTCACACATATGTGGAAGCATTACCTTGTTTGCTACCGTATCGAGTGATAGGAGCGTAACCTTAGCAATTGAGAAAGAGTGACTCTTAGAAATTAACTCTAAGCGCAAGTGAACAGATAGCACACATCTGTGATTGCAGACACAAATTCACATCAACAGAGCCAGGCGCCAGCAGCTTTGAAAGCAGGATTAGCATTCTTGACAACTTCCAACCAGCTAGACTTGTAAACGTGCGTGTCAGGTGCTGTTTTCATCGATCAAGACAGCCCACTCTTTCGAAAGGGTCTTCACTGAACCAACAAGCTCGTCTCGCCATCCTCCAGCCACATCAGCTTCCCATCCGACCTTGCCATAAGACCAAGCCAGTAGTCCTTCGGCGCGAGCACCGTCGGGATGATCCAACAAGCCGATCGCGATGTCGATCATGTCTTCGCGGTCATGAACAGCATAGAACACATCGGCAAAGCACGTGGAGCAGGAGTACCGCTCTACGTCTGTAGAGCTGTTGTACACCGCTAGTGTCATAAGGCGGGGGTCTTTCTTTCCAGTTGAAGAAACTGCTTGTTTGAGGGCTGCGATTGTTTTTGGGAATTCGGAAAGCTCGGAAGCCGGCTCGTCGCCATCTCCTTAACCCCTAAGACCTGGATAACTATCCAGGCCCACAAATACATGAGCCATAAATGACCATATACCCTACTCTAAGTACCGATACTATTTTTACGCTTATTTTATGCTGAAAAAATAGAATTAGTACTTTACCCTTAATTGCAGCCACATTAACTACTATTGCTGCCACAACCGACTAGCTTATCTACCAGCTAACCCATAATACCTACTACCTATAATACCTACTTGGAAGGTACGGGTACGTACCAATGGGTCATAAAATCAGGACCTGACAGTCAGCACTGAGGGGGTGTTTTCCCTTCTGCATCATCATTAGCAACAATCAAATTGACCTTTTGTTTTGGTCCAATTCAATCAGCACCGAATTTTCTCTACTACCCACAATAGCTACCCTGCAGTTATTTAACAACTTTAATAATAATATACTATCAGCAAGCAAAGGGATAGATGCTAAGCCTCTTATACCCAAAGCCCGAGTTCCTATTAGCCAGTTAACAATATTCAATCCACTGAGGCGTGTGCTTTGTCAGATACCACGAACGGCAGGGATAGTCAGTTTGCGTTAACATATCTCATTGGTGTGCGCCACAGCCAAAATCAGCTAAAATGCACTGAGGGGACGCTGTGAGTGGCCCTTACCCCCTGGCTGGATAATTATCCAGGTTTTAGGGGTTAAGGAGATAGGCAAAACCGATGTGGGTTAGGGGAGCATACTATGTAAGTCCAGGCGGACACGTCCGCACCGTATGAGAGGCGGCACGAGTCGCACGAGTCAAGACTAGCTTTGAACTTCAACGTCTGTGGGTTGATACATATAGAAGTAGAATCAATCGCCGCATTCGCTTCCAGGTCCACAGCGCTGCGGAGCGCCAGTCTCACACCCTTGCAATGACAGTGGAAGGGCGTCACAGCTGGGGAAGCTTGCGAAACTGGGATAGCCCTGGACGCCGGCCAGTCCAGCGGAAGCTCTTGGCTACAACGCGCTTGCTTCCATCGCGTGACGGGCTCGCCGTTCTCGAATCTTGGGAGCCAAACTGAAGCTCCGCCGTCAACAGTGTCACCAACGAACAGGTGAGCGCTGTACCTGACGAGACCGGGTGCGTTTTCCAGAGCACCAGTCACGACGTAGGCACCCGATCCTAGAGTGGACACGCGGCAGAAAAGCTTGGAGGAACAAGTTTCACAGGAGAAGACGTCGGTGTGTTTGCTGTACGAGTATTTATTTCTTGAGGCCAGAAAGGTCTTCAGAGGGATTGGGCCATTGTGCGCATGCAGAATAGAGTGACCCAGTGAGGCGACGGCAAGATGTGCAGTGACAGCACACAGCCTTGAGTGGAAGAGCAGACTTGGCCACCGAAGCCGAAAAAGTGTACGCTTTGCACAGGCAATGCGCTTTAATGGTGATTGAATCCGTCATTTTGCTCGGTATAGTCACTGCATTGTCAAGCACCCAGCGATAGTGTAAGAGTTGTTGAATACCAGTGGCGAAAGAAAAGCTCCACGTATAGGCAGGGGACTCAGGAAGATTGAGGAGGCTGCGACTGTATGCACAGCGCTAGCATTACACTGACCCCATGTCAAACTGGGTTTGCAGCTCTTGTGGCTGAGCAACCCTCGAGTCACTAGTCGCTTATTTAAGTCAGGTATGCCAAGCCGTAAGCATACATAGTACATGATGCTGATTCGGTTCAAAGTTCTTCCATGATTCTGTGTAGCATTGTTTAAATTGTTTCCCGATGATGGATGGTGGGTGGAGACGAGGATAGTGAAGAAGCGGGAAACCTATCTCATGTCATGACAGAAGCTTGTGCTGCAAGGTGGCCTTCAGTACTACCGGCATTATCCCGAGAATAACAGGCCGTGGCTACTACTATAGAATGCTTCCAATGGTGATGGATTTACTCCATCCGTTGCAAAAATAGTAATTGGCTCATATAGCTGCCAATGGGCAGTGATAATCTACATACATTGCATGCAACCCAGCACCGGCTTGGCAGTCAAGACTATGCAACGGCAATCTGCGGGATCCACATCGACGTGCAGCGTGCCGGCGACAGCGAGGAGCCCCGGTCGAGTTCTGTAAATCAGCCCAAAGACAAACCTACACTTAAGGCCAAGGGGAAATGTCTAGTTTTTCAATCTAGGCATCCTCAACTTTGCAACTGCAGCAATTAATTGGTTTGCCCACTTGGCACTACACTCGCTTTTTGTTTACTGTCCGCCTGTGTTCTCCAGCATTCTTTCAGCGAGAACCAAGCATCCGTTCTTTATTTCATAATAAGTCACCAACCATCGACATGTCTTCCATTACTCTCAAGGCTGCTGCGGCCGTGGCCGTCGCCCTATCACAGCCGGTCGTCGCCGCTGTGTTTCCCGCCAATACCTTCAACCGTTCCGAGATCGAAGCCATTCCTTTGGAGAAACGTGGTTCAATGGACGCTACGATACTATGGGACAAGGGAGAAATCCCCTACATATTGGAAACACTTCCTCATGACTTGTCGAATTCTATCCGCGATGCCATGAGAGTGTGGGAACAGCGCACCTGCATCCGCTTCGTCCCGAAACAAAATCAAGGAGCCTGGGTGTATTTTAACAAAGTACGATGAAGTTCATTCTGTTTGAAATTCTTGGTCCATTGCTAACCGAACTATCTCAGCGAGATACCGGCTGCTTCGCACATAACCTGGGCGCTCCCAGCTCAGGGGAAACCATAGTTAACCTTGATTATCCCAGCGTGGGGGAAAGAATCGGAAGTTTTGGCCAGGACAAAGGCTGCATGGAAGCTGGCATACCTACGCACGAGGTAAGAGCTGCACGCCTCGAACTAGTTGATTAATAAGACTGACTGAACAAAATAGCTGGGCCACGTAATTGGGCTCACCCACGAGCAACAGCGACCCGATCGTGATCAGTTTATCCGTGTGTATATGGAAGCTATCTGGAGCGACTGGCAAGATCAATATGCCATCCATGATTCCGCTGATATATCGGTGCCCTTCGACTATAACTCAATCATGCTTTACCACAAAGGAGAGAACACCAGGAAGGGCTACGGGTATTCCATGGAATCGATCACAGACAAGGACATCGATCCATGGACCTCGCCGACGGACAACGATTACCTGGGTGTTAACAAAGCCTACGGTTGTGAAGAGTATTACACGCGCGCAGTCCCCGAGTGTCGTCCCGTTGCCATTAATGCGGACGAGAACAAATCGTCTTACAGCTTCATCATCGACAAGTACACGGAGCAGTACATGCGCGATCACGGATACACACACGTTGCAGCTCATCAAAACTGTCGCGCCAACACCAATCTCCAAAGCACAGACAATTGGGGGTTTACTCCCTTAAACGGCTGGGGCCCCAAGGCTCAGTATCAAGTCACTGTCGACCGTTGCAAAAAGGGATTCGACCGTCACGGCAGCCGCTATGAGGTCGCGCTGTGCAAGGGCGACAATGAGGGTGCCTGCGACATTAAATGTGGTCTGCGCCGCATCTGTCCCGTGGACGCCAACGGGAACCAGGTTGACAGCAAGGCCGTCAATGTCACTGACGATGCTCTGTGGGTTTGCCATCCCCATTAGATGTCCATTAGAATTTACGGCTTGCTACGACTGAAGCGTTGCGAAGTCAGAGAGATGGCGGGCAACCGAGACTTCTGCATCAAGGACCTGAGAGTAGGGCATGCACCTCCAAGACCTGATATCGCCACTGGACGCGAGGCCAGCCAAGCATACTTGAGTTGGAACATGCTGCTGGAATTTTCTTTATTAAATAGTCGTAGCCAGCATAATGTTTGGCTCAACTAAAATACCACGGGTTTCCACCACATAGTCTCAGCGGTGGCCCCCATAGGGTGCGTCTACTACAGCCGGCGCCTGGCCCAGCCGGACGACATGGCCAATGCATCATTGGCCGCCTCTCGAACAACCTACTGGAATTGTCTAGAATAAGACCACGTCAACCCTCAGGGGCTAGTTCGCCGAATTCGACTCCCAGGCCATGGTCGAGTCCGTCCAGAAAACCGACAGGGACGCTATTCGCGACGAGATCGTGGCCGTCGCGCGGCATATTAATAGAGACCCAATTTCCTCCACCAACCCCTGAAAAGGAGGGACTTCGAAGGGATGTTTCGGCTTCCCAAGCGAGACATCGGAGACGACGTGGTTGTCATGTCCCAGAAGATGGGCTTGGATACGCTGTTGTAATCTGTTTGTATAAAAGGCAAGGACAATCTAGGTGCTAGGCCAATTGCAAGTATCTTTACCAAGCAACTGGCCGAGGTATAAACAGTACTAGATTATGAAGCCAATAAGTGGCTATTAGAGCCTAGTGTATTCTGAATACAACATACCCTACGTAATCACTCCCTCCATGACGACACTAGCTACAATTGCTAGCATCAGATGCATTGAATGTTACACCTAAATTGCTTAGGAGCCAGTTTCAAACACGAACCCTGCATCTCCAATAATGTCAAGTCTAAAAGAGAAAAAAACGCGTTTAAGGGGGAATAGTGCCTAATATTAGGTGTTACAGAGATGTGGCCGCCTTTAGCGTCAGAGATATCTTACACATACAATATAAACCGCAACTCGATCATTTATATGGATTTACCTCCTCTGGGGGGTGTAAAGTAACATGGTCACCTGAGATTACGGTGTCAATGGTTGGCCAATCAACTAGGGGTTAGTTGTCAACAAGAAAGGTGCAAAGATAATAGGTGACTAGAGGCTCAGAGACAACTGTTTTTGTATGCTATGATAATCGTAAGCGAGGTCTTTAAATAGTGCACGCCCGATGATCATGGCTTTGCTCACTCTGCTTTCCCATCTTCTCCTGAATTTTACCCTTTGAGCAGCCTTTCCGGGGGAGCCTCTAGGGAGGAGCTTTTGATGTGAATTCCATATTTTATACTACCATAGCCCCATAACTTGTCTAATCCCCGTTTCAGACATCAATTCTAGGAAGAAACCCAGCCTGCACAAGAAACTCGACGTTCCTTCTTATAGCAACTTTCAGTTGCACAGGGCAGTCTTCTGGATGATTGACGCGGAACGCCCATTCTAATGAGCCATCTTCAAGCATGTGCGCCAGGGGCCATAAAGGATGCGCCTCCTGCCGCGCAAAAAGATCCCTCCTGACTGCCGAAAGCCATTCTGATGCAGGCCTTGGGTGAATATCATACCCCGCAGATTGTATCAGCCTCCAAAATGCGCCCCAAGTCATTCCGTCCTCTTGGCTCTTGACTGCGTGTGCCTGTAGCTCTGGGTTGAGGGCAGTCTGAATGGCGGCCGCGGCGGTAGTTGCTGCATCTGAAACGTGCAACCAGGCATCCTCATCGCTGTCGTTGTAAGCGCCAACGTTGATGCTAGCCGATGTTAGTCGCCAAATGTAGTCGTCCAAGTTAGCTACCCCCTCTGTGGGTGTCCCAATGATGAGCCCAGGCCTAAACACTGCGATATTCCTTGCAGTGGAGAGACATCGCTCGGCAGCCCTCCTGACCAGCACCTCTGCAACGAACTTTGTCTGGCTATAGCCAATCGAGTCTGCAAGTTCGCGAGCAACGTCCTCGTCCGCTTCCGGGCTCCGCTTCCACTGTCGGCCTCCTGAGACATAAGCGAACCTCAATGATGGGTGTTGGACTGCGAGGCTAAGTAATTGCGCAGTCGAGCCAACGTTGACAGCCTCGAGGGCTGAGTAGCTCTTGTTCCAATGAACAACAGCACCGTTGTGGATGATGACGTCAAAGGACTGACCATCGCTCAGGAGACTCCAATGATCTTGCTCTAGACCGAGCTGTGGCTGCGATAAGTCGCCAACCCAAGCTTCAAGTTTGTCTTCGTGGAACTCGGTCCACCACTGGGCCTTCCGAGCTGCCTCAATCACCCGACTCTTAGCCCCATCGGGATTCGCACTGCGCACGAGAGTTGTCACGCGACTGATATTTCGACTCTCAAGAAGCTGACGCAAGATTTGCGTGCCCAAGTACCCGCTGGCCCCAGTAAGGAAGACTTTGATGTTGTTGTCCCTCCAGGTCTTGGTGGGGTACTGGGAAGCAAGTCCATGATGTTTTGGCGATAAATGAAGCAATTTCTCATCATACCGGTTGACTTGGGCTAGAATATCTACCCTTCCACCAATCTTTGGGGAGGGACTTCTTGTCATGCTGCCTTGACTTGCGCTGGAGCCGACGATCAATGCTGCCAATGTTCGGATGCTCGTTGTTTCATCCATCAAGAGTTGCATGCTGACCTTGGTTCGATATCTCATGCGAATGAAGTGCATCAGCGACATCATGTTCAGTGAGCCAAGACCAGCCGTATGAAGGAAGGTATCATCAACACCCACAGACAGACTTGGCCTAGAAGATGACTTGGAAGGTACCAGACTCGCAATCTTCTCCGCCAAATCGTAAGCGGGCATCTCTCCTGGAAATATGGCTATAGACCCGCCAACCGCTCTGGCTGGGATGTCAGTTATGGCTTGTCTCCCTTTCGACTGTGCTTCTAAGCAGGTTACAATCTGTTTCCTGTCCAGCTTGCCCGATGCTAACAGCGGAAATCCATCGCCACAGAGGGTACTGGCGTCAACCCAATGAGTCGGCAGCATGATACTAGGTACTTTCGCAGCTAGCTCTCGACGAACGCTGTCTAACTTCTTGTTGAAATAGGCACTTAGGTGCGAGAGCCCAGAGACTGCTGCGTCATGGCCCATCTGAAGCTCCAAAACGGCCACAAGTTGTTTCGAAAATGGCCCTTGCGACGGGAAAAGAACAACAGCACGGTTGACATTGAGGCAACCAGCCAAGTTAGACTCGATGTCACCGAGTTCAATCCTTTGGCCGTTAATCTTGACTTGCATGTCTTTTCGACCAACGTAGACTATGTTGCCGTCCCCGGTTCTCTTGACAAGATCTCCTGTCTTGTAGAAGCGTCTGTCAACTTCCGCCCGAGTGCCTGTTGAATACGAGGGAATGTTGACGAATGCTGACTGTGTTCTTTCTGGATCGTTCAGATACCCATCTGCCAAAATTGGGCCTCCGATGAGTAACTCGCCAACTTCCCCTTCAGGAGCCAGGCTTGATTCGTCGTCTGGATCCACTATCAATGATGAACATCCGACAGAGATACCAATTGTTCGGGGATCCATTTCGTGAGAACAGGAGTAGCAGGCAGCGATAACGGAACACTCGCTCGGCCCGTACGCGTTGAAGAGCCTGGTTCCAGCATCCAGCCATTTCTTCACTACCAGTTGATCTGGCTCTTCTCCCCCCAGAACTAGGGTCTGTATCGAAGGGACTTCTGTAGGATCGATGATACGGGCGACCGACGGCGTCAAGAGGGCGAAGTTGATACTGTGTCTCTCAACAAATTCTCCGATGGCTTCCAGGCGCTCCTTTTCTGTAGGTACAAAGATTGTCCCGCCGTGGATAAGCGTGGTAAGAATCTCGAACAAGCTAGCGTCAAAACTGTATGCGGAAAACTGCAGTACGCGGTTGTTGCAAGACATTCCGAAGGCCGAACCGTGTGAAGCTGCGCTAGAAGCAAAAGCGGAGTGTGAGACCACGATGCCTTTTGGGGTTCCAGTAGACCCGGATGTGAAGATAACATATGCCGGGTGGTTAGTTTCGCAACGAGGAGCGAGGGTCTTGAAGCTCAACGATCTGGTCAATGCCTCAAGTGAGTCTCGATCTACGATAATGCGTGTATCAATACCGAGATCTGTCGCTTTTGACTGGAACTTTGACATGAGGACAATCTTCGCTTTGACTTGCGCAGCAACCTCTCTTAGGCGGGAGATGGGCTGGCTCGGGTCCAACGGAACGAAGGCAGCTCCCGCTTTCAGAACTCCAAGCATCGCAATGACTGTCCATACTGACTTCTCGAAGCACAATGGGACCATTTCTCCTGGAGATACGCCGCTTTTTGTTAGATGCGTGGCAAGGGCGGAGGACATGCATTCAAGAGCTGCGTAAGAGATGCAATCGCTTGTTGAAACGATGGCGTCTCGTTCGGGTTGTAGTTGGCACTTCTCGGAGATGGTTCCATGCAGTGTAGATGCAACTGTTGCAACTGCGTTGTCATGGGAGTATGTTTCCTCAGGGCCCGTAAACTGATCAAAAACCAGGCCAGCTACTTTGAGGCCAGAATTTGGCCTCGATGCAGCCCAAGCGAGCTGGGACATGATGACCTTGACAGTCTCAATTGCCTGTGCCACAAAGATCCGGCTTGTCACCTCCTCGTCGACGTGAGTTGCAAACTCGGCTCGCCCTGGATGAAGCCAGACCTCGCATGTGACTGGGAAAGTCGTATACTCTTCACGGTATACCGGCTTCCCCAGAGGACCCAACCCCGACTCGTCCCAGGCTCCGCCAGCTTGCACCACAAGAAGATTGTGAAACTCGCAGCCCCGCTTTGTATCCTCGTTCAGGGTTTTGATGCGCTGGATTCCAGCCTGTTCGAAGGGTATCATTGATGTCGCCTGGTCTTGGATCCGGTGGAGGAAACTGAGAACAGCCATCTCCTTATCAAGCCGAACTCTAACAGGAACGCTCGCAATTGTTGGTCCCTCAATGCTCTCGATATTGTCAAGAGGCGCCTGTCTTCCGGAAACAGTTGCTCCGAAGATGACGTCGTCCGATGTGGAAAAATGACTGACCATCACAGCCCATGCTGCGCGTACAAGGGTCGACATGGTGATGCCAGCAGAGGGATCGAGATCGAGAGCAAGCTCATCCCTAACAACGGCTCTAGCAAAGGATCGATGGCCCAGCTTTGGTACGGCGGGGAAGCATGACGCAGGAGAATCAAGGAGCTCTTCCTTCCAATAATCTGAATAGGTGTTAGGTGAGAGCTGGTTTGTGTACAGCACAAAGTGTCGGTAGTCAGTTGCCGGTTTGACGTTGCGGTCATGATATGAGTCGTTGACCTTTCTGCAAAGCATTGCGAGTGACCAGCCATCGTACAGCATGTGATGGATGGTCCACACGAACGTCCAAGCTCCATTTGTCGACGATATGAGCGCAAACCGGTTGAGTGAGTCTCCGGGAAACATGGGGTCGGAGTCATCCTTATTCAGGTAGGCCTCAAGATCATCGTGGAAGAGCCATTGAATCTTCTCTTTGATCACCGCTTGAAGGGAACCCGCAGCTGAAGTCGTAGCAAACCGAGTCCTCAGAATTGGCGATGTCGCATGGGTGTCCTCCCAAGCGCTCTGGAACCGGGCCAGGTCTATTCCTCGGGGCAGCGGATGGATCCACCGGCCGGTGTAGCTGCCTGGTCGTGTGAGATTGACTGCCATCAGGCCCTCTTGCATATGAGTGCAGGGAAACAAGTCTTCGATATCCTCCGGCTTGACACCGCATTGGAACGACGCTTCTTCGCGAAGCTCAGGTACTGCGTCCTGGCGTAGGAGTTGGAATGGAGCGAATCGAACTATTGGCTTGACGTAGCTGTCTTCAGCACTTTTGCAGACCAAGGCCATCTTCTTTAGCACAGAGTTCTTGAAGATGTTGGCGACATTGATCTGAAGCCCCAGTTGGCGGCATGCAGCAACGACTTTGATGGCCCCGATCGAGTCCCCGCCAAGTCTGAAGAAGTCGTCGTCGACCGTGATGGTGTCTTCGGAAGCTCCGAGGACCTTGGCCCAAGCCTTGCGCAAAGTAAGTTCGACGGGTGTGCAGCTGAGGGCCGAGGGCTGTGCGTCGGATGAGACTGTGTGCTGACCGACTGACGATTCTCCTTCGCAGTCTGTAAGGTCGGTTGATTGCAGTCCAGACGTGTCTGTACTAGCATTGGAGAAGTCGTCTTTGTGCTGTTCCGGTATCTGCAGTAACTGCTTCATGGTCATCGCATTCCCCAGGCGACGGAGTGCTTTCCTGTCAACTTTCCCGGAGGGCGAAAGGGGCAATGCGTAGCATGGGATGACTGCGCTGGGGATCATGTAGGCTGGAAGAACCCCAGAAAGCTCCCTAGAAGCTTCTTTGAATCTGCCATGAGTATCTCTCCAAGCCGGGTCTGTTTTTCTGGCAACAGTCTGCTCCCTGTAGTGCGCGGAACTTCTGGCCATCTGCCTGGGAGCCAGGAAAGCTGTGAGGACACCATTCCTCGCCCCAATCGGCCGCAGGAGCTCGACTACAACATCCCAAGTAAACTCGGAAGACTGGAATGGGTGGGCCACCTGGAGAGATTGTTTCAGCTGGTGCTCGATCTCGCCAAGCTCAACGCGCTGGCCATTGATCTTCACTTGGCTGTCTCTTCTTCCCAGAAAGTCAATCGAACCGTCCACGTTCATCCGCCCGAGATCGCCCGTTCGGTAACATCGCATCGGATCCGCCACGATGCCGCGGAGAAAGCTCGGGTCGCCGAGAAAGACGGCGTTAGTCTGCTCTTCGTCTTCAAGGTAGCCGCGGGCCAGAGGGGGCCCCTCGACAACAATCTCGCCAATGCTGTTGAAGGGGGCAACTTTTCCGTTCTCGGTGACGATCCATACAGCGCAGTTCGCGGGTCTTCCGATGGAAATGCTCTTGACGCCCTTGGTTCTGGGTTTGCTGACGACAGTGACGGCTGAGCATTCCGCAGGACCATATGCATTGATGGTTTTGACGTGGTCGGCCCACGTGTCTGCAACATCCTGCGGGAGTGATTCTCCAACAGAGCAGAGCACTTCTAGGCCGGGGACTTCCTCTGGGCTCATCAAGCTCGCCACTGACGGCGTCAACATGGCCCAGTTGACATGCATGCCTGTGATGCATCCGGCCAAGTTGTTCATTCTCTCTTCTTCCGATGGAATGCAGATACACGCACCGGCCATCAGGGTGGAGAGGATCTCGAGCATGGAAATGTCGAACGAGAAAGAGGAGTACTGCAGCACGCGAGCCTTTGGCGAGTCGAGGTGAATAGCTTGGGAGAATCCCCTTGAACTGGAGCAAAAGGAAGTATGAGTGACCACCACACCCTTTGGCTTCCCCGTCGAGCCGCTTGTGTAAACTACGTAAAGTGCATTGTTGGACGTAACCAGCCGAGCCGGCCAGGATGCGGCTTTGGTAGAAAGTGTTGGAAAGAGTCGTTCGCTGATGATGAACCTGTTTTCCTGAGGTATATGCTCGGGGATCTTGCCTTGGCTACCGACTGATGATAATACGATGGATGCGTTTAGGTCTTGAACAATCATGCGGATTCGGGCCGTAGGGAGTGACGGATCAAGGGCCACGACAGCGCCCCCTGCCCTTATCACTCCCAGTATGGCCACAACGCTCCAGACTGACTTTTCGAAGATCACGGGGACCAAGACCTCGGGCCCCACGCCAATGCTCGAAAGGTGATTTGCAAGTTTGTCGGCGTGGTTCTGTAGCTGAGTGTACGACAGGGTGCCATCCCAAGCGCAGACTGCATGAGCCTGTTTCCGCGATCCGGCCTGCTGGGCTATCACATCGTGGACCAGAACGTCTTCTTGTTTCGGGAGCCTGTTTCATTTAGTCCTCAAAAAATCAGCATGATTACATGAAGAGCACTCACGGCCTGTTTAACTGTACAAGATGACGCTGGCTCGCAGGACTTAGCGTATGGATGTCGCCTAAAGTCATTTGCTGTGTCTTGAGGCGGTTCAACTGCCAAAGAACATGCTCCAGGTCGTTTAGCAGGAGCCGCACTTCCAGGCGAGAGAACTGCTGTTGATCAAAAGTGGCAAAGAGCTCCAATTCTTGGTTATCGATGGAACACTCGAGTCGAATGGCCCAGTCAGTGGCGTCCGATAATTCTTGGACTCCTAGTACAGTCGGTGGGAAGGCCACGATGGTTTGGGGGAAAACAGCGTCTGTTGCGGGAGCGATCATACTCGACTCAGTGTTGGTAACACCAGACACGGCCGGTGTGTTTGCAACGCATTTGAGAAAGTTAGCAACCTGCTGATTGCGATCGATGGAAAGGTTGACCGGGGATAGTGGACATGAGCGACCCGTGCCGCAAATCTTGAAGCGAACATCTTCGCTGGCCGTCCGAGACGATAGAATCAGAGCCCAAGCAGCGCATACCGCAGGCTTGATATCTCCGTCTAGCTCGCAGACGGGGCCTCGGACACGGGATCGTTGGGTTGTAGTCGCCTTCGCATCGGCGGGTGCACTTTTGGTGACAAACGGCTCGCTGAGCAGCTGCGACACACCTCCGGACGATTCTTCGCCGTTGTTTTGAGCTGCCTGTGCAACGCCATACTCTTGCTTAGGACTTTGTCCGGCGGGAGCCTTGACGACGAAGCGCTTGGGAGCACCCGCAACATCGGCAGGGAACGGGTTCTCAAAGACGATCTCGTCTGGAGTTTGCACATCCGACGGGGTCGGCGTGTCAAACACAAACTTGACAGAGTGAAGCCTCGGGGTGAGCTTCCATCTCCCGTCTGTCGATAACATCTTTTGTACAGTCGCTGCAGTGGTCAGATACGAGGTCGGTTCTTGGTAATAAGGTACCACTCGCAAGACGCAGCGCCAAGGCGGGAGTGCAAGGACGACAGTAATAGTATAAGTGCATGCATGGACTCCTCCGTAGACCGTCATCAGAATGACACACAAGTCTGAACCTCAAGTTTTATCGGAGCAACATGACGATCTTGTCTCACTCTTACGAGGCAGACTCTCAATGTGACGTGATTCGCATCCGGCTGTAATGGAACCCATGCCACCGTTCACATCACACATGTCCGTATAGCTCACTCAGCCTCCCAATCCATAAGTGCCTCTTCGAAAATAATCACTCATTCTTGCGCTCTGGGTCGGCCCAGTCTGCCGGAAAGCTGTGCTACCTGCCTAGAAGGGCAAGCTTCGATGGCGTGCCCCTCGCCGTCAGTCCCTTCACCGGGCGTCTTGTGACCTTGATTTGAGGGTCTCAGAGGGGATGACTCCGTTCGTGACAGAATCCTACAGCCGGCTAGTGTAAGAAGGATTCTATGGACCGGCCGCGGCTTCAATATCTGGAATCTGATTCTGTGGGGTGCGGCAAGCCGCGGCATCGAGCTACCGCAGATGTCTCCCAAGAGTGGGAACGTCTGGAGCTGGGTTCGAATAGGCACCCGTGGGGGAAAGGAACAATCATTCTGATGGGCTCTTTTCCGCTCAACCTTGTCGGTGTGGCCCTGAAAAATATGTCCACATATGTCAAGATACGAGTAAGTAGATATCCCCTTTGAAAACGGCGGTGGCATCAAACGTTCCCAGCCACTAGCTGTCCAGGTCAACTTGTCACCGGCTGCATATGACCCTGTCACTCGGCCCTTTTGTAGCGCGGGCGCTGTTGAACGCAGTTGCATCTTGTGCCTTGCATGGGTTCATGTAGGCTGCCGGGCCCCTCCTACTCATCGGCTTTCCCGGCTCCTGGAACCAGCGATCGCCGGCAGCCAAGCCGCCCGATAGAAAGCTTGGGAAAAACGCACAGAAAGCTTGAAACCACGCTAACCAGGTATTGAATGCCCCGATCCTTCGACCCCACGGGAGGGGGGTGTGGGTGGTCAGCAACGGGGCTCATCACGTTCGCCAGGTATTATCGTAGGCCCCAGTGCTTCCCGGGGTCCGGCCGCAGCTTCGCGGGAGCCTGTTGCGTCTCTTCGGCCTTCCTGATGCGGTTTGGGAACCACTGTGACGGGGTGGTTGGATCCATGCTAGGCTCGAATCCTCGAATCCTGAGGGCGGTCAGCCGGCGGCGTTGGCGGGGCGAACTCCATCGGCCTTCTTCCGGTAATGGTGGCCACACCCTTCGGGGCTAACTGCAAGGGCGGAGGCAAAGAATGCGGTTTTGGAAGAAGAAGAAGAAGGAGGAGGAGGAGGAGGAGGAGGAGGAGGAGGAGACGAAGAAAAGGGAAACAACGTGGCATAGTTATTGGGGCGTCGTGCTGCTCTTTCGTTTTCCACGGTTGAGAGATACTGATATCGCGGGAGACACCAAGCTCAAACCACCAAGAACTCGACCATGACTACGGACGAGTCGGGCTCCCTTGATACTCGCAACGGGGGCAAGAGTCACGCAAGCGAGAAGACCGACAACGACCAGCACCATGCCCTCCAGAGCACGACGCGGCCAACCGCAACGGCCGCCGACGACCTTCCCGGGTGGAAGGTCTTCGTCATCTGGCTGGCGGTCGCCCTCGGCGTGCTCTGCACCTTTTTGGACGAGGGCATCATCGCGACCGCCATCCCGCGGATAACGGACGACTTTGGCTCTCTGGCAGACGTCGGTGTAAGTGTTTTGACCAAGGAGGGGGAGGCTCTTTGTAGGTCATCTCACAATCGCAAACGAAGCTAACCAAAAGACTCTTCCAAGTGGTACGGCTCCGCCTATCAAATGACGCTCTGCGCCTTCCAGCTCGTATTCGGCCGGCTCTACAACCAGTTCGACATCAAGGCCGTCTTCGTCGTCTCCCTCGCCGTGTTCGAGATCGGATCCCTCGTCTGCGCGACGAGCCCGAGCTCGGCGGCCTTCATCGCGGGCCGCGCCGTCGCGGGCCTCGGCGCCTCCGGGCTCCAGAGCGGCTGTCTCGTGCTCATCTCGGCGGCGCTGCCGGCCAAGAAGCTGCCGACCTACGTGGGCGCGATCGGCATGGTGTACGGCGTGGCCGCCGTCCTTGGCCCCGTCGTCGGCGGCGTCATCGCGAACAGCTACCTCACGTGGCGATGGTGAGTTTCGACATCCCACATGCGCCTCCCTCACACACACCCCGGGTGCCGCCGCCCTTACTAACACGGGAGGGGGGGGGCCAATAGGTGCTTTTACATCAACCTCCCGATAGCTGGACCGCCAGCGGTGGCGACGTTGTTCCTGATCCGGTCGCCCCCGCCGACGGAGGAGCAGCGGCGGCCCTGGCTGCAGAAGATCCGGGGTCTGGACTATCTCGGCATGGCTCTCCTGCTGCCGGGCATCACCTCTCTTCTTCTCGCGCTGCAGTTCGGCGGCGCGCTGTTTGCGTGGGACGACAAGAGAACGGTCGCGTGCTTTGTCGTCGCCGGGGTCCTCGTCGCCGGGTTCGTCGTCGAGCAGTGGTGGATGGGGGAGGATGCCCTGGTGCCTCCGCGCCTGGCCAAGATGCGTGTGGTGATGTTCGGGGCCCTCTTCGGATTCTGCCTGGACAGCGCCTTCTTCACACTGGTCTACTATGTAGGTTTTATATTATACTCGCTGCCCCTCTCTGCCTCATTCTCACGTCCCCCTACATAGGTGCCTCTCTGGTTCCAAGCCATCCAGGGTGTAACGCCCGAGCAGTCCGGTGTAAGATACCTGGCGCTGTGTCTTGCGTTCATCTTCACCATTTTCCTCAGCGGCTGGGGAGTCACCAAGACCGGGTACTACCAGCCCTTCATGCTGGCCGGAACGGTCCTCCTGTCCGTGGGCTCTGGCCTGCTCTCAACCCTCCAAGTTACCTCGGGCGCGGACCGGTGGATCCCGTTCCAGGTTGTAGCGGGCCTGGGGATCGGCGTATCGACGCAGCAGGCCGCCGTCGCGGTGCAGAGCAGTCTCAAGGAGGCCGACGTCGCCATCGGCGTGGCGGTCGTCCTGTTCTTCCAGTGTCTGGGTCCTACGACCGCCATCACCATCGCTCAGGCTGTCTTTGCGAGCTCGCTGACGTCGGGCATCGCTTCCAGGCTGCCGGGGGTTGACCCCAGGGTTATCAGGGACTCGGGGGCCACGCAGCTGAAGGACCTGGTGCCGCCCGAGCAGTTTGGGGCCCTTTTGCAGATCTACAACCACTCTATCACGAGGACCTACCTTGTCGCAGCTGCCCTGGCGGCTGTCAGCATCATTGGCGTCGTAGGCGTAGGAATGAAGAAGATCCAAAGTGAAGGGGCCGCCGAAAAGACGGACGCTGAGAGCCAATGAACCAACCCTGCTAGCAGCCTTTTGCTCGTCACTTGTTACAGAGATTCACTGGCCAGGAACAGGCGGGGTTTTGAAATAAAGACGATCGTGTCCCATAACTTCGCCTTGCATGGCCAGTCACATGTGAACGTTGCCCTACGCGCTGTCGCACCGAGTTTAAAATAGACAAGCCAAAAGTAAGAGTTGAATATGGAATGGAGGTCAGGTTACACTGCACCATCCAGCAAAGTGCCTCCGGACTTGGTCCGGAGGCTATTCGGTGTCAATGTACACCATCACGACTCAGAACCTTTTGGCTCTTTTGTCCTCAGTGATCAATCCCTCCGTTTCCCTTCACCGACGGGCGTGTTCCGGTGAAGAAGTCTCAGTGTCACCGAGTTCCACGACTCAGACAGTTTCTACTGCAACACAAGTCCGACCACACGCAACGGACACAGCCCTACTACAATAAGAGATCAAACATATTGCCCATGCAGGGTTAGGGTTGACATCAAAGCAATCCCGGGTCTCCGGCATTGATACAGCCAAAAAAAACCTTCAAAGAAACCCTCTTTCCCTTAGTCATCGTCCTCGTAACCGCGTCCCCAGAGTCCCCCCCCTCTCTCTCTCTCTCTCCCCTCTCCCCCAATGATGGCAGTACCAACGGAAAGAAGAGGGTGGGGGAAAAGCTCCGGTTTGACTGACTCCGGTTGGAGCGTCGCCGGAGAACTTCAGACAATCCCCGTTACATGTTCCAGCCCAACGTTGCATCCCGCTGCTTTCCTTACCCGTCCGTCCATCAACCACTTTGACTTCCCGAGAGCGAGCCTCGATCAACCCGATCGATTTCCCCAGATCTCGCGCTACAGACCCTAACCCCCCCTCCCTTACCCCCCCCCATCCTCCTCCCGTCCAATCCCAGGCCCTTCTGTCCAGAGTGAGATCCTCTCCAGCAGAACGGCCCTGTCCAGACCTGCGCATGCGCAAGGGAGACACACACAGAGAGAGAGAGAGAGAGAGCCTCGTCAGAATGGACGACGAGCACAGCGAGGCGGTCAGGCGCATCGCCTCGGTCGTCAGGGACCTGCACTCGCGCGGGGAGCCCTTCCGCATCTTCCACGGCTCCACCAGCAGCACCCGGCCGCCCCACGGCCAGCGCGTCGTCGACATCAGCGCCCTCCGCCGCGTGCTCCGCGTCGACGCCGCCGCCGCCGTCGCCGTCGTCGAGCCCGGCGTGCCCATGGACGAGCTCGTCGACGCCGCCTCGGCCCGCGGCCTCGTGCCCCCCGTCGTCATGGAGTTCCCCGGCATCACCGTCGGCGGCGGCTTCGCCGGCTCCGCCGGCGAGAGCAGCTCCTTCCGCCACGGCTACTTCGACGAGACGGTCCGCGCCGTCGAGCTCGTCCTCGCCAACGGCGACGTCGTCGAGGCCTCGGACGACGTCAACCCGGACCTCTTCCGCGGCGCCGCCGGCGCCCTCGGCACCCTCGGCATCGTCACGAGGCTCGAGGTCCGCCTCGTCCCGGCCCGCCGCTACGTCAAGGTCAGCTACCACTCGTACTCGACCGTGCCCGAGGCCGTCGCCGCCGTCCGCCGCGAGACGGGCCTCGCCCACAACGACTACGTCGAGGCCTTTGTCTTCTCCCGCACCAGCGCCGCCGTCGTCACCGGCCACCTGACGGACGACCTGCCCGACAAGGGCCGCCCGCAGACCTTCGGCCGCGCCAAGGACCCCTGGTTCTACCTGCACGCCCGCAAGCGCATCCGCAACGGCACCCCGACCCCGGACTACGTGCCGCTGCGCGACTACCTCTTCCGCCACGACCGCGGCGCCTTCTGGATGGGCGAGCTGGCCTTCAAGTACTTCGGCCTCGTCCCCTTCAACCGCCTCACCCGCCGCGCCGTCAACGGGCTCATGGACACGCGCACCCTCTACAGGGCCGGCCTCGGCTGCGGCGGCCGCATGACCTTCCGGTACCTCGTGCACGACCTCGCCCTGCCCTACACCACGGTCGGGAACTTCATCGACTACGTCGCCGACGAGCTCGACGTCTGGCCGCTCTGGCTCTGCCCGCTGCGAGCCGCCGCCGCCCCGACCTTCCACCCCTGCACGACGGAGCCCGGCGGCGCCAGCCCCCAGCCCATGCTCAACGTCGGCGTCTGGGGCCCCGCGCCGTCCACCAAGATCGACCGCTTCGTCCGCCAGAACCGCGACCTCGAGGCCCGCCTGGCCGAGCTCGGCGGCCGCAAGGTCCTCTACTCCCACGCATACTACACCGAGAAGGAGTTCTGGAACATCTACGACAGGGACTGGTACACGAGGCTGCGCGAGCGCTACGGCGCCACCAGCCTGCCGACCGTCTACGACAAGGTCACGGTCGACGTGGTCAGGGAGCGGGAGAGGAAGTCCCTCAGGGACAAGGTCGCCGTGGCGTGGCCCTTTGCTGGCTTCCTCGGGGTCTGGTCCGCGATCCGGAAATGAGAAAGAAAGAAAAAGGAGCTTCTTCTTTTCTTTTCTTTTTTTTTTTTCCGACGGGGGATTCGATGGGTTTCAAAGGAAAGAGAGGAGGAGGCGTGCGATGCGTTGGCACATTGCCACTTCGTATAAAGTTCACGACGATTACGGTACTGTTTACGCGTGGATGACGGGGCCTTTTGTGGTCGACTATAGAACGGTTTTTATCACGGGAGGGCGTGGAAAAGGGGGGAGGGGGGAGTTGGTCTGGTTTTACATTTTCATTTTTATTTTCCCTATTTCTTCGTTTTCCTTTTTCTTGTCCCCCGGCGAGGCCTTTTTTTCGGCATTTGCTTCCTTTGGATCGAGCGGAAACTCATGCATTTTCTTCGGCGTCACCGGCGGTTTCACTTGTAGCTAGGGAATCTTAATACCACGTACTATCTCGTTGACATCCGTCTATAACCCCCCTTGATACGCTCAATCGATGACGGGACGCTCCCTTTCTTTTCAGCTTCGTCACAAACTCTGCCACTGGCTGTAATGGACCGTGGCCTATATAACAATATCCACCAACTATATCTCAGCTCAAGCCTTCTCAAACACCGGGTCCCCTCGTTGCCATACACCGACCGGATCCCGCGAGAACCGTGCCAGCCGGCCCAATCGTGCGTCCTTCTTCGATTACGCCGAACCCCTAGTCCTCGCCTCTTACTACTCAACCGCATAAAGTGACGGGGGGGGGGGGGGTTGAAGGTTGACGGTGACGCAGGGCACACATCAAACAGCACTGTCGCCAAACATAACCAATCCGACTGGCACGTCATCTATCAGGCTTCCACACACGCATGGTGGGAAACAAATGTATTATTCACGAAGAGAACCTGAATTGAAAATGAGCTGCATCTGCTGCGCCGAGGAGTCGTGCAGATGAGGGGGGATCCTACAAATACATATCCAGAACACCGTCGCCTCCCAGCCTACCATCGCTTGTGCAAATCACAAAAAAAAAAAAAAAAAAAAAAAGGAAAAAAAAGACAGAAAAATAAAAAGTAGTAGAAGAAGAAGCCAGGGAATATCCTGGGCTTTTCTCAGCCCGATTCCGCGAGCGGCCATCAAAATGGACAACGTATGTAGGCCAATCCTCGCTTCTCAAGTTGAGCACCAGGTTGCTCCCCCTTTACCAGTCGTCATCACGTCACTGGATATTGCCACTCGCCCGTCACCTTATTCATGTAGCCAAGCTTCTCTGCCGCTGCCGTGAAATCCTATTCCTCGTGCACGCTTCCCATGAGGCCACCCTGCTTATGTGACTTCTTGCCCAGTTTCAGCATGCTGAGTCTCTTCCTCACACTGCTTCGTTTGATGACGATGGGGTCATCGGCTAGACGTTCGTCCCTATACTCGCGCTCCTTTTCCGTCAGATTGAAGCCCGTGTCTGAGCTTTGCCGGCCGCCCGAATCCGTCACCCATTCGCTAGCAGCATCGTTGCTACCATTGATACGCCCCCCGTCTGTAGATGGGGCCCGGAAGAAACTTAGCCGGCTGGATGTGTCTTGGGCCCTGCTGCGGCTTCGGCTGTGCTGGCTTAAAGTATCATCCGCGTCGCCGCTGGCCGAGGAGTTACTGTTGGTTTGTTGTTGCACCGGGGATTGCTTCTTACGACCTCCCAGGAAGCTCAGGCGTGTACCGCGACCCTGGCGGATGGCAATGGGCTGAACCGTCGACACTTGTTCGGCGACCACAACGTTGTCCGTGGCATCGGTGGTGCTCTGCGGTTGGGGGGATCCCTGTTCTGTCGACGGCGATGATCGTCGCCAGGGCTGTAAGTTGGTAAAGTCGCGAGTGGGCTGTTGGGGCGCAAAGAGAGCGATTTCGGGTGCGAAGGTGCTTTCAAAGTCTGGCATAGGTCAGAAAGGACTACTTACAGAATCAGCGGATAGGGAGGGGGAGGGGAGACACTTACATTGCCGTAGTTCCTCATGCCTTCGGCTGAGGACCTCGTTCGAACTTTTTGCAAACGTTGCCAGGCATCGCTTGATCATGATTGCATGGTCGACAAGCGCCATCTTGATGGCATTATCTTGCGGGTCAAGGAGTGCCTCTTGTTCCTCGTCTTCGCCGTCGTCGTCGTCGTCGTCGTCGTCGCTCGAAGCGGCTGGCAGGAGCTGACGGTAGCACGCAACGCTATTGTCAGAATCGGGGTTGACCGAAACGCTCACAGCATCCACGAGCAACTGCGCGTTCTCTTCGTCGCCCTCGGCAACTCGCTTCTCAATGACCGTCATCTCCTGCGTCTTCCTGACGATGCGTTCCAGGCCTGTCTCATGAGCACCGAGCTTGATTTCCTCCGTGTAGACGATCTCGCTGCGTCGGAGGATCGTCGGGAATGGGTCGGCTGTGGTGAACACCATCTTCTCCGCGTGGTGCTCTTTTACGGGCCCAGACGTGTTGCGCTTGGACGATACGGAGAAGCTCTGGGGGTTGGCGGAGAGCAGATAGTCGCGGATGACCTGCGGGACGCGGGCGCGCTGGAAGACGTGGTGCGTTAGATCGCGATGGGGGGTGATGGCGGAAACAACGAGGAACTGCCCCTCCACATCGTCCACATCGCCGCCCGTCACAATCTGAGCAGACGGGTATAGCTCCTGCATGCGGTCCGTGAAGGCCGAGGCGCGTTCTGTCGGGGATCCCTCGTAAACGAATTCTTTATCGCGAAGGCTAGAGGGGAACCCGAGCCCCTTGTAGACGACCTTGAAGTACTTGGGTATCAACCTGTCGCTCCTGGAGATGGTCTCGTAAACGGTGGCAATGGCTCGTTCGGTCCGGGCAAGCTTGGCGAAATCAAAGACGTTGCTCTCGTACTGGGTACGCAGCTCTCGGTAGGCAGCCAAGGCGCTGCTCCAGGCCTCGCCATCCTCGAAATGCTTGATCATGTCGAAATAGATGCGCTCCTTGCGCTCGAAGGATGTCTGCACCGGGAATTCAGGTTCACTCAGGGCGGGAACCTGCTTCGTGGGATCCCAGTCGTAGAGGTCGGCGTGCAGCCGCAACGCCAGGCCAGCTTCGCAATGGTTCCTTGCTTCGCCTTGGAGGGCGGCCAGCTGGTGGACATATCTGATAAATATATCTTCCTTCTGCATATCCCGGAGGAACTCCATCAGCCGCAGTCGGTTAATCAGGTGCGACGCCTCGCTCGAGTTGTCGCTGCTGTGAACAGCCACGAGAAGGTCGAGGAACTCGTTGACGGTGCCCATCAGCTCGCAAATCGCAGCGTGCAGTGCCTCGTCGGGGCCGGTCGCCAGTGGCGCGAAACGCTCCAAGACCTCGCCGATAAAGAGTTTTTGCAAGATGCTCTCGGTCAAGGGCTTCGACTTGAAGTATTGGTCGAGACTGTCAATCACCTCGGTCTGGATGACGGACAGGTCCTCGCTAAGGGTCCATTCGCTGACGATCATGGTCTGCAGCACCTCCACGGCCATCCGTCGCAGGCCTTGGTGCACGCTGAGACAAAGCTCGACAATGGGGCCAACGAGGACGGGGACGTATTGAACCTGGTATCCGCCCATCTTGGACAGGTTGTAACGATCCCGCTCATCGGCGCTCGTCTCCCAGCCAATGGCCTCCCAGGTCCGTCTGAGGAGCTCGGCGCCATGCTCTCTGACATCGCCGGCGATTTTCCACACAGCTCTACGCTTCTGTTCCGGGAAGGTTTCCAGAGCCAGAGATGGGCTACCAACAAGCTTGAGCATGGTTGTGAAGAACATCTTCCAGAGTTCGGTGTTGAAGTTCTCGGCATCGTCGGGATGGGGCAAGTACGACTCGAGCAGGATGCTGGATAAGTACTGTAGTGTTTTCATGGTGGACTTGTGGTGGTAGATGTGTACGCTCAGCCAGTCGGGCGGGAAAGCCTCGCCCATCAAAATGCTCATATGCACGCGGAGGGTGTTCTCTAGCAACAAAGTCAAGTCGCCCTCGATCAACTCTAGTTGCATGCCGCTTGGCGAGTTCGAAACGGCTGAAAGGATTGCGGAAAGCTCGACCAATGCCTCATCAAAGGTGCACTCTTCGGTGATGGGCTTGGATGGGAAGGGGTATGACGTCGGGAAGAGAAGCGAGAGACGGTTGCGAGGTTTGGTCGGAACGGCCACGATGGACATGTACGAGTCGACGATCTTGGGGAGGTAATCGGGGATCTCGGGACCGAGGTTGTCGATCTGGCCGGCGAGGACGGAGCAGCAGAGACGGACCTGTTCCTTCCACGAGTCGGTGACGGCTTCGGTGTGACCCCAGTGAGGGGCAATCCATCGGACCGTGTTGGCGGTGAGGGCAGATTTCTGATCGGGATGCGAGAAGATGTCGAGCTTGGAGTAGTTGATGATGAGCACGAGCTTGTACAGCACCAGCTTGCCCTTGACATCGGCGCAAGAGTCGAGGAAGTCGATGGCGATGTGGAGAATCTCCTCGGTCGATAAGAGACCCGTCAGCTCGGGCAGCCACGTATGGAAATGCTGGACGGCCAGTGTCTGGCTTCCGACAAGGACGGGGGCGTGGCTGCGCATCATGGCGTCCAGGGCCTTGAAGATGTTCCTCAGCTCCCGGGTGAAGCCAGGGGCCGAGTGCGAATTGGTGATGCCTATTCCGGCTTCCTTGGCCTGCTGCTGGTCGCGAGCGTGTGTGATGAACTTGAGGATGTGTCGCACAACCTTGAACGTGGACCGGAGCTTGCGCGACGTCGTGGGTTCCGTCGGCTTTTCGAGCAGCCGCGTGAATGACCTGACGAGGCAAGCCGTGGCGAACGGGTAGTTGAAGCGGTTCTCCGCGTAGTGGTCGACGAGCGGGCCGAGGTTGAACCGCCTGTCGTGCACGATGCCCAGGACCCTAACCAGGGCCGTGAACACGAGGTCCTCGAGTTCGTCGTTGCCCGAGTACTCCACCAGCACACCAAAAAGTGCGTCGAGTACGTCGCTGAGAAGCTTGACGACCTCAATCTCTGGCACGAAAATGAGGTGTTTCAGCAGCGTCGGGATGTCGTCCTTGGCCGCCTCTTTCCACTTGAGCAAGCCCAGAACGACGCGGTCCTGGGAAAACCGGGTGCTACACAGGTAGGTATCGACTCGCAGGATGGCCTGGGGGCCGGTCACGTCGGCAGAATGCTCTTCGTTTCCTCTAGCACTCCACTGCAGGGAGAGGTAACCCCCTCTGCCGGATGGCCCGGCTTGGGCGGTGGAGGTGAACTCATCAGCCTTGTACAGCAACAGGGCATGCGTGCCATCGCGGACAAAGGCCTCCTGGTTCCACAACGGCATGTGGGCAACCGCGAATGGGGGGTTGGGCATGTCAGACAGGAACATGACGAGGTGCGAAGCGAAGACATCCTCTGGCGAGATGGCGAGTCGGACCGTCTGGCTCCAATGCTCCCCTCTCTCGACTGCCACAGACTTCCAGGTAGTGATGCCTTCCGTGTTGGACGAAGAAAAGATGCAGTTGGGGATCTTTTCCCCGTCACTTCTCCGCACCTCGAGCGTGACCTGCAAATCATTTCCTTGTACACTGCTGGCGAGCGCGGTCGGGCTCCCTGCATACCTGGACAAGAGGTTGTGTTTCGAGAGGGCAGCGGAGTCGAGGGTGACGTAGATATCCGATCTAGCCTTGGTAGGTGCGCCCGAGAATCCCATCTTGTTCGTCTTTCGGATACCAGCAAGCAATGTCGGCGTTGTCTTGACCAGCTCGTCCACATCCTGGTGGTTGAACGACCTGAGGTGGACTTGTACCCGCTCGGTGCGACGCGACTTCTCATAATGGCCACTCTTGCTGTCCATCAGGTCTCGGATGAGGCCATCCCACTCGTCGTTGAGACTCTGTTTCTCGGCCGGTGGCGTCAGCGAGGCTGACCAGATGCTCACGACCTGTTCAACGTCCTCGTCCTGTTTCATTATAGAGTTGAGCTTGAGAACACCGACACCGACAGTCCGTTCCGCCATCAGAAAGCCGGCACCGGCATCAAACGAGCCTCGAGGCCTCGAGCCGGCGGTACTGGGAGGTGGGGCACTCCCTTGGCCATCGTCTTGTGTTGACGGACGGCCTTCGGGATACTCGGTCAGAGAGTCAAGCTTTGGCGTGGCGTTCCCTCTGGAGAAGGCAGAACGACCGCTCTTGGATCCCCACATGAGACTTCTTCTAGAAGGTTTGCCGTTACCGGCGGACGTGGGCTTGGCAGGATCCTTGGAATATCCAGTCCCCTGAGACTTTGCGCCGGAACGAGAGTCGGGCTTCCGGCTGGCAATGATTTGCTCACTGGACCGCACCTTGACGACGAGGTACAGCTCCGTGTCGGCCGACGCGCCATCGCCGATGTCCTGCGAAGAGAGGTCGGCGAATACGGTTCGCGTTTGGCCCGATTTTGCCAGGCTGCCTATGGTCCCGCCAGGGGGTATCTCGATGACGAAGCATTCCGTCAGCGTGGCCACCTTGCCTCCGACGGGCTTGGCCACCAGGTAGGCGGTCAGCGAGGTCTCTTCGGACGATGCGCCGGCGAAACCCTTGACGTCGAAAAGCAGGTGGTGGAGAGCTGTGGGTTCGACGGTGGGCTGGGGAGGTTCGTCGAGAACGCTCATGACAGACTGCAGTTTTGTGATGTCGACCACCGAGTCATCGCCCGTCAGTACGCGTCCACGGTCTGCAGGGTCACGGACGACGACCTCTCCGCCACATAGCTTGTTGACGCGCACCAGATCCCAGACCGTCTTTTCGCGCAGCTTTTGGTATTCATGCCTCGTGAGGACGTTGTGGAGGAACTGTTGACGGCTCAGGTTTAGCGTGTGGATGAGTTGAGAGAGCTTCTCGAGGCGCGAGTATTGCCTGGATAGGAGCAGGCCGTGCAGGTTCGTCGAGTGCCATTCGCGGAGGCAGCTGGCAATCTCGTCGATGAGGGGTTCGGCGGCGGATGTCGGGGTTTCGTCGCCAATTTTGAGCATCGGCACGGGGGCGGCAGGGCGAGGTGCGTCGGGGTCACGCTTGACGGGGATGGAGAGGCGGCCGTGGGTGCCATTGGGAAGCTCCTGGAGGGGCGTACGGCCCTTTGTTCCTGTCCTGTTGCCTCTGGGACCTTTTGCGTTCCCAAACGACTTGTGGCGTTGTATCGCCTTTGGTCTGTCGACAGCAGTCGGGGTCAAACCGCTCTTGGCTGAGTCGCTTCCGAAATGAGTGTCGGCGGTAGCATCGTCACTAGCAGCGTCGTCGGCGTCGTCGGTATCGTCGGCCTCGCCCAGCACCTCGCGCACCTCGACGCAGCTCCGGGGAAAGATGCCGCTAAAGACACGGGCCTCGAGGGTCTGGCCCTTGACGGAAGTCAGTCCGGCCAGCAGACTGGGCGGGGCGACCAGATAGCCACGCAGCCAGTTGCCGTCGGGGGTCTCCTCGATTATGTACAACTCATCGCCGAGCTCGAGGGGAAGGTCGGCCGGGCCCGAGGCGGCAAAGGGGTATGTCGCGACGGCGAAGGCGATTCGGGGAAGGGGCTGCCAGGGCATTGAAGGGTCTGGATGGTCAACAGCTTGTCGAGAGACGTGGTCGGTTTTGTAAACGAGGGAGAAAGAAGAGGAGGAAGGGCGGCAGGATGAGCTGTCGAACCCGTTGACCTCTTGGACCTGGAGGAGATGCACCTTAGCTTTCAAAGGTCTAGTTTGAATGAAGGACGGGGCAGCAGCATGCGGCAAGATGGTGGTGTATCGCGAACCTGTGGGACCCTGACTGGGCTGACTGGGCGGTAGTGTTGAGGTGGCCTCGTGGGGACGGTCGGCTATCGCTTCATCAGGGTCTGACAGACACGGGCCAAGTTTTGCGTGGTTTTGGCTCAGGTATCGGAAGGAATTTAGGCGTGGGGGCGAGAAACGCGAGAAAGGAGGAAGCGAGAGGGGGGGGGATGGCAGATCGACCAGCGCGGAGGACGGGGGTTCGACTTGGATGGGCTGAAGGAAACAGAGTCGGCGGATCGTCAATGTAGCACGCGCCGGTTCCGTGGTCCTAACCCTCGAAGAGATGGAGCGAAAAGGGAAACGAAGTGAGGAAATTGGGTATCCGTATTATGTTTGTCGGAGGGAAATTCGGCGCACGAGAATGAGGACGTGGAGTCGCGCAGGAAAGTGAGTGGAGGAGAGAGAGGGAGAGAGTGTGAGAGTGAGAGAGTGAGTGAGAGAGTGAGTGAGAGATGAGAGGGAGACCAGGGCTGGAATTTGAGAAGGGGAATGAGAAGGGGGTATCAACAATGAAGTGCACGCAGCTGGACGAAATGCGAAGAAGAAGAAGAAGAAGAAGAAGTAGAAGAAGCAAGCAGCAGCAGCAGCAGCAGTAGTGGAGGGTGGGGTTTCGTGTCGAGTATAGAATGATGATGCCAAAAAACAGAAAAAAACAATATGTAAAGCAAAACCAAGAAAGGCCTTGTCTTCAGGTGCTGCTTGGCCGATGGACAAGATGTCGTTGTCGTTACCATGTGTGTGGGTGTGGTGTGGATGTGTGTCTGCTGTGTCACGGGCGATACACGTGCATCTGTTCTGTGCCCAAGGTTCGGTTAGGTGGGTACCATAAGGAGATAAGTTAGATGTCAATGGGTCACAACGGCTGGAATATCTGTGCTTGATGGAGAAGGGGTCTCTAGCTGGAGGAGAGGGCCAGAGAGCGAAAGAGAATTGGCGGGTAGGGTAGTATCCGTAAAGGAGAAGGGGGAGAAAAAAAAAAAACAGCAGTGCCAAGCGTCAACCAAAAAAGACAACACGAAACGGCACCTTTTCTTGTTTTTTTTTTTCTTCCTCCGAGATGAAGAAGCAGCAGCAGCATCGCAATCGAGAGGAGCTTGCCAGCCATATGCATATGCACACACGCATTGAGCAATCAATTGAGTGTGCCCAGACTACCCCCTTCCTACTACCTCAACTAACCTCCTTCCCTCCTCCTCCTCCCCCCCCTACTCTTCCCTCCTTCCTTGGACTTCCTTGGAGATTCGACTTGCCCAGACAAGCACAAAAAAGCAAAAGAGCCCCTGAAGCACATACAGCAGCAGCAGGAAGGGGAAAGCACACCACCTGCCTGGTCTGTGTCCTGTTTGTGTGTCTGAGCCGAGCTGTGAGTGGCTGGCGGGGAGAATGCAGCTGGGCTAGGCTGATGCTGGTACACGCCTCTATTGGTCGGCTGAAGCTGAGGGGCACGCGGTTTAGTGGGTCCGGCCAGGTTGGAATGGAGCCGGTCCACAAAAGAACTCAAGCGGGGAGGAGGGGGAGGGAGGCACGAAGAATAGGAGGATACCTCGAGGATGGAAGGAATGAATTCAAATAAAATTGCCTCTGCTCCTGCTCCTGCTCCGGCTCCTGCTCCGGCCCCTGCACTTGCTCTTGCATGCACCCTGCACCTGTTTGCCGTTTGCGTCTGTATTAATGAATAATATATGTACAAATCAGCGAGAAACGCACCCGCTCGTCCCTGCTGGATGGGAGGAGAATCGGACGACGGCTTGCTTGTACTTAGTAGTTTGGACTGACTAGGTAGGTACCAAGGTATCAATTTAGACACCATGAGTAGGTAGGTACCCGCCTCAGCCCTTGGTGACACGATCTGAGCATGATGAGACGGTCGTCGTCCGCGATAAAGACACATGCAGAGAGAGAGAGTGTTTGTGTGTGTGTGTGTGTGTGTGTGTGAGAAACTGCCAAAATGCATACACGCATACGTACATACATACCTACGGCACGGAGTACTTCAGCCCCGATACAGCAAAAGATATATAAGTATCTACCTAGACAGGTAGGGAGGTAGGTGGCGTAACGTAGCGAGTCACGGGCGCATCGCGTCAAAGAAAGATCAAAGGCGGCAACGACAGACAAGTGTCTTGTCGTCGTCAACAACCGAGCAACCGTATCCCGTACATGCCGTCGTCTCGGTGCCAAGACCCAAAACTCATTAGACAAAGGAAGGGTACACACCGGAAAAAAGGATTACGATCGCTGGGCGCCGGGGTCGTATCGAGTAAAGGCCTTGCCTTCTCTGCCATTTGACTGCAGACATGCATGTCGAAGGCCAGCCAGCTAGCCAGCAGGGGGCCAGTCCCCCCCTCCCCCTCCTCCCTCCCCCCCGTCCCATCCCAAACCGGGTCGACCAAGAGGAACACCCGAGCCCGCGTTTGATTAAGAAACTTCCCGTTGTCAGCCAAACTCAATCCGCCGCAACGTCGATGCCGCCGCCCACACATGTCTTGTCTTGGACCCGTGATTCATCATGCCCAGAAACACACTGTTCGCCGAACAAGAAACGACGGCAGCCATCTCAGCCCCGTCCCGGGACGGGACACCCGTACATGAGCATACATGCACGTGGTGCATACCTACGGTCGTACTACGTACTGGAGTATGCATGCAGCCAGCAGTCTTATTACCCCGGTGCCATGGATTTTTTGCTTCTTTCTTGGTAGTCGGTCGGTCTACCTATTTGTCAACAAGGCGAGAAGAGACGAGGACCACGATCGTTGCCTCTCTGCCTGCCTCTTTTTCTTCACACCCCTCCTTTATTCCCCCTCCCCCCTCCCCTTTGCTTTCTTCCCTCACTCTCAAACGCTAGGGGGAATGGGAGATCGACTAAGTGCGTCTGCTGGGACTCCCGCCGTCTCGGGCGTGGAATCGTGGCTTAACTTTTTTTCTGCCTTCCCGTCTCTCCGCATCGAGGCAAGGACATCGTACATCCTACCCAAGGTATCCGTAGTAGTGCCGCCTATCTGGGTAGGTAGTTGCAGAGAGGAATACCTCTACCCAGCAGTATTGTCTCCGAGTTCTACCACAACCTACCTACGGTAGGTACGGTACCATCCAAGGTAGACAGACAATCGATACGTACCTTTCTACCACCTGCCTCGCTGTCCTTGCTGCTGCAAAACATCAAACAGGCAAGTGGGTCTGTTTGCACGAGCAAAAACCCTTGTGGCTGGCCGTGCCCGTGCCCGCGTCGTTATTGGGCCCGGGCTGCCCGGTACGTATCCAAGGTGGACCCTCTTGCCTCCCCACCCGTACCATACAAACACACACACACACACACAGAGCACACACGAGGTAGGTGCGGTACACAATACACAGTACTTATTTTACCTACCTACCTTCGCGTTCCTTCCACTAACAGTAGTAGTACATTACTATGTACGTCTTGTGATCTGGCCTTCTTTTTGGTCGCTCCTGCCTGCCATGCGCTGGCCACAGACAGCAGCCCGTTCCTGCATTCGGGAACGTTCTGCCCCGCGACTGCAGGAGTGATACCCAAGCTAGCCGAGCACGATGTAGGTACCCCCGACTTGGTGTGTGTGTGTGTATGTGTCATCAGACGAACAGACAGACAGACAGACACCCATGGACATACACCAATCCACTCAAAATGAGACGTCAGTCTTCTCTCGAGATCCATTCACAACCAACTCACGAACCCTGCCTACCCAATACTTCGTTCTCCCTCGTCATCGCTCGGGCCTCCTCCTTGTGATGCGCTGCACCGCGAGGCGGACAAGAGACGTGGATATTCATACCTCAGGCCAGGTTAAAACCTATCCAATTGCCTCGCCGAACCAGAACCATAACAACAACCTCTCTGCCGTCTCGGTTGCCGACCTCGATGTATGTTGGCGCGCTCGGACTCGATCAGTAGTGCACATACTAACAGAATAGGTGCTAGATATAGATATGCACCAATGGTCTCCGACAGCAAGCTGACAGACAAACCTTCACGACATGCATTTTTTTGCTGGTATCGGCGCCGCCAACGTTGTATCGTCTGTCTGTCTCTGCCCCCTCCACAGTCACATGGCGCACTGCCATGTGCTCTACTATCTTGCCTGGGGTTGATGGATGCAACGAGGACTCACCACGGCGTAGTAGTAGACTAATTAGCCCTGCGAAAGAAGGATCGCCCGCCACACGAGAAGCCCCGGAGTCTCTTATATTATCAAGCCGGCAGTGCGTGTACGTCAAGGTCTACCCCTGCTGCGTACCCATCACCGCGCCGATCGTCAATGTCCAGCCTCAATAGCACCAGATATTTGCACAAGACTTTCAGCTCTCGGCTTCCCCCACCCGCACCCTCAAAACGAGGCTGGCTGGCGCTGACCAGAGAACTCTCTCTACCCCCCCCCCCCCCATCGATATCGGATCGACCCGCCGAGTTTTTCTCATCGGTGGACTGGAACGGAATGGAAGGTAATTCGCCTTGTTGGTTCGCTCTCTCGGGTTCGGATCATGTCTGTCCCCGTTAACTCCTGTGCTGCCAGGACGTGCTTGTTGGGAAGGTGCTGCGCCAAACAACATTCATTCCCCGCGGCCGTCCTAGCCAGTTGTCAACAATGACTGCCACATTCCGAACGGCTCGGCTCGCTGTGGCCGTTGCTGTTCAATTCCACAGGCCGGAATCGGCGTTTCTAACCCCTTGGGGGAGGCGGCCTGGATCAAGAACGGCAACGCCACCTCACTACTGACGACAGGCCGCCACGCGCCGTTGATGCATGCCGAGCAAGTGGCCGCCGACGTGTCTCTCATTATCAAATTCTCTGTCATGTTCGTTCGACTAGGCCGCGGTGGGGTCGTCATAAACCCGACTGCTTTACCGGGCGATGGCCACGGAGCAACATCTCTGTCGAAAGGTTGGAAATGCCGGCTCCGGTATTATGTATACGGGAGGTTTCACAGGGCGATTTCTCGTTCGATCGGAAACAAACAAAATGCCAGCCCAAGATGTTGCTCGAGGAACGTTTGTGTTTCGTGCCAGGCATCCTCGCCAGCAAGTTTGCAACGACAATAAGACAACAACCAACCTTGTTTATCCTGTGGCACAGGTCGACCATCAGCGGCATGTGTGTTTACCCTTGACTGAGATGCGTATCCCGGGCTGGTCCCTCTGCGATAACACGGTCAGGGAAACACAGATCAAGTGTCATGCCAAATTCTCGCCACAAAAATAGGTCTGTATTTTGTGCCAAGGCACTAGCAAAAGGGGAGCCCTCCTGAGGTTGCACAGGTACACAACGTTGATCATATACAGCAAAAAAAAAGAAGAGAAAAAAACCCACACAGCAAAAGTACGACTCTTGGTACTTAGCACAATATAAAGTTGTCCGTACCCTGTATACCGGTAGCGAGATGTAGACGAATGGAGATCAGGCACGCACATCCCAAGCACGCGCCTCCACCATTGCGTTGATCCCAGATGACAGCCGGCGCCGATCGTCTCCATCCCGCAGATCAGTTAATGGCTTGACAAGGCGGGCTAGAGATCCTGCCCATAATGTAAGAGCGGTTTCTCCTATATGGGTTTACGCTCTCTAAACGAATTGTGTATGTACATAGTGTACTCTGTAGATGGTGAATATAACGTACCTGAGCCAACATACGCGGGGATCGCCCCGTGCTTGCACCTTGTCGATGACCCTGCCAGGGACGCCTTGGACCGTACCAATGTTTGGGCGATCCGAGTTTTGTTTTTGTAAATAAGCCGTAGAGCCCGGCCGAAGTTGCCAGCTGGGATCCTCGTCACAAAGACACACCGTTTGTCGAGCCGTCCAGGACTCGCTCGCAGGCCCCCAAAGTCCAATGACAATTTGTGCCGCGTCCCTCGAGGCGTCTGCGTAGGGTCGGTGACGGCTAAGCGCGTGTGTAGTGATGCGAATGTATCAACGCTTCGTCTCATTCTTTTCTCTTTTTTTTTTCTCGCCTTTTTCTTTTCTTGTTAGACGAGTTTGGTCACCCATTAGAAGACTCGTTTGGCCCTCTCGTTCGGAATCCTATTCCATAATCCCGACCTCTCTCGAGCGCGATTCAGAGTGACTCGAGCGTCCATTTGGCGATCATCTCCTACCTGTGCGTGCTCTCGACGTGTTGATTCTTGTAGCCGCCGTCTGCCGTAGTTGCCGTCCAACCAGCTTCGTTTCTGAGAAACACGTCGAGCAATGCGTTGAGAGATGCGTCGAGTAATACATTGAGAAAGACGTCGGTGTCGCCGTCGGGAGTAGATATGCGTTCCGGCCTGTCATCAAGAGCCTGTCGGTTCGCAAAAAGGACAACGACCACATGCGGACTCGGTGAGAAACAACCCCCAATCGCCTGAGGGGGACCGGCTCCTCGGCAGTTGTAGTTGAGCCCGACGGATATCTGGACGGCCGCGGGTATCGGGTTAGCGCAACCTCTTCGATCAATACCACTCCTCCGCCGGAGGTCTCACTTTGGCCTCGGACGTCACGACATTCGACCCCCTGCCCTCCCGATCACGCGCCCCCTGCCATGTCGACGAGCGTCCGTTTGACATCTCTGATGGTGGAGAGTGAGATGGGGTGGTCCTGCCCGACACTGTCGACCGGCAAGAGCAGGAGGGTTTGATACAGAAGACGCGAAAAAGAACGAACTAGCTGCGGACCGGGCTGGTGCTCTTCCAAGAACAGACACGCTCTCTGGCCGTCTTGCTCCGGGGACGTTCTGTCCTGGAACGACAACGAAATCCCCCCCCTTCCCTGGGGTCTTGAGACAAACTCGGCAAGAGCTCAATACGCGACGTGTCGCCCAGCGTTCTGGTACATTTTCACAGATGTCGTTCCGCTTCATTTATCGGGGTTGAACAAGAAACGTTCAAAGCCAATACGAGTTCTGTGGTCCGGAGTTACGGACAAGATGGATATGCCGGCGCCGAGGTCCGCGGGATCGGAATTGGGGCGTAGCGTTGGATAATCCGGAGCATTCGGAACGGGGCCACCCCTACTTTTCCCGGCCCTGACAGGCTGCCCCCGACCCAGACCCAGACGGGGATGGTGGTGGCTGCCGGGATCCGAAGCTTCCGCCGTCACGGCAAGGGGCTGGCGATTACCCACCAGGCAGAGTGGTGCCATGCCAAGCAGATAGTCCGCAGTTTCGGCAGTATCCGGAGAGTGTCCACCACGCCTTCGGGGACTGGAAGCGGACAATGCGCGGGGTGGCCGGGTGGATCGTACAGACGCGGTAACGGACCAGCCGGTCCCGATGAAGCCCAGAGATGGCGGCTAGTCGACTAATATACGAGAGACGGATAAGCCAGTCTGGATGGCATCAAGACATCTTCCGATAAACATGTCAAGACATCTTCCGATAGCATATTAAAACCCCCCCGGCCCCCCCGTGCCCACCCCTTCAGAGCCGCCGCCACCACCACCCCCTCCTATTGCTTGCTACCGAACCGAACCTTGTTCGAAAGAAGCTTTGCTAACTCGTCAGGGGCATGGAGAAAAAAAAGGGGTGCGGTAATATATGCATGCGTGGTTGGGGTTGGGGAACCGCAGATACCGGAGCCAAGGACATATATGTCACACATTGTATCCGCGAAGGGGGGAAAAAAAGGGAAAAAGAAAAAAAAAAGGTGATGATGTATGCCAAGACTCGCGACGGATGCACCGGCCCCGTATCTCTCTCCCCTTCTCTCTCTCGCGCGCGCGCGCCCCCGCGTTGAACCATTCGACAGGGTCACACACCCTCTCTCACACCACCGCAGTTCACGCTAAGTAGATGGACGTTTCGTTCGTTGCCTGGGACGGGATAGATAGCAAGGGCGGCCGACGTGTATTGGACAGCGAGACCCTCGTGAGATGCGCGGGGATGGGCGAGCACAACGCCCAAACGAGCGTCGTGCTGTGTCCGCCCGTGCCACTCTCTCGTCTTACCTCCCACGCAGAGGTCGCGTGCTCTGCTGACGAGGAGCGAATTGTTGTCCTCATCTTTTGTTGCTTTGCTTTCATCCATGGATTCGTTTGTTTACCTTGTTTTCAAGAAGAAAAACGCTCCAGTGTTCCGAAGGCGGACTCCAAGGGAGCGGAGCGGAAGCTCAATTTCAATGTCCAAGGCGGTACGGCGGTGAGATGACCGACCTACTAGTAGTATTTCTCTGCAAACACAGGACGGGTTTGCCGGATGTCGCGGAAGCAGTCTTATCCACATCGCCCCCCCTCCTTCGACCCCCTTGTTCGATTGGTCAACAGCCGATTCAGCTGTGTGTCGCGTGCGTATCCGTACTACCGTACGCACTCGTGAGATTCGTCGACCACTAGTGAGTCGGCTAGCTGTATATAGCTAGCGTCTTACTGATAGCAGCTAGTGGAGTTTCATGGCGCTAATCTTGCTATAGAAGGCGGTCAGACTATCTACCCTTCGTTGCCAACTAGCCAGCCTGCTTTTAGTACGTACACAACCGTTGCGTGAGAAAATAGGTATATACAGATCCCTGTTTCTGCCAGCACACTATACCTCTTACAGTGGCCGCGATACCTATTGCCGTTAGCCGGCTCACTAGTGGTCGACGAATCTCACGAGTGCGTACGGTAGGTATGTAGGTATGTATGCGCGGCGTCACCTTCGACCCCCGCCCCAGAACGCCCGCCCACTTTCCGGCGTCCGATTGGCAGCAATGAGCCGCGCTGCCTAAGCGGACGTCGGGGAGAGGGAGGACCGGTGTGGGCATAGCTTGGGCGGTAAAGGCCGACGACGACGACGACGACGCACCGTTGGCCAACCACCAAATTACCACCGCACCCACAATTACAGCCAAGGCGGGAGAGAGGATGCTCAGTGAGAGGGGAGGGGGGGGCCATGTAAGTCTTGGCCTTCGCCGTCATTGGCGGGCGATTCGTCCACGTCAGGCAACCCAGCCCGTCCCTCCGAAGCATCCCGCAATCCTGCCATTGGGCTCTTCCTGGTCGGAGTTTCGTGTCGATTACCATGGACAAGGGACGTCCCAAGGCAGAGAGAGGTACGGATACCGGTCCGCATGCGTACGGATATCTTTACGCTATGTGCATTGTATGAGGTGTGAGTGTGTGTGTGTGTGTGTGTGTGTGAGTGTGAGCGTGAGTGTGAGTGTGAGTGTGAGTGTGAGTGTGAGTGTGTGTATGCACGTGAGAGATGGAGCATGGGATAGAGCTTTCTTGGCCCTTTTCCGCCATCCATCCATCCATCCATCCATCTCATCAACCCTCCACTTTTCCCCGTCCGCGAATGCGCGGCTTCGGGCGTCTCTCCCATTGCCAGCCCTGCGCATCGGACGCCTTGCGGAGCACTCTGATGTGGGTGTGTGTGGCAAAGCGTTGCTCATCTGCGCAAAAGAGAAATGCCAACCTTGTTCCCGCGTCGGCCAAGGTCCAGTAAATGTGGGTTGTGCCAAGCTTGGGCTTGGCTTCGCATAGCACGCGCGCAAAGGTCTATGTCCGGGAGTCCCATCGTAGCGTTATTTACCATGCTGCGTTCCATCTCATCCGTCTGTCCATCCATGCCGACCTGTGCGATGCATTGTCGTCGAGCCCCGTCGTCTGCCTCGAATGCCTCTTCCCCTTTCTTCCTTGCAAGGTCCCGGTTCTCCCCCCCTTACTCTGCTCACCTCAGATCTGTATTGGGAGAGTGACGCTATCTTAAAAAAAAAAACCTTTACCCCGTGGCACGGGCAACAATCTCACCTTACCAGTCGTCCGGTAGCACTCCCATTGGCCTTGACGATCCAACCCCTCCCGGGTGTACTGCATTGTGTCAAATCCCATCCCACCTTCGATGTGCTTCGGGATCTGTGCGGTTCCCGAACATCCCGTCCTCATATACCTACCACGTCAGCGGACCTGTGAGCCAGTCGAGTCTCCAGTCTTCTCGCACATCCCTCTCTCTCTCTCTCTCACTCTCTCTCACTCACCCTCTCTCACTCACCCTCTCTCCCTCACACACACGCACACACACACACCAACTGCTGTCCCCATCGTCGGCTGCTTTCTCTTCGTCAGCTGTCTATCCGCCGCCCACCGTTCACCCCAACCTCCCCCGGGAAATAGACGAAGCGGAATAAGAGAAGGCAAAAGAGTGAGAGAAATATGGGCATCGGCGCCGTGGCAGAGCCCTTGGTGGTCATCACCCTCTTGTTCGGCGGCACCTTCTTCAACCGCAACACCGGCGGCAACACTTACGACAACCTGGGCTGGAAGGGCGGCTCCGACATCGACGATGTAGAACACAAGCGGTCGGACGAGCGCCGTTCGGGCGTCTCGACCCCGGAATCGGAAGACTCCCTCCTTTCGGTGGGCGCCTGGAGCCCGTCCTCGACGCTGGCGCCGCACGAGGAGCCCCCGCTGCGCACGCGCAGGATCAAGTTCTTTGGCTACCAGCGCCTCGTCACGACGCCCAACACGAGGGTCTTCAAGGACAGGCTCCTCAGCCGGGTGCTCCGCAAGTTCCCGTTCCTGGTGGAGGCGTGGTACTGGGCTCTTCTTTACTGGGTAAGCCAAGGACCTCGCCACTGGACGTGTGTAATCGTCCGAGACGACCTCCTCCTCTTCTATAGCTCTCAGTTCTGACATGTATGCGTGTGTGTGTTCGTGTGTAACAGGTATACCAAATCGGCCGCGCCTTCACCGCGCTCACGCTCAACGAGGGGACGGTCGACGTCGCTCGCCGGCACGCGCTCCAGCTCATCCACCTCGAGCAGCGGCTGCACGTCTTCATCGAGGTGCCGGTGCAGCAGTACTTCCTGCAGATGCCGACCGTGATCCACTGGATCAACCGCATCTACTCCTTCATCCACATCCCCGGCACCATCTTCTTCCTCGTCGTCCTCTACTTCGTCACGACGACCCGCAAGCGCCGCGCCCTCGCCGCCCGGCCCGCCGGCAACGAGGCCGTCCGCTGGAACGCCGCCGGCCCCGCCCTCTACGAGGCCCGCCGCCGCACCATGGCCACCTGCAACCTCCTCGCCTTCGTCGTCTTCACCCTTTGGCCCTGCATGCCGCCCCGCCTGCTGAGCGACCCGAAGTACAGCGGGCCCGACGCCGGCGAGGCCAAGAGCTTCGGCTTCGTCGACACGGTGCACAGCGGCTCCGGCGAGAGCAGCGTCTGGACAACGAATAAGTTTTGCAACCAGTATGGTGAGTTTTTTTTTAGTTTTTTTTTTAGTTTTCTTTTTTCCTACGCCCGGCCAGCAGCCTGCCTGCGAGCTTGAATCCAACGACTTGCTTGGTTGTACGACTATTTTGACTAACACGGTCCGCAGCCGCCATGCCCTCTCTGCACTTCGGCTACTCCCTCCTCATCGGCCTCACCGTCGCGACCCTGCCGATGCCCTCGCTCCGCTCCCGCCCGTGGAGGCGCTTCGCCGTCGTCGCCCTCGGCATGGCCTACCCGGCCCTGATCCTGACCGCCATCGTCGCGACCGCCAACCACTTCGTCCTCGACGCCGTCGCCGGCGCCATCGTCTGCGGCATCGCGTGGAACTGCAACGGCGTCCTGCTGAACCTGCTCGTCGTCGAGGACTACTTCCTCCGCGTGCTCCGCATCCACAAGCCCGTGAACTGGACCGATCCCGAGGTCGCCGCCGTCGAGCGGGAGTGGAAGCCCAGCGCGGCGTTGAGCGATAGCGTCTAGGTGTTTTTTACTTTATTTTTATTTTTATATTTTTTTTATACTTTTTTATTCATCTTTTTTACGTTTCATACGGGGCAGATGCGAATTAGTGAAAGGTGGTCCGGGGCGCACGAAGAGTGTGACATAGAATCAAACGCCACGACAAACACGGTCCCAGATCGGGGCTCCCCGTGTTTCCATGTGCCTATTTTGTTTTATGTTGGCATTGATGAAAAAGGGAACTGTTTGCGACGGGGAACGGTCGGCGTGCTGCATCCTCGCATGAACGGGACGAGCGGTTTAGGGTTTGGAGGTGAGGGCAGAGATTTCGCGGACTGTATCCCGACTTTGTTTTACTCATTATCATTTAGGACTGGGCAGGCAGACCCTTATGACATATGTCCGCTTCTACTTAATGACACTTCGGGCCATCAATGGCGGTTGAATAGCTAATGAAGAAATATACCCCGACTTGATTGAATGTCTCTCAAATAGCGGGCGCAAACGGCGTTCGAGGGATCCAGACAACTCCCATCACGTCACGAGCTTGGACAGGTCTCTCTCTCTCTCTCTCTCTCTCTCTCGCACTTACCGAGCGTCTGCCAAGCCGGAACCTGTTTGCCATTCCTGCGCAGATTGCTCAGCTCAGACGTCTTCGTTTTGGGAGAGATTCGATCCTCTGATGGCCGTTTGCGGTTCCAAACGGCCGCGAGGGCCCCGAGCACAGCGTCCAACGTCTCCCGGGGGGGGAGCTGCTCGGGAGCTTTGATGTCATGCAGGTCGGTGGCGATGGTGGCTGAGATGGTTTCACTTTGTAGCTTTAATTTCAGACGACGGTCCGAGAGGGGGGGAAAGCGGGAAACCGTTTCTGCTCGAGGAAACAACGGTGCAAAAGGGAAGCAAACACACACACGCTTTCTTTTTGCTTCCGTGTTCTCAATCGAGCGGGCGATGCGGCACGGTAGCCCCAGGTGGCTGGCTGGCTGATGGCAGGGAAGTACGTCTCGGGAGGGCGGAGGCGCTGAGACAACGTTTTGGAGAGCATGAGAGACCAGGCAGCCCGATCCCGGGGAGAAACTCCCGGCCATCGACCTGTTTGCATCGGGCATTTGACTTCGGTATGTCAAATGATTGACGGCGGTGGCCCAGCACCGGGCGGGTCTCTTGCCGCCCGGATGCTCTCCTGGGACCCACTTATCCGTCGGTGAGATTCCGGAGCCGACGCGGTGGCTACCACCGAACCAGACCCGAAGAGGGTCCGTGTCCCCCGGTGACCGAACCAGGCCCAGGGTTCAGGGCCTGCTCTTCGCCATCGATTCCCACAGCGAACAGATGATCCGCAAAGATCGGGGAACCAGCAACAAACTTGAGGTGCTGGGATGTCAGCTTGGACGGAACCGGCCAATGGGAAATCATTTGTTGGGTGTTAGATAGCCTACGTTACGCGATTTTACCGGCTTGGCAACCGGGCGCGCTGTTCGCGGACGCCTTCGACCCCTGGGCGTCAATTCCGCTGGCATGGTTTAGGGATTTCCTCCATTGAGATATCGCATTCACGGCCGGGGGTCCTCTTTTACCCCTCAACGGAACGGTGTGATGCGGACCACGGAGGCCTTGCACGGCCTTAAGCCTTGATGCATTCTCAGGGGTGTATGTGAATGGGGATCGCGAGCAATATGAGATGCCGAATAGCGGTCTGAAACTATATATCCAGACGGACAAAGATTCACCTCTCTTACCGTCTTCGAGCTTATCCTATTGTTGGCCCTCATCTCGTTGGCGAGCCCACCCGGCCCTTGGGGTCGCTGCCGTGCGACCGACCTCCTCAAGCGAGCAAGCCCTGCCCTTCACGATGCGCACCGTCGGCCCCCTCCTCGCTCTCACGGGTAGTCTTGCCCTGGCATCCACATGCGCCGCCCGACCTTGCTCGGAATGGCTCGCCTCCTCCTTCGTTGCCCGTAATGCCCTCGTCACCAGGCACCATGACCCGGCCGTCCTGTACGGAGGCATCGCCCGCGCCGCCGTCCACGTCCGCAACGACACCCTGCTCCGTGCCGCCGATACGGCCGTGTCCTCGCGGAAGCAGGCGTGCTCGAGGGCTGGGACCCGGAGTATTACTCCCTCGACGACATCCGCATCGGCAACAACCTCCTCTGGCTCTACCAGCGGCTGCCGGGCTACTTTGCCACGCTGGCGGACGGCCTGGAGAGGAGCCAGGACGACGGGGGCGGGTGTTGGCTGATCATGAACGAGGGGTACGAGACGCACGAGGGTAAATTACGTCGGGTCGAGCGTCACGGCCATGTTCTCGTACGGCCTGTTGCGGGGCGTGCGACGCGGGCTCCTCGAGGATAAGTACGAGGGCGTCGGGTTGAAGGCGTACGGTTTGCTGACCAGCGACTTCATCCGGGACGACAAGAACGGGTACGTCAGCTTCATGGGCACTGTTCGAGTGGGGAGCTTGAATTCGAACGCCAGTTTCGAGTCAACGTCGACACTCGTTTTCCTTTTTTCCCCTTTTTTTCCCCTCCTTTTTTTTGGCATAGTTGTTTTGTGCTGCGATCTCTGACACGCTGTATAGTACTATACCAGCATCCCGGTGGTCGAAAATGACGCCCGTGGCGGAGGTGCGTTCTTGTTCGCGGCGATCGAGGCGGAGCAGGCGTAGTAGGGGTATGGGGAAAAGGCTCTTGTTGTACGTTATTGGCTGCTTGCTGTATGGAGCGCATGCAATCGGTTCTTTCATCGCATTCGATTTCGACGCTGTTATTCATCGCCGTCCTGGCATCCATCTCGAGGAGGAGGGGACGGAAGGTGGCGTTGGCGCCGAATATGAGGTGGGCCTCGTCGACGACGAGACGGTCGATGGCGTGGCTGTCGTTGAGCGAGTAGACGATGGACCTCTACTTCTGGTTGCCGAGTCGCTCTGGGCTGATGACGATAACAGTTGTCGTATTGCGGATGGCGTCAGGGGAGTCCGGTTCCTAAACGCGGACGGTCACCCCGGCCTTCTCGAAGCGCGCGACGATCTCCTTCTGCAGTGCGATCAAGGGAACAACCATGAAAGTGACGCCTGTCGGGGAGATGGTCGACGGCGAGAGGAAGGCGACGCTCTTGCTGGCACTGGTACTGGCGACGTATAGGACGTCGCCCTCGGCCTCCAAGAGGCTCTCGAGGACAAGCCGCTGGTGGTTGATGTGGCATTTAGATATTATAAGTTGTAAATCCTGCCACGGTCCCTAATTAGGCCGTCCTGTTCCATCAGTACCCAGCTAGTAGCCTCTTTCTTATAAGTGTATATCAGTGGCTAGGATTACACTAAGTAGAGGAGTCTACAAATAGTGTAGTTAGGGTTTAATTATAATAGTTATTCTAATCTACCTCCTCTAACTCTTAGTCCTTGTAAGATTTTCCTCTTTTATATGCTATAGATAGTAGTTCATTTGTTTATAGCCCTACTGCTAGTGCCCCCCTGGGGCCCCGCCCTAGGCACCTGACGGTGTACTCTAAATATATAAAAATAATGAGAATGGGACTGCGCCGCATCGTTATGGAGCTGGGGAGGGCCATATGTCTTCTCACTTGTTTGAGTGTTTGCCTTTTTCTCGTCTACGTATTTCCAGTGCGATTGTTGCAATGAGATATCTGTAGCTTAGTTAGTCCACAACGCCTAACTATGTCCAGGCTTTCCAGGAGTCAACGCCACATTGGACGGCTGTCTTGCAGCAAGGTTATAGTTATTATAAATCATGGTTTCTGATTGGTCTATAAGCGATAGAAAACACCCTTGAACACGGTGAGACCTATAATCAAAGACGGATCTAACGTGAGGAAACAATTATCATACAACTTCACGTAATGCCTGCCGACGGTCTTCTTCTATCGCTTGGACGGCAGCCTGTAAGGGTTAAGGTGTACCAGAAGCTGCTCTCATGGACCATGCACTTGCTCACCGCTCGTTTAGACAGGAAGGCGTTATGTTTGAGAGGAAGCTTGCTACAAATAGAGCAACGTCAGCCACATGGCCATCGCATTGTGGCAACAAACCTCTCGTGCTATTCCGCAACCTCACAAGAGGAAGTCTCCTCCAGTCTCTTTCAGGATCAACTGATACTCTGGGTCAAACTGCATGTACATGACTTCGGGTGTACCGGTTCCATCTTTGGTGTACTGAGCCTCCTCGTCGCCGACTATCGTCTTCTTCAACCCGTACGCCGCACCGTTGGTCCCAGGTGCGGTGGCTTGGTCGACCAGCAGCTGGGTCTGACACGCGCGCTCCAGGGCGATGAAGAAACCCGCCGCTTCAGCGATGGTTCCTCCAGCCGTCAGAAGACCGTGGTTCTGCAAGATGATGTTTTTGTTGGTGGGGCCGAGAGCATCGGCGATGTGTTCGCCCTCCTCCTTTGCCAGCACGACACCACCGAAACCTTGGTAAACCGAGAGGTCGTTGTAGAACATGCATGAATCTTTGGACAGCCGGGTCAGCATCTGCGCATGCGGTGGCTTTTTTTTTTTTTTTTTTTTTTTTTTCCACGCCTACCTTGGTTCAACATTTCGATCGGCCGTCCAAACGTGCTCCATGCGCGGCCGTACGAGCTGTGCATGTGGCAGGCCGCGTTGATGTCGGGACGTCTTTGGTGCAGTACGGAGTGGATGGTGAAACCGGCCGTGTTTACCGGCTTGTCGGCGCCACCGATGCGGTTGCCGTCCTCGTCGATGTGGACCATATCGGACACCTTGAGCAGGCCAAAATGGACTCCATAAGGGTTTATCCAGAAGGTGTCAGGTCGGACAGGGTCTTGTTTTCATGTGAATCAGCTTTCAGGGCCCCAGAAGTCCCGTAAGAAGGCCACCGAATCTGGCTCTGACGGGGAACACACACCTCTGAGGCTGATGTGGCCGCTGCTTCCGTCTGCGAAGCCCAACTTGGCAAAGATGCGAAACGCAGCCGCCATCTGCTCAAGCTGCCATTGTCGAGCAGCCTCTTTCGATTCGGGGACTGGGATCTGATGGAGTCGCTTGAACTTGTCGCTTCCCGCGTCCTCGGAGTCCAGTGCCGAACTCAGCTTTGCCGGCGCCGGTGCGGGGGCGGAAACCGTCGCTGTTGCCGTAGTTGACATGTTGTTCTGCTCTTGCACTTTATTTACTGTGTATGTATACTTAGGGGTCGGGCTCGATAGTCGCAAGCACGTAGATCGAGATAGTTTTATGAGCATATGTTTGGATAGCATGGACCCCACGATGTCGTATGCTCTGATAAGTCCAAGAGGCGATACATGAGATGATCGTTATCGGGCAACATGTATTGAAAGAGGAACCAGATAGGCATGTGCAATGGCGCTATCTGTCGGGAAACCCCCGAACCCCACGGTTATCGGCGGGGGTTCCCAACTGCAGCCCCTCAGTGCTCTCGACCGATGTTTGGTAATACGTAATAAGATACCCTCAATACTCCGAAACTCCTGTTCTGTATCTCTCGCTGGGGCTAGCATGGCTATGTTCTGATCGCTTCTCCAGGCGGCTGTATTTGATGTAACGGTTATTCTCGATAGCCTGAGTGGGCGTCCAGAGAGCCTGTGTAATCCCGGAGGTGATAGAAGCCAGTGTCGGAGATGTTATGTCAGAAGGCATTCTACCCGGTGACTCAGTTTATCTATGTCCACAAGAATCTTATAGTATCCCGCAAAAACGAACAAGCTATGAATACCGCAACACGAAGACCATATCCACAAAGCGGATGTCCGTGGCAAAAGATCAACGGAATGTCGGCCACCGTGGAATGACTCGGCATGTGCGGTTCGGGCTATCTGATACGCCACCGTTATCGTGTGTGGAGACTGGATTTAGAAAGGGGAACAAATGCTGAGCTGCGGCGCCAGGTCGTCGCTGGTTTCCGGCATCGGAGCGGCTCTCGAGTCTACTACGCCGCATCGACGGGATTATCGGACAGAGCAGCTGGTCTTTTCTGTCTTTTCTCCCGCCAGATCGGCCATACTTGTGACCTATGCGCCGACTGAATGCCCCCGTTCTGACCGCGGACTAGGGGAAGCGGATCCATCCAGCAGCTGCATCCGACATTCCCTACTCAAGATGGCTTCCCGGCGAATAGCATCCACACAGTCTCTATGGCTCAGTCGGTAGAGCGTTGGTCTCATATTCATTATATGACCCTGCCCTCAGGTCGGGATATCCAAAGGTCGCAAGTTCGAGCCTTGCTAGGGACATTGCTTTTTGCTGGATGACAAACAGGATTGCAGCGTTTTTTTTCTATACACCAAAGTCATAGATATAGATAGACATTGATCTATTTGCTGTGTAACCTAGCTCGTAAACATTAAATGCGAGGATGTCTTTTCTATATGCTTTTCAACCGTTTTTACCGCGGGGAACTTTGGATCCTTTTTTCATCACACATAAAAGTGTAATATAATAAGGTCGACTTGGATAATTCTAACCATGTTACTTACTCCCCAACCCACTAACCACAATGACTTTCTATCGATTTGTTGGTTTGGGGTGAAAAAGATGCGACTCCTATTGCAATCAGCTAGCCCGCCAAGCAAGGTATTTCTTCTCGGAGACGCGGTTACAGCGCAACATTTGTAAAAATAGCACCTGGCCCCGGTCTGATTTGGCTCAGCGATATCCCTGTATTGTACCACATGCACTGTGATGCGCTAAAAAGGAGAAGAAAAATGCGCCTACGCAGCGCACTGGCTGTGACTTGACAGAGAGGTCATGCACTAGTCGCACCAAGCGTTACGCAACAGTCGATACTATCGAGAGCATCCCAATCGCCTCGAGATGGTCGGGTAAGTCGGGACGCTGCTAAGCCCTCGGTTACGTAGGAATGGGGCTGGTTCTTCCAACGGCCCTCTATTGCCAAGTGTGAAGCTTCGCCATTCCACGTGTCATTTTAAACTGGAGCGGTGAATGCTGCGCTGCGCGTCATTCGGTCTTCTTTTTCCGTCGAACAAGTGCCCTCCGTCACTACTCAACACCAAACGAGACAATCATGAGGAAATTCTTCAAAGACGCCAAGAAGAAGATTGAAGCCGAGATCGCGGCCATCTCTGGCGACGATGAGCCTCAGCAGCAGCAGCAGCAGCAGCAGCAGTACCCGCCGCCTCCGCAGCAGCCGGGGCAGGGTTTCGAGAGAGCTGTATTTGCTCACTTTATGGTATGCCAAATGACGCGTCAGGAGAAAAAAGGGGGGAGGGTGCGGAGGCCTCTTATGTTAGACTACGATAATGACAACTCCAGCTGAGCAACACGTGCGACTATACTGTTGACGAATTCAAGGTCGACATCGTGTTGGCCCAAGAAGCACACATTGATGCTTTTGTTTTGAACTTTGGTATCCACGAGGAGGCCATCGCGAAGCTCCCGGACGTTTTTGCGGCGGCTGAACAGACCGGCTTCAAGCTCCTCATCTCGTTCGACTACGAAGGAGCTGGAGCTTGGCCCAAAGAGCGAGTCATCGACATCGTTAGCAGGGTGAGCAGAAACCTGTGCGCGGGGGGAGGGTAACTCGGGCCCAGGGCTGACTCCATCTACAGTTCGGCCCCTCTCCGGCGTACTTCAAGCGCGGATGGCAGCCCGTAGTGTCCACCTTCGAGGGCGTCGGCAGTGCCGCCGACTGGCATGAGATCAAGGCAGCGACGGGCTGTTTCTTCATCCCCTCATTCTCCTCCGTCGGCGCCGAGAATGCGATCAAGACCGGCGTCGCGGACGGCCTCTTTAGCTGGGCGGCGTGGCCCCACGGAAACAGCCGGAAACTGGACGAGGGGCTGGATGCGTCCTACAGACATTTCTTGGGCCCGCATAGGCCGTACATGGTGGCTGTTTCGCCCTGGTTCTACACGAACCTGCCCACGTGGAACAAGAACTGGGCGTGGAAGGGAGACGACCTGTGGAACGATCGCTGGAACGAGATTCTGGCCATGAGGCCCGAATACGTGCAGATTGTAGGTCTCGCGCGACACGCGCGACCCGACCAGCCTTGCTGACCGCGGAACACAGCTCACCTGGAACGACTTTGGGGAGTCCCACTACATCGGGCCGCTCCATGAGAAGCAGTTTGGCGCTTTCGAGTACGGCAGGGCGCCTTTCAATTACGTCCGCGACATGCCCCACGACGGTTGGCGTCTCCTCTTGCCTTTCCTCATCGACCTGTACAAGTACGGGACTGCCACGATCACGAAAGAGGGCCTGGTGACGTGGTACCGCCTGCACCCCGGGGACGCCGGTGACTCGGGCGGAACCACGGGCAACACCAGCAGCCACGGGCAGGAGCTCTTCCACCCGGCCGAGATCATGGAAGACAAGATTGTCTACTCTGCACTCCTCACCGGGCCGGCGCAAGTGACGGTCAGCGTCGGCGGCGTCGCGGAAGAGGGATCTTGGGACGAAGACGGGGTTCCCAAGGGGGGCGTCGGCGTCTACCACGGAAGCGTGCCCTTCAACGGCAGGACTGGCGAGGTGGTGGTCACCGTCCACCGCGGGAGCGAAGTTGCTGTCCAAGTTCAAGGCCGGCCGATTACGACCGAGTGCTCGCACGGCGGAATGAACAACTGGAACGCGTGGGTTGGGGCTGCGAACTCCCACGTGGGTACACATGCGGTTGCGCACCTGGGATGAATGAGGGGGAGAAGACAGCGTACCGAGCCTTTACTGTGTGCCGGACGTATTGGCATTGTGGAAGAATGTAGTTGAAGTTCCTTAAAGTATCCTTGATGTGATGCTGCACTCCATATTAATGGCGCGAGGGCTACGGTCGTCGGACCATTACTAAAGTGCGTTCTGCAATATGATAGATACATGGGTGTGATAGGTTACATCAGGCATTACATCACCTCACAATCATCAGCTATGGGAGAAGCGGAGAAGACAAGGGCGGAGGTGTTGCCAAAGTCTCTGTGTTAGTTTTCACTGGTTAATTGATGGGGATCCCTATCTTGTGATATCACAAAGGGTAGGAAAGTGTAGTTAATTTATAGTTATTAATAGTTAACTAGTTAACAAAGTAAAGTAGGAGTATAAGTGTAGTAGTACCCTTATGTATAGGCAAAGGTAAAGGATTCTACTAGTAGGCAGTATATTATATAACCTACTGCCTCTAGCTATATTACCTATATACTAACACTAGTAACTTTCTTATATAATAAAAGTTACTAGTGTTCTTATTCCTCTTAAAAAGCCTAAAAATATAATAAAAATAAAAAAAGTAAAAGTATTATACTTTTTTATAGTTATATACTATTATAAATTTATTTATTTATTTACTTAGTAAAGGTAGGCTTATACTATTTTATTTAAGTATATTTCTCTTTAGCTATAGCTATTAAAAGTATATACTTATATTAAATAAATTTAACTACTATTAATCTATATAGTTTATATAACTTATTTTTTTCTCTAAGTACTTATTATCTTATGTTTTATTATTTTTATTATCTTTTATTATATATATATAACTTATCCTTTTATTTATATTTTTACTTTATTATAAGAGATAAGGCTTTTAAGTACTTAGTTTAGTAAGGACTTTATAAACCTATTAGTAAGGTTATTATTACTATAGATTTATTATACCTTAAAGAGCTTATATTACTTATATAATTATTATAGTACTATAATATTAATTATTAAGCGCTTTTTATAGGTAGTACTTAACTTTACTAAGCACTTATATAGTAAGTATAAGTTAGTATAAGTAATAGTAAAGATTAATAAGTTACTAGGCTTATTTACTACTATTATAATAGTTATAAAAAAAGTATATACTATATTAAAACTTATAACTATACTATAGACTTTTAATATAAAAATACTTTATATTACTTATTTAGATTTAGTTAATAAAAAATAAAAAATATTACTATAAAAAGTAAACTTACTTTACTTATTATTAACCTTTTTATTAATAAAAAGAATAATAAATCCTAACTATAAAGTTAAGTTATAATTATTAATAAAAAATCTATTAATAAATATAAAGAGCTTTATATTAAGTAAATTAAAGAAAATAAAAGTAAAGCTATAGTTAAGTAACTTTATTTACTACTAGATTCTTTAGTTAAGTTACTAAATAGCTTTACTATTAGGTTCTTTATACTAGGCTATAGTAAATAAGTTAAAGTATACTTTAGGCTAATAAATAGAAGTAATATATATACCTTAAGTATACTACTAGATATAGTTTTACTAGGCTATAGGTAATTTCTTATTAATAAGTCTTAACTTTATGCCTTAGCCTTTCTAGTAAAGTATAATAAAAGTGTTTTTAGCTAAAGTTAATAAGATAATTCCTTTATTAAATACTAGAGGTTTATTCTCTATAAGTAAAATTTTTTATTTTATAAGGAGCTTTACTTTAGTAAGCTTATTATTTTTTATATTTAAAGAAATTAATACTAGTTAAGCTAATTATATTATTTATTTATATCTTAATTATTATAAAGTTAAGGTTTTTAGTAAATAAAAAAAGTAAGTATAAGTTATATAAATATTATAAGATAATAACTAATTACCCTAAAGTCCTAGGTAGACCTAGTAAGTTACAAGAATATTATTCCTAATATAGTTTAGTAAGTGTTTTACTTAGTAAAGCTAAATAAATATAATATTAAAAAGGTACTAACCCCTTAGTAAAAGGCTAGTAATAGCTAGGTTAAGAATTAGCTTTTAAATAATATAAGACCTATATTTTAATTATTACTTCTTTTTACTAGTACTATTATAATTCTAATTCTCTTTATTTATCTTTTATCTTATATAATAAAAGTTATTAAGTTAATACTATATATACTTAGAAATAGTAGTAATAGCTAGGCGTAAAGTAGCCTAAGCACTATATTAGGCTTAATCTCTTAAGCTATCCTTAAGTATATTTAGGTGCTTAAGAGGTAGGTTAAAGTAGTAACTATAAAAAATTTAGAAGTTTTATAACTAGAAAAATTAATTACTTAAGTAATAAAAGGCTAGTAATACTTTAATACTTTAGGGTTAAGTAGTAAAAAAGAATATACCTTTAAGAAAATAAGTAAATTAAAGTTAAGGTTTAGCTTATAATAGTAAAAGGTATAGATTAATAATTTATATATATTTATTACTAGTGTACTTTAAAAGTTTAGAAAACTAGAAAAAAGAATTATTTTAGTAAAAGATAATATAGATAATAAATACTAGGTAAAATAAGACTAATATATTAACTTTCTAAAAAAGAAAAATAAGGAAAAAGCTAAGGACTTTAATTATTTCTTAGAATAGACTAAAACCTTTCTTAAAGATACTATCTATTAGAAGCTAAACGTTATATACTCTATAGTTATAGTAAGGTAAAAAGAAGGCTAAGATCTTAAGTAATTTTATATATATCTTAACTTTTTAAAAAAAGAATTTAATAAAAGACTAGAAAAAGAATAAGCCTTAGAGTTTTACTATTAATTAACTAATAAACTCTAAGATAAAGTATAAAAATTAGCAGTAGAGCTACTAAAAATATATATAGAAATAGTAAAGCTAGCTTAGAGAGTATAAAGGTTAATATAATAGGTTAAAAGACTATTAAAGTATATTTAAAAAGGTAGTAAAAACAAAGGAAAAAAATACCTTATTAAATTTAAGGCGTTAATAATAACTACTAACTAAAGTTATAAATAATAAAAACTTACTAAGGTATACTATAATTATAATAAGCTAAGGTACTTTTTATAAGACTACACTTAACCTAGATAGAAGTAAAATAAGCCTACTACTATATCTTAAACTATTTTTAATCTATAGAAAAATAGAGTAAAAATAAAGTAGACCTAACTACTTTATTCTATTTAATATTCTTAATAGTATAGTGTTTTTATATTATAATATAGGTTAAAACCTATTAAGGACCCCTAGATTTATTTCTTAATTTAGATTTAAGGGTAAAATATAATATTATCTATTATTAAGCAGTACGTTTAGGAGGTAATTTATATAGTTAAAAGTAGCTTATTTCTTTATCTATAGTGCTATAATCTATATTCCTTAAATATTACCTTGCTTAGTAGATTCTACTATAAGTATCTATATTTAGAAGCAAAGGTTAGATTAATAAGCAACGTTGTTCTAGAAAGTAGTGTTAGTTAGTAATATTCTATATAATATACCCCCTTAGGCGTTAGCGTAGGTTACTATACACCTAGATATAAAGAAAAATAGTTCTTCTAACGCAAAAGGGCTAGTTATTATATAATTATAGGCTATTAGTATTAAGTGTTCTTATTAGTAAGGCTACTTACTATAGGGCTAGCCTATACGCTAGTAGATATTTACCTTAAGGCTAAATTTATAGTTACTTTTGTTTCTTTTTCTTTAATAACTATAATAATAATTATAAGTTATATTATTATTTTTATTATAATTAATTACTAACTTATTATCTTTTATATTACTATACTATTTACTTAATTACTAATACTTTTTTTTTTTTTAGATATCTTATAAAACTATTACCTTTAGTAAAGCTTATATATATACCCTTATAGCTACTATAGGCCTTAAGGCTATAGTAGTCTTACTACTATATAACTACTATAGTTACTATAAGTGTACTCTGTTTCTCTTAAGGAGAAGAAGAAGACCTTTAGTAGGTCTATAGGAGAGTAAAAACCCCTATAGATAGGTCTTATAAGTATTATCTTATTACTAGTTAATTAATTTTAGTACTAAAGAATAAGTGTAGCTCTTTAAAAGTAATAATAAGTAGTCTCTCTAAAGACTAGCCCTTTTAACTTTAGTTAAAAAAGCTATATAACTTAGGCCTAGATTTACTTTAACTAGTATATTACTACTTATTATTACCTAGTTATTTCTTAATTACTAACTTATTTTATAGATAATAAAGTAGTAGTAGAGTAGTTACTTTTTTACTTTTATATTAATAATAAGGAGAGCCTACTACTATCTCCTAAGGTTAAAGAGGATTTAAGTAGTAATAATAATACCTTTATAAAGGCACTAGAGTACTAAGAGGGTATAGTAAAAAGACCTACTATTATTAGCCTTTATAAGTATTACTTAAGGAGTATACTTATAGGTTAATCTAATAGTAAGTGTCTCTTAGGTCTTAGCCTTAAATATTACTAATATATTATATATTAGTGTATATATATATTATTTACCCCTAAGGTTATTAGCCTAGCTAATATCTTTTTATATACTTTAAGTAGTAAAAAGGCCTTATATAAAGTAAGTTACTTTTTATTTATATAATAGTTACTTTTACTTATATATCTTTATTTTAGGTAATTATAGCTATATAGTTATATATATAGGTAGTTTTACCTTAAACCTTAAAGAAGAAGAAGGCTACTTTACTTATAACTATTTCCTTTAATAAAGACAAAAAGAAAGAGGATAAAGAGGAGAAAAAGAAGAAAAAAGAGGAGGTATATAATAGAGTAGGTAGCCTTAAGGATCTCTTTATAGAGGCTATTACCCCTAAGTATTTCTCTAGCTTCTCTATTAGTCCTTGTGTATATTATAGTGTCTCTATTAGTACTACTTATATATAGGCTAACCTTAATAGCTTTATTAGTAAGCTCCCTTTTATATAAGGGACTTACTTTATATTTTATTATCTCTTAGATAATTACATAGATGCCTTCCTTTATTAATAATAGGCTTCTTAGCCCTTAGGCTATTTTTACTTTTTTAGAATATTAAGCTCCTTAGCCTATAGGCTATTTTTTAATTTTTACTTTAGCTTAGGCCCCTTAGCCCTAGGCTATTATTTAATTTTAAAGGAGTTTTTACTTTTACTCTTCTTATTATTTATTAATTAGGTCTTTATTTCTTTTTATTTTACTATATACTATATATCTTATAAGTTAAAGAGTACTCTAAAGTGCTTAAATTTAGCTTATAGGAGATTCTTAGTAAGTTTATTTACTAGTATTTTATTTATTAGTAGATATATAATATTAACTTTACCTTCTATATAGACCTCTTATAGCTATATATTTTAAATATTAATATAGTAAAGTTATATTATAATCTTCTCTTTTTTCCTTATAACTAAGTAAATTATTTATTAGTT